TAATAGATAATAATACATTAACTAATTTTTTACATAGATTATCAAAACTACATAAATTATCTAATCGTGATATATTTAATTTGTTAATAACTAATCAATTTGTTTGGATTATTAATTCATTAGATGCTAATATATTTTTAAATACATTTGTTAAATACCAGAATTTAGTTTCAATTTCTAAACATAAATATTTACCAACAATTACTTCATATACCATACATAAACATATTTTTAATTTTCAGCAATTATATCCAATGTAAGTTTATTAACTTAAAAATAAAATTAATATAATATTTCTATACATTAATTAATTATAGATATAGCAGTGTATTGGAAAATGGTCTTTATATACACCATAAACTAATTGAAAATATTATTTTTAATCTAATTTATTACGATAAAAATTTAGCAAACATTATCATTCATAGAAAACTTGATAATATTAATGATATTGGTTTAGATAATTTAATAAATAAAAATATTAGATTTAACGAGTTTAGTCGTAATAACGGTGTAATTATTATTTGTGGTTTATGTCTATCATTTGTATATTTAATTGTAGAAATACTATATAATTATTTATATGTACTCTATTTAAAATAATCAATAATTTTCAAGTTAATTAAATACAATATATTTACAATTCAATAAGTATTTTAATTAATAAATCAATATTTTGTTTTAAAACTAATTAAATATTTTGCAATATTAAATAGAAAATTTGATTAGTTTAATGTCAAACACTTTTGCTAAAAATAAACTATTTTGTAAAAATTTATATCATTGAAAAATTAAACACTTATAAATTATTGAAATATTTAATATGTGTTAAATTATTACTATAAAAACTTAATTTATAATAATGATAGGGATGATTTACATATTACGTACGCACTTGAGGGGAGGGGACTGGCCAAAGCAAACTTTTGCAAACGAGGGGGAGGGAGGGGGTCTAGATTTATTAAAAAGTGCGAACGTAATATGTGAATCGTCTCTTATATGAAAAATTTAAAACAAATAAACTATTATAAGTTATACCATATTAATTTGATAGAGATTATAGTAACAATAATTTAATTTGTGAAAACAATTATTGTCAAAATAATACAAATACTATTAACATGTAATTACGTGTAATGTAAATTACTTAAATATTTTTCTAGTTTATTATGATAAAAATTTTGCAAACATTATCAATCAAAAGTCTTAAAATAATACCTAATAATAATAATAATGAAATTTGTTTAAATAATTTGATAGATAAAAATATTAGGTTTAACGAGTTTGATCGTAATAACGACCTAATTATTATTTGTGGTTTATATTTATCATTTATATATTTAATTATTGTAGAAATACTGGACATTTATTTAATTAAAAAATATATTAGAATATAATTTATAATTATATACAATTATCTATTAATATTATATTATCATAATAAATGTAATTAAATATCATAAATATTAATGTACTAATGTACTAATTATTATAATATAATATACTGTTAATAAAAAAAATTAAAAATTATTAAATAATTATCATAATTCAATACAAATATAAAATACTAATTAGCTATAGATAATTAATTTTTATTGAATGTCTAAATGTAATTTAAAATTATTCATTTAATTTTTTTTAATTTTCAGGCTTTAAACTTAAAAAATTAGTTTTTTATACTGTCATAAAAATATTTATAATAAATATAGGTTTGTTTAAATAAAACATTTTTAGAAATTAAAAAACAATTTACATAAACTTTATCAAATTTCAATGATTTTATTATATCTTTTTTATTATTGAATTGTTTTTGTCGCAAACTGACCAATAGTTGGGTAATTGGGCGCAACTATCATAAGTGGGTGGTTTGTCATCACTTGTAGTCATAACTGCCACGGATTGCGGATAACTATTAATATCATTTGAATTACTATTTCTGCCATCAATTTCACGTCTATAATCTCTATAATAATAATCAATAGCAAAATTTCTATTATTAGCAAACATTGGAGGAGTTGGTAGAAGTAGAAGATTATTGCTTTTGTATTGACGGCAACAGTAGAAAAAAGTCCATAGAAATAGATATACGGCCACTATTAGCACAATTGTTCCCAAAATATATGCCATAATATTCACGGGTTTATACCCGGTTTTGTCGGTTTGATTGCTCTGGTAGTCTATTATTGTGGACATAGTTGACTTGGTTTGACTTATATATGATCTATTGCTGTGATTGTGTAGTCCAGCTCCGGTAGTTGATAGCATTTGCATATGATCTGCATTACTAGTATTGACAGTCATCGCCACTTTGGTCAGACCTGTAGTCGGGACAATATTGTTGGCTAATATAGTGGTCACTATTGAGCCACAAATTGTTAATTTAATTATATGTTTTAAAAATTGCATATTTAGAAAATTATATATGAAAATAAAATTAACAATCAATTATTTAACAATAAAAGTTAGCTTATTTTTGCTAATTCAATACTTTTATATACTGTACAACTAATATAATTAATTAATAATTATATTTTGCTTACTAATTATAATAATATACCAAATTGCCAATATTTAAATATATCGTTTATTAATCATGAATATTGATTTTATAAATAATATTAATACTTTATTAATTAAAAAACTTATAGTTATTACAAGTACAGTATATTTTATATTTTATTTGAAACTTGTTACAATAATTGTAACAACTAATTAATAACAATTAACTTTAGCATTATATTAACTATTTAAATAATAAAAGCAATATAATGTATTAATTATTAAACTTTATTTTAATATGCTATAAATATTAATTACAGTATTTTATAAAAGTTAATACAACATTTTAGTTACAATATTATTGAATAATTGAATAACTAAATATTTTATACTGTAAGATAATTGACAAATTTGATTTAAAATAATAAATAAAATATAATATTGTAAATTAAGTAAAGAATAAAGATATGAAATATTTTTTAATAATCATCTAATTATATAAAATTTGATTAATAAAATTTATACTGTATTTTAATTTAATATTCTTCAATTTTATTAAATTTTTTTTTAAAACATTAGCAAATTATAATTAAAAAAATTGTTGAAATAAATTTGATACAAAATTTAATATATATTTTTAAAAAATTATATTTGATATTATTATATCTTATCAAGATAATATCACAGTTTTATAATTATTTTTTATTATTTATAATTTGTATGATAATATAGATATAAATAAATAAAATATAACTAAAAATAATATAAAATTTTAATTACTCTATTATATATGAATAATTTAATAATATTGTCAACAAATTAACAATTGTTTTTGTCACAAACTGACCAATAGTTGGGCAATTGGGCACAACTATCATAATTGGGTGGTTTGTCCTCACAAGTGGCCATATATACCGTTGGTTGTGGACAGTTATTATTATTATTATTATTATTGTTTCTGTTATTACAAATACCACGTTCATAATCACTATAATTATAATTAATAGTAAAATTTCCATAACTGGGAAGCATTGGTGCAGGTAAAGGTAGACCATCATTGATTATGTATCGACGGCACCGGTAGCAAAAAGCGCATATACATAGATATAAGAAAACTATTACTGCAATCATTGCCAAAACAAATGCCATACTATTTAACATTGTATAACTAGTGTCGCCGTTTGCTTTGTAGTCCATTAGTGTCGATGTCATTGATGTGATTTGTCTGAGATTTGATCCATTAATACGATTGTGTAGTTCAGATCCAGTAGTTATTGTTGATAGAGTTGTATTGACTAATGTTGATGTCATATTAATAGTGTTTATTGTGTCGGTATCGGCAATCATAGCCACATTGGTGGTGACAGTTGCCGGGAAAGTATTGTTGGCTACAACAGTGGTCATAATTAAGTCAATTAATATTAATTTAATTATATGTTTTAAAAATAACATAATTAGAAAATTGAATAGTACCAAAAATAATTAGCAATTAATTTACTAACCATAAAAATTAAATTATTTTTTACTAACTTAATATTTTTATATACTAGTAAAATAATTAATTAATAGTTATATTTTGCTTGCTAATTATAATAATATAGCAAAATTACCAATATATATGTTTATATAGTTTATTAATCATGACAATTGATTTTTTTAAATAATAAAAATGTGTTTTTATTGAATTAATATTTGACAATAATTAAAAATGTTTATACAGTAGTTATTACAAATAAAGTATATTTTATTTTTTTTAATTTATATATATTATGAATTTTATTTTTTACTTAATTAATTTTTAATGTAATTTTACTATAATTTTACTAATAATAAAATTATAATATTATAACATTAAATGCTTAAATTTAGTTAATAATTTTACAGAAATTAATTTAAATCTTTTGATCTAAAATATAAGCAAAAATTAGTTATAAAACAATACAGTATATATTATATTGTAATTATAATAATTTAATATATGTAAAATTTCTAATTTTAAAAATTGGTGATATTTAAATGACAATATAATTATATTGTCATTTAAATATCACCAATAAGTTAGATTATAAGTTATTTACTATTGCATGTAATAATATCTGTTGTGTTATTATAGTATTTGTTAAATATCTATTATTTAATTAAATATTTAAATTTTTAGAGAAATATTGATAGTTACAGTATTTTAAATACATTATATGATTTTTATTTCTATCTAAACTAATATATTTACTAAATATATTTTTTAATTGATGTTTTAATAATAGTTTTTATGATTATGGTTACTGTATATTAATTTTCTAGTGCAAACATAATATAGGTATCATAAAATATAAAATAAATAATTTAAATGTTTATTGATAAAAAATATTTATTTTTAATATTTAATATAGAATTTATTGATAAATTAATATAAGTGCATATATTTAATTGTATTATAGTATAATATTTTTGAATAGTAATTAAAACAAAAAATTAAATAAACCAAAAAAGAAATTTACTATTTATTTATTAATAGCAATTTGTTCAATAAGTTTAGCCACCATTTCCTTGTCGTTGGATTTTCTGATTCTTTCCCCAATAGATGCCATTGTTTCGGACAATACCGAGTCGTTTACCAACTGGTCGACCGCCGACAACAGCTCTTCATCCGTACAGTTGAATGGATTCAGACGTAATCCGAGACCCGTTTCCTCGAGTCGCTGGGCGTTATCAAACTGATCGCCAAACAGTGGCAACACTAACATTGGTTTGCCGTAAAAAAAAGTTTCGGTAACTGTATTGTTGCCGCCGTGAGTAATGACCAGATCAACCAGCGGTAGTACTGCAGTCTGCGGCAGAAACTGCGAGCCCCACATATTGTCCGGCAGTTCATACTTGTCGTGCAGCGGTCCTTTCGATACGATATACCGGTGCTCAGACTTGGCCAAAATGCCGGTAATACGGGTCATGAGCTCCATATTGGCGCAACCGAACGAACCCATCGATAGGAATATCAATTTTCCCGGTTTGTCCACCAATTGCTCCGGTATTTCAAAAGTATCGTCAGTTGTACGAACAAAACCGTCGACTCGACGAAACTTTTCAGGCAAAGGATGTGTTTCCTCATAATCCAGTTCCTTGGGATACATATATATATTAAGATAGGGAGAAACGGGATGTAGGAAAGCCATGTGCTGTTCGTCCAGTGATGGTTTGACCTTAAATTTATACCATTTGTTTGTACGGTTGTATAAATCAGTAAAAATTGAATCAAATTGTTGCTTAAACTGAGTCCACTCCTCTCGATTGCCATTTAGTGGCAAACCTATTATATATATAAAAAAAATTATTTACATTAAAAAATAGTTTCATAAAAACTAATATCAACTGTAAGAAAAAACTAATCAATTAATATATGGTATTTAATTATAGGCTAATAAAAAATTTTAATATTTACAGATATGTTTTTCAATAATAAAGTTAGTTATTTATTTATTATTAATGTTATAAAAATAATTATGTGTTATAACTACAACATACCTGACCAACCGGGTGGCACTTTGCTACTGTTGACGCACAGGTGCGGCGCTGCCGAGTATAACCATACCCATGGTTTGCCCGAATGGGTCAATGTTGGCGAACCGATATACGAGTCAACAACAATAACATCGGGATTAACTTTGGCAATAATCTGTCTGTACTGTTCCTCCCGTTCCCGACTGGTGTCCAACATACTGCCAAAAGCTGTCGCAACAAACCGGTCGATAATTTCAATGGGCGTCAACTTAAATACATCGGCATATTTGCGCACCAATTCAGCATAAATATCAACAACTACTGGACCACCGTTTTCAATAGCTTCGGTATCACTGGCTTTCGGTTTCGGTCTATGAATCTCTTCCTCGAAGCCAAACGGTTTCAGTTTGCCCTCAAACTTGGCGTCGACGGCAAACACAACCCGATGGCCGCGATCTCTGAGCGCTTCGGCAAAGCCGTGGTTAGCATTGATATGACCCCAACCGTCCAGTGGTGTAAATAGTACTGTTAGCCGACCTCCTCGTTGTCTCATTGTATTAGCCCGACTGTCCTATTTAGGTTAGATATCACTGTTTGTGTCACTTTTCCTATACAACTGTATAAATAATACAACTGTTATTAGATTTAATGTGAAAATTTTTTACACAATATTTTTCTCATTATGAGAAACCCACTGTCATTAGTCATTGTATTATTCATATATAGATATAACACCAACAAAACAAAAAATAAATGTTATCATTGTCTTTATATAACCTTAAAAAATTATTATTCAATAACACACATAATGTTTGTGTTTGTATTTGTTTCATAAAAAGACATTAATTTCCTGTGTATTCAATAGTAAATTCAGTAATAACCTCAATATTTAAAAAAACACCTAAAAAATATTATAATATACCGGTACTACTACTGTAAGTTTATAATGTATGATATATTACGTTTGCAAAAAAAATAAGTTTCACTTTTATCATATATTTATGATAAGTCTGAACTTGAGATTTTAATTTTACTTTTTATTATTGAATATTTTCAAAGAAAATAAAATTGAGTTCAATAGATTTTTTTTGTGTGTATACTATACTATATACAATATTAGATTATTATTGATTATACTATAATTTGAGGACACTATTACATTAAATTACTAATATATTGTAAATTAAATATACATATGTATGTAATAATGTATATAAAAATATATTCAACAACAATTAAAAAAACAATACAAATTAATTTCTTATAGTACTAGACTTGAATTATATATTTTTATATTTTCATAATTTAAATATAATTACATAAAATATTGTATACTAAAAATTGTTAATTAGTTTTACAATAAAATAATAATAATAAATAATAATTTAATTATCATTATAAAAAATTATCTATCTAACTCTTATTATGTCAATGACAATATTTTAATTAACGAAAAAAAACAGTACTAAATATATTTTTTAAATTATATTTGTAACTAATTATTATATTAATAAATTAATTAATTAATGTTAATTTTGAGACAACAATAAATCATTAATTACATTCAATTTTTATATTTAATATTACAGTTATTTAGTAAATTATTCATTACTAGTTTTATAAAAAAAATTTATTAGTAATTTTTTAAAAAAGTATTTAATTTTAATAATATATTTATTATAAATATTTTGTAAATAATAGTTTTTGGTCAACTCACATAAACTTATATAATATTATATTTTTTATTTCATGAGTTAATAAAGTTTTAAATAATTAATTAATATTATTATATTTAATTTCCATAATAGATTTTAATAAAATTTTATAAGATTATCTTAGAATTATTGATAAAGTTTAGAAATATTATGGAATATACTATTAATAATTAATAGTCAATTAATAATTAAATATCATAATAAAAATTGAAAACAAATTGTTTAATAAATCACTATATATTATAGTAAATTATTATACAAAAATATCAATATAATATTTTACCATTTAAATGGATACAGTATGTAACATATGTTAAGTACTGGTTAAGGGCTTTTAAGATATATATCTTTTTGATAGTATATTATATCGATATATGAGATATAAATTATGTTCTCAATGAGTATTTAACAGATCAATATAATTGATATATTATTATACTATATTTTTAATTAATTAATATTGATTTATTATTATAAAAATGTGAAACATACATATGTGTATATATATACCGGTATATTTTTTATTTTTTTCAAATTGCTATAAATATCAGTGATATTCTATAAAAATTCATACATAATTAGATTTTTTAATAGTCAAAATTAAAAAATTATTTTTAAAAAATTATTAATAATTTTAATTATTTTAATTAAGATATTAAAGATGAAAGTTATTATACAATTAATATCACTATTGTTGGTGTCGTACACAGTGTTAGGCGACTTCAGTATCAATGAATATCGGGATGTCCTGAATTCACGTAACTTTACCGGTAAAGTAGTATTGGTGACGGGATCTAATTCGGGTATTGGCGAAGGTATTGTTAAACTGTTTGCACTAATGGGTGCCAATGTAGTAATCACTGGTAGAAATGAATCGCGAATCGCTAGTGTAGCCCAAGAGGTACAACAGTTGTCGCCCAAAAATCTTCGGGTAATAGATAATCATTATTTGATTTTTAAATAAATATATATTTTATTATAAATTACTACTTAATGTTCAGCCACTGGCCATTAGGGCTGACCTATTGGTTAAAGAAGATGTCGACAAACTGTTTGACGAAACTATCAAACGATTTGGACGTTTAGATGTTTTGGTCAATAATGCCGGTATTTTTCCCGTAGACAACATTACTGACGACAATCTAATGGCTCACTGGGATCTCGTGTTCAACACTAATCTCAGGCCAAGTGTTCAATTGATTCATAAGGCTGTTCCCTATTTGATAAAAACTAACGGTTCAATTGTCGATATTTCCAGTGTTGCCGGACTTAGACCGGTAAGTATTTTGTTTTCAAGTATAAAGTATTTATTTAATACAACATATTTATAATGTCATACAGACTGCACCGCAGTTGGCTTACAGTACATCAAAAGCAGCGATCGATATGTTTACCAAAATACTGGCCCTCGAGTTGGGACCATTGGGTGTTAGGGTTAACACTGTTAAGTATGATATATATGTTATAGAAATAATAATTATGTAACAAATATTTTATAATTATTTAATTTATTATTAAGTCCCGGTGCTATTGTTACGGCTGCCATAACCGATGGTTTTGGACAGGCATTGAAGTTCATGACATCTAAAACACCACTTCGACGACCCGGTTATCCACTGGATATCGCCAAAGGAGTTGTGTTTTTGGCTTCCAGTGACGCCAAATACATTACCGGCAATAATCTAGTAATTGATGGGGGAGTTGAGTTTAATTATCCTGGATACTTTCAATAAATAATCTAATAATTTTTTATATTATTAGTAATTTTAAGTTTAATATGACGATTTCTTTAAAAAAAAATATTTAAATTAGTTTTATTTTATTAATTTCAAAAATAATATTACTAAATTTGAATTAAAACATATTTGAATTTTGTTATATATTTTGCATTTATTAAAATTATTTTTTATTACATTAAACTAACATTTTATTCATTTATTAATTAATTTTTGATTTTTAAAATGCTAAATATCTATATTTTTTAATAAATATATATAAAAATGTAAACATTATTTTTTTTAATTTTTAAATGTCAAAATAATTCTTTAAATAATAGTAAATTATTATCATAAATTAGATCAAAAATTATAAAAAGTTTGTATAACTTTTAGTTAGTTGTGGTATTTTAATATTATCTTATATTAACTTATAATAAACTATATTTTAAAACATAAAAATATGATTATTTATTAAATTAAAATCTTTATATTATTAATTTGCATACAATATTTTTTATTTATAATATTGTTTTTAGATATTTTTTCAATAATAGTTAACAACATAGTAAATATTGTTTAAATGACTTAAAATTTTAAAATAAATATTTTTAAATTTTTCAATAATTAATGAGCATATACAAATTAGATAAATTATTTAATTTTTTTTATTATAAAAATATTATTAAATCAATTTTTAAATTAAATAACTTAATTTTAAAAATGATTCACATTTATCATTATGAATAATATGTATTATAAAAATAAGTAATTAAACATTTATATGGAATTCATAAATTATTTTTGTCTTTTTTAAACTAAACAGTTGTCATTAGAAATCAATTAATTATCCAGGGCATTTTGTTATAATTTATAATAATTGTTGATAAAAATGTTTTTAAAATTTGTATATATATACTGTATATCTTGAAGTAAATATTATATATTTCATTTAATATACTAACAAACTATTATATTAAAAAAAAATTATTATTTAAGTTGTTATAATTATTTGATTTAATCAAAATGAAATTTATAATTATTTTATCACTTGTATCACTAGTTAGATGTCATTTGATGCCAAATCCATTGAGTTTAACTAATGGACTAATTCATAATGGATTGATTGCCGGTGCCATTCATAAGGAACTGGAGGCCGCAGAGCATGTCGTTCACGGAGGTCTCAATTTGGCCCACAATGTAATCAATTGGAAATTGGGTGCCGCAGAGAGTATGATTTAAATTAATTGTTTTATATTAATGTTTTTAAATTATCAATATTATTAACTCAATAATTTTAAAAACAGGTATATTGGAGCACTTGTATCCACACTATCAGCACCACCACCACCAGCAGCAGCAGTGTCATCACTATTCAATACATGATGATAATAACCCGTCAATTTCCGACTATTACAATGTGTACAACTCACGAAACTTTACGGGAAAGACAGCATTGATAACACTGACCAATTCGGGTATTGGCGAAGCATCGGCGGTATTGTTATCTATTTTAGGTGCAAATTTGGTCATAACATCAACGAATAGTTCACAACTGGAAACAGTTGCCGAAGTGGTTCAGCGATTGTCACCACATAATCGAAAAGTAAATATTATTATTATTATTAAATTAGTTATAAATTGGATTATATTTTTTTGTTAAATATTATTAACAGCTGCTGACAGTTGTGGCCGATCTGACCAAAACTGAAAACATCAAACGATTGTTGGCTCAAACTGTACTACGATTTGGACGCTTAGACACGTTGGTAGTGTTTGCGGCCAGTTATCCATTGTTAAACATTACCGACAATAATGTAATGGAAAACTGGGACTTGACTTTCAATCACGAGCTCAGGTCGACCGCCGAGTTGACACATCTGGCGGTGCCGTTACTCGAACAGACCAACGGAACCATTACTATTGTGGCCACCATCGCTGGGAGTGCACCGGTATTTTAGACAAATATCATTAATTTTATTTTTATAATTATGATATTTAAATGTTTAAACTATAATTTATTATACTGTATATTGTTTTTTAGGTAGCGGTAGAGTTAGCTTATAGTACATCCAAAGCCGGTATTAATCAAATGAGCCGTATCTTAGCCATGGAATTGGGATCAAAACATATTAGAGTCAATACAATTAAGTAATTTTAGTTAACACAAACCCATAATCAACTTATAATAGATATCTATATTTTTTATTATTATCATTTAAAAAGTTTGGGAGCCGTTTATACCGGTGTCGATAATCCAGTGTTGGATCTGATGAAAAGTAAGACACCATTGGGTCGATTGGGTGATCCCCTTGACATTGCTAAAGGTGTTGCCTTTCTATCGTCCACCGATGCCAGCTATATAACTGGTGCTAATCTGGTAATTGATGGTGGCATTATCTATAACTACCCGGCCTATTTTGAATAAAAATACTAATAATAATAATAATAAATTAATGAAAATAAAAACAAATACTGTAACTACCATTTTCAATAATAATAATACTTTTTAAAAATAAATTAACCAAAACTGTTAGCATAACTACTAAATCTATTCAATATTACTCTGTATATTATATAGTATTTATTTCAATTAAATTAGATAAAACAATGTGTTTGTTAATCAATATTAATAAACTTAACTATATATTATATAATTAAATAATTAATAAAAATATTCATATAATATAAAAATTTTTACTTTTTTTACTTTTCATACTAATGTAGTTTTAATTGTTTATTATAAATAACATTTAATAAGAATATTAAATATTTATTGTGGTAATAAATATTAAGATAATATAATCTAAACTATATATTTACAATAAATTTGTACTGTATTATTATGCATGTAATATTTATTTTTTAATATTATATTAATATTTTTGAAATATGATTTTTAGTTTTATGTTTAGTAAAAAGCAATTACTAATGTTTTCCTATTTATTATTACAATTACAATAAGTTGTGTTTTGATTTAATATTATAAATATTTTATTTACATATCTATTTAAAACAATAAATAACAACATTAGATAAATACATATTTTAATTGAATTTGTATCTAATTATTTTGAGCAATTTACTGTATTTTAATGCAAAAATAAACAAAAATTGTCAAATGAAATTTTATTGAATAAAATATAAAATTTAATTAATATTAGACAAAAAATTATATTTATGTCAATTTGCTTTTAGGCTAATGTAATAAAAATACAATATATTTGTCTATTATAGCAATTTATGTATAAAGTATTAAATATTGAATATAAAATAATTCAGACTAGTATTAAAAACAAATGTTAAAACAGTAATCGCTTGCATATCATATTATTTTAGAAAAATTTTAATATATTTTTTTAAAATGTTTAGTTTTATATCAATAATATTTTACTGTTTAGGCTTTAATCTATCAATAAAAGTCAAACAAAATACTTCTAAATATTTAACATTAAATCAATTTGTTTTATATACTATAAGATTGAAAACATTATTAATAATTATATATTTAATATATAGTTCATCTCTGCAGTTGACTAACGAATTACATAAAAGTTTGTTTCATATATCATATCACATCAAACTCTGGATATTATTAATAAATTATTTGTATTTTATTTGCCGATCGACTCAATTGCTCGAATTGTTTCATCAAATATATCGACAAATACATGAAAACAATGCAAAACATTTAAGCAAATTAAGTAAATTATTTGCAATCATATGGATACTGATTGTCGGTATAAATTGTATAGTATTTTCAATGATAACAACCCCTCAAGATATTACCAATGAGATCGTATGGTCGACCCATGGGTTCGGTTGGATAATCGGTACGAAAATGCTTTTAATACACTTGTGTTATGCCATACATATTATCGAGGATCAGTCATTTCGGTGTAAATCTAACAAACAAGTAGTCAATTATATGCACCGAAATAATACTCATACAAGAAGACTATTTTGGCGCTCGACTACTACTACTCAAGAGGAATGGTATCTCTTATTGTATTCATTGCAACAAATTAAAGACACCATAAACGACATGTTAGGTGTTTTACCATTTCTATGGTTTTCTGAACTATTTTCGTCGACATGTCTTCGGCTGACACTAATTGTTGTTAATCGCGAAATCAACGAATCGTTAGTCAAAACTGTGGAAATTTTGTGGGAATATTTGCAACTATTGATCGCTGATTTGATTTACTTGTTTTCGGTTAACTATTTTCAATCAAAACGTCCGAAAGCTGTCGAACTGATGTACCGATTGTTGTCCACTAGTGGTCAACAACAACAACAACATTATGGAACCGGTAGACCAGTCCAGTCAATGGATATCCTATTGTTGATCAATCAGATCCATTGTTACACAAACTGTGACTACAAGTCATGGAATGTCTTTACAGTTAACAAAAAGTTTTTGTTTTTATTTATGGGTTCAGTCGTCTCCTTCACCGTTATGTTCATACAATTAATGCAAATCTATTATCCAAATAATTATTAATAATTGAAAATTTAATTTTCGATTACATTAATAACTACTGTAATTATTTTTTTAAATACACATATTTAAGCCATGATATTGTATAATCTTTTTTTTATAAATTGCATATAAATAAACATAATATTTATAATGTTTTAAATCTTATTATAAAAACTTAAATGAATATATTATATATATTTTTTGTAAATTACCTAATTTTTGCGTTTAATTGAATTAAAAAATAATAGATATTTATAATAATAAGTAATTTTTGTCGCACAATATATTATATAATAAACTTATTGTATTTGCATTAAACAATTAAATATCATATATAAATATTTGACAACAAATAATAAAATGAATTAATGATTTTAAAGTAATTAAATTAAATAATTTACTATTAAATTGATAACAAAATTCAATATTATTTAAAAAATTTTGCATAAAGTACAATACAAACTGGTTATAATCACACGCACACACACACACAAAATTGCATGTTTTTATTATAATATATTATTAAACAATATTTTTTATTTTTTTTGACAAATATAGATTAATTTGCCAAGGTCATTCCTAGATTGTAGTCAATTATTGTATATTTACTACCAGTGTTTAGTGCAACTGTTCTCTCTCAGTATAAAAGCCAGTGATGTTGTTATGTATTTAAATAAAAACATTAGAATATAATTTCATGACAACTAACAGCAAAAAATAAAACTTTTATTTGTTATTATAATTGTAATTTGTTTATTAATAAATTATTAATATCTATCTATTTATTTATTTATTAAGTTTTTTTTAAAAAAATTAAATGGTTATAATTTATATTAAATGATGAATAATTTTCTAGCAAGATTATCGTTGATATGGGAAATACCGCAAACAATATTTCGGTTAAGGCGTCAATTTCACGGCACCCGTAGACTGGACGGCAAGGTTGTAGTTATTACCGGTGCCAATGCCGGTGTAGGCAAAGAGACAGCCTATCAATTGTCGCTGAGAGGATCTAAAGTTAGTTTGATTTTTTATATATTAATAATAAATAAATAAATGTATTTTATTAAACATTTAAAAAAATAATTATTAAATATTTTGTTTGTTTCAAATTAGAAGATAATAATTGGTGCGCGAAATATACAAAAATCATTGAATGCCATCAAAGAGATAAAATCAAAGAACCCGACGGCAAACATAACGGCATTGAAATTGGATTTGTCTTCACTTAAGTCTGTCCGCGAGTTTGCCCGACAAGTGGCCGAACAGGAAACCACTGTTGATGTCCTCATCAATAACGCCGGTGTCGCCAATCCATGTCCTGAACTACAATCACAGGAAGGCTTTGAACTACAGTTTGCGTCCAATTATTTAGGTATTACTTCAATAATATAATAATTAATATTACTATTTTTAAAATTTAATTAATAATTTATATAACTTTATATCTGTGGCTACATATATACCGTATATTTCACTTATACTGTATGTTAATGTGACTAATATTAATTTATTATAAATATTTTATAATTATTGTTTTTAATTCAAAAAATATCTTAATTTTAGGCCACTTTCTACTTACACTACACTTATTACCGCTGATGCGTAAGTCAGAGGACTCACGCATTATAAATGTCATAACACAGGGCTATCTACTGTCGGGTGATATCTATTTTGATAATATTAATTTGAGAAACGGTTCGTACGGCCAGATAAAAGCGCACATTCAAAGCAAATTAGCACTTGTATTGTTTACTAGAGAAATGGCCAAACGGTTAGGTAGTGGCCAAATGGAAAACAATGTTAAAACCTATTGTATTAATCCGGGTATAGTTAATTCCCGGGGATCGCCAAACGCACTGGTAGCTATGTTGAAAAAATTATTTATGCAAAATATATCAATGGGACCCCAGCCCTACCTGTACTGTGCACTGTCGGAACAATGCGATAATGAGTCGGGATATTTTTATGAGTAAGAATATACTTAATTAAAAATGTTTTTTATTTATTGTAAAATATATGTATTGTGTGTTAAATATATTTTGTTTTTTTATTTATTATTAAATATATATATTTCATTATAATTATAGTAACTGTCGACGAGTGGACCGTATGATCAGTCAAGCGGTGGACGATAACCGGGCGTTTGATTTGTGGAATCTAAGCGTTGCTATGACTAAACTGGAAGATCAATATATCATTTGATAGCAAATAAAATTATTTGTATTATATATAAATTATATTATAAATTATTATATAGTATAATATACAGTATATTATTAGATAATATAACTAATTTGAAGTGGATAATTTTTTTTATTAAACGTTTTTTAAAGTAATTAATAATTAATAAATTATTATCATTTATAATATAAAGTAAGAATCATATTTTTTTGTATAATATTTATTTAATATTTTACAATAAATTGTATTATTTAAAATCATGTTTTTTAAAATTTATTTATTAAATAATTTAGTTGAATATTGATATCAAAAGACATGTAAATTTAATAAATTATTCTAATATCTTAAATATATTAAAATTATATTTAAAAATATGTTATAAAAATGTATTAAAAATGTTAGTCATATTCTATGAGTATAATACAATGAAATATAATACAAATAAAATATAATGAGATATAAACTGAGTACAGATTTAATTCAACACGAAGACAATCTCAATATTTAATTTTAATTATTTATATTTTTTTGAAAATATTTATAATAACATACTCATAAAATTATTTTAAAATTATTCATAGTGATTCATACAGCCTAAAAAATATTTTTAAACATTTTTTTATATTATTATATCTATGTAATATAATAATAATAAAATCTACTTATTTCTATATAAATTTATACAAGTATAAATAAAAAAATAAATAAGATAAATTGTTATCATTATACATTGATAATTACACTAAACATGCGCATATGTTAAATTTATTTTACTTTTTGAAATAATGATATTTTAGTGCATTTAAGTTCATGTATTGTTGTATTTATCCATAAATTACATGTATCTCATAGTGTTTATATATATTTTGCTTAAACAAATTAATTTATTATAAATTAATGTAAAAATAAGTTTATTTATTAAAGGGGAGATTAGTACTAATGTATAAATTGATGTTTATAATTGAAATATACAATTAGTGCACGTGCGCTCAAACATATATAAACTAAACAATATTATTTGATTCAACTAAATATAATAATTATTAATAATAGTAAAACCTTTTATTTTGAATGTTAATGAAAATTTGTATTTATTATATTGTAAAGTTATAAGTATATAAAGTATATCATATATTTATTTTTTTTATTGTAATTATTTGTGATGGTTATAACTTATAATTTATTTTAAATTAATATAACTATTTTAAACTAATAATAATATATTAATTAATAAAATCATTATTAAATGTTATAACAAAATATATATCAATAAACAGAATTTTTCAAAAAATTATTTTATTATAATATACTCTTAATATATATTTATATAATAATGAATAATTTTATGGCCAAATTTGCCCTAATATGGGAAGTACCGCAAACTGTGTTCCGATTAAACCGACGCCGATTTCAGGGCACCCGTAGACTTGATAATAAGGTAGTAGTGATAACTGGCGGAAGTTCGGGTATCGGTAAAGAGACAACCTATCAGATGTCACTGAGAGGATCAAAGAAGATTATAATCGGTGCCAGAAATATGGAAAAAGCTGAAGAAGCCATCAAAGAGATTAACGAAAGAAACCCGAAGGCAAACATAACGGCATTGAAATTGGATTTATCTTCACTCAAGTCTGTCCGCGAGTTTGCCCGACAAGTGGCCGAACAGGAAACTACTGTCGATGTCCTCATCAATAACGCCGGTGTTCCCCTTCCGTGTCCTGAACTACGATCAGCCGACAACTTTGAACTACAGTTTGCATCAAATTATTTGGGTAATTATTTTTTAACAACAAAAAAAATTTATTAATTAATTATACATGATTTTATTTTATTTTTAAAAAACTTAAAACAAATTTTATTTAATACCTGTAATTATTATCATTTTTATATCAGTAATTTCTATTTTTAATGTTATAATTATTATCAATAATTTAGGTCACTATCTACTGACTATACATTTATTGCCATTAATGAAACGGTCGACCAGTGCTCGGATAATAAATGTAGTGAGCAATGGCTATGCTATCGGACAGATATTTATGGATAATATAAACCTGTCTAACGGTGCCTACGGTTCCTTTAAGTCGCACTGTCAGAGCAAACTGGCTCTCGTTCTGTTCACCCGTGAACTGTCCCGTCGGTTAGGCGGAACCGAAAGTACTATTAAAACCTATTGTCTAAATCCGGGCGGTGTTAACGCCCGGAGCTCCGGAAATATGTTCATTGATTTTTTCAAACGTTTGCTTATGTTGAACATTGAAATGGGTCCCCAAACCTATCTCTACTGTGCCTTAGATGAACAGTTGGACAACGAGTCGGGACTTTATTACGAGTATGTGTTGTTGTATTGTTTATATTATTATTAGTAAAATTTATTTTTCTTTAGTTAAACAAAAAAAATCTTATTATTGTTTTTTTTAAATTTTTTGTGTAATAGTAACTGTAATCGTGTCGATCGTATGACAACTCAGTCCACTGACGATAAGCTGGCGCTTGACTTATGGAAACTGACCGCAGATTTAGTTCAACTCGAAGACAGTCTTAAACTTTAAATTTTAAATTTGTATTTTTTTATATATTTATTAATTTTGATTTTGTATTATATCATATAATAATTTATATAATTTATTTCATCAATTATTATATTTAAAAAAAAAATATTACATTAAAGTTACTAAAAATTCAAACAAATAAAGTATTGCTTACCATAATTATTAAATGAATTATATGAAAAATATACTGTATTACCGGTAATCATAAAAATTAATTATATCATGCATTGTACCGGTATTATTGTTTTGTCTATAAATAAATTAAATTATTAGTATTAAGTTGTAATAAATATTTAATTTAAAGTACAATTTAACAAATGAATTTATTTTTTTTTAATTAAATATATTTTATACGGATTTATATAGTATAATGTAGATCAGCCGTTATTTTATATAGCAATATTTTATTTTACTTTATTGTAAGTTACAATTTGTATTATACAAAATATCTATCTACAGTATATATAAATTGCTAAAGTGTTATCACTGAACAATAATAATTATAATATAATAATAGAGTATAATCATAATAATCATAAACATGCGCACATGGCGTTAAATTTAGTATTTATTTTTGTTGCAATAATGATATTTTTTTAGTGCAATTTTAGTTCATATTTGTTTCATTGATGATTCAATAAATTATAAGAGTATTTCATTGTGTTATTTATTATAAATTTAACATAAAATTTATAAATGTAAAATTATATTACGAATTGCTGAGACGACAACAATGTAATAGAGGTTAATATTATAGTCCTATTCATTAACTAAGTTATCATATTTACAGCTTAGTGTCTATGCTTACAGTCATTGTAAGCATTAAATATGATAACTTAGTTAATGAATAGGACTATAATATTAACCTCTATTACATTGTTGTGATCTCAGCAATTCGTAATATAATTTTACTCATTTGGGGGAACAGTAGTACTCCTATAAATTGATGTTTAACTGTTTACCTAAACATTTAGTGCATGTGCGCTCAAACATATATAAACTAAATAATATACAATATTTTTTATTACACTAAATATTAAAATAATACTAAAATCATTTATTGAATGTTTGAATAAAAATTTCTATTTATTATAAAAAAAATTCAAATAAATAAATAAATCTTGTTTATACTTGTGACTAATATAAGTTATAATTTATTTTAATTAATATGATAATTGTTTTTAAACTAATAATAAAATATTAATTTATAAAATTATTAAATGTTTTAATAGAATATAATTATATACAAAATTTTTCAAAAATTATTTTATTATAACAATAATTTCTATACTCGTATATACTGTATATATACTTTATATATCGTAATGAATAATTTTATGGCAAAATTTGCCGTATTCTGGGAATTACCGCAAACTGTGTTCCGATTGAAACGTCGATTTCATGGTAACCGTAGACTTGATGGACAGATAGTTGTGATAACTGGTGGCAGTTCAGGTATCGGTAAAGAGACAGCCTATCAGATGTCACTGAGAGGACCAAAGATTATAATCGGTGCCAGAAATATGGAAAAAGCCGACGAAGCCATCAAAGAGATTAACGGAAGAAACCCGAAGGCAAACATAACGGCATTGAAATTGGATTTGTCTTCACTCAAGTCTGTCCGTGAGTTTGCCCGACAAGTGGCCGAACAGGAAACTACTGTCGATGTCCTCATCAATAACGCCGGTGTTCCCCTTCCGTGTCCTGAACTGCGTTCACCCGACAACTTTGAGTTGCAGTTGGCATCAAATTATTTGGGTAATTATTTTTCAACAATAAAATATTATAAATAAATTATACATAAGATTTTATTACAAAAAAAACAATTAGTAATTATTTTATTGATTTTCAGTTATATTATACTAAAAATAATGTTATTATTAATTTAGGTCATTATTTATTGACTTTACATTTACTACCGTTAATGAAACGGTCGCCCAATGCTCGGATAATAAATGTAGTGACCAGTGGCTATGTTTTTGGACAGATATTTATGGATAATATAAATCTGGATAAAGGTGCTTACGGTTCAATGAAGGCACACCTACAGAGCAAACTAGCGCTCGTACTGTTTACCCGTGAACTGGCCCGTCGGTTAGGTGGCACCGAAAGTACCGTTAAAACCTATTGTTTGAATCCAGGGGGTGTTAACGCCCGGAGCACTGGAAACGTGTTTCTCGATTTTATCAAACGGTTGTTTATGTTGAACATTGATATGGGTCCACAAACCTATCTATATTGTGCCTTAGATGAACAGTTGGATAAAGAGTCGGGACGTTATTATGAGTATGTATTGTATATAGTATTGTTGTTTTTTTATATTATTTATATATTTAAACTAAAATAATCTTATTATTATTTTTTTAATAATATAGTAACTGTAGTCGTGTTGATCGTATGGCCAGTCAGGCGACCGACGATAAGCTGGCGCTCGACTTATGGAAACTGACCACAGATTTGGTTCAACTCGAAGACAGTCTTAAACTTTAATTTAAAATTTTGTTTTTTTAATTTATATTTATTTTGTTGTTATTGTTTTATATCATACATAATTATTAAACAGGTTATTAATTTTATCATTTATCATATTTTTCAAAATTTCACAATTTACTTACTAATATTTTTTTTAAAAATATTTATTACTTAAATTATTAGATGAATTATATGATAATTTAAATAATATTTATAAGTAATTCTTATTAAATAATAATTATTTTTTATTTATTTCATCTATATTTAAAAGAAAAATTATATTTTATTACTAAGTATTTATAAATGTTTTTCAGACACGAAAAGCATTTTATGTTGTATTTTAATAATATCATAATATTTTTAATAAATTCATCAGAATTTTAATGAAATTATTATAATTATTTGTAATTTATTTATTATAATCATTAATTATAGTATAATTTTAGAAATTATTCTTAAAACTAAATAACAATTATTATATTCAAAGTTTCTATGGAAATGTCATTAGTTGATAACGTTATTAATACTGTATCATTTTTATTTTTAAGTTATTTAGTTATTTTTATTTACTATTTTATTAGTTCAAAATATTCAAACTGTTACTTACTTGTTAGTTATTTATATTGTTTATAAATACTGTAAAAACTTAAAATTTTATTTATTTAGAACAAGCGCTAATATTTTAATATTTCTAAAAAATATATTTTAATAAAATACTATACAATAGTTTTAATAAACATATTTTTTGTAAAGTATATAATTAAATAAATATTATCATAAATCTAAAAAAGTAACTACAGTTTAGCTAATAATAAATAAATAATAATAATAAATAATAATAATGATAAAGTTTGCTATAAGTGGATTCAATGAGTTAACAAGGAATACCCTAAATCAAGTCAATAGATGTGAAAGTAATCGACGATTAGATGGACAGATAGTAGTGATTACCGGCGGAAATGCTGGTATTGGCAAAGAAACAGCCTATCAATTGGCATCACGTGGAGCTCAGGTATGTCATATAATTATCCTAAAATTAATAAAAATAATTATATTATAATTAAACAAATTTTCAAATACTAAGGTAATTATCGGTTGTCGGAGCCTAGAGAAGGGCAATGAAGCCATCAATGATATGAAGGCCACCAACGACTCAGTAGTCCTCAAAGTAGTGAAACTGGATTTGGCGTCAATGAAATCCGTTAGACTGTTTGCCCAACAAGTGGAACAACTGGTCGACAAAATAGATGTACTCATCAATAATGCCGGTGTTATGATGTGTCCCGAATGGAAAACCGCTGATGGATTTGAAATGCAATTTGGTACTAATCACCTGGGTAATATTGCTAATAATAATAATTGCTATAAAATAATAGATTCAATCTTAAATAGATCTAGGACATATTTTTTAAAATTTAAACATATTTTTTAGTACAATATATATTATAGTTAATCTGGAAATTATGTAGCATTTGCTCATCTATTAAATGTATGTTTTTGTTGCAATTTGTGTCTAGGACATTTTCTATTAACAATGCATTTGTTGCCCCTATTGAAAAAATCGACTGGTGGAACCAAAGTGATTAACGTTAGCTCTATAGGCCATATGTTGGGTAATATCTATTTTGATAACATTAATCTGGTTAACGGTGCCTATAAACCATTCAAAGCTTACAATCAGAGCAAATTAGCAAACGTTATGTTTACCAGTGAACTGGCCCGACGATTGGGCAAAACTACTAGTGGCCAATCAGTCAAAGCCTATGCCGTACATCCAGGCTTTGTGGACACACAAGTGTTGAGACATATTTCAATGGGCGGACAGATTGGCAGCAAAGTTGTCAAAAAATTTTTGCTGAAACCAGAAATGGGTTGTCAAACAATATTGTACTGTATTTTAGATGACAGTGTGGCCAATGAATCGGGATATTTCTATGCGTGAGTTATATGATATTAAATTTTTAAATTTTAAATTAATTAAAATGTTTGTGAATTTTTTGCATATAATTTTTTTTGAATATATGGAATTTAATGACAAATGTTATACTATTTGTTTAATAAGTTTTTTAAACAATAACATATGCAAAATATTGTAAAAATTTATGTATCAAATGTTTAAATTTAATTATTGTGTTAAATAATTTATTATATTTTGTTATCTTATTTATGTATTTATTTTTTTCAAATAAAAAGTAACTGTCGTCGAGTGGATCATATGGTGAGTGCGGCCACCGATGAGAAAAATGCTGCAAAACTATGGGATTTGAGCCAAGAGTTGGTTAATCTCGAGACTCACTACCGGATCAATATTGTTAATACCAGTGCCTGGCAGGAGACTGACTATAATAATGAAAAACATAATAAAAATAATCATAAAATTATTAATAATTAAATATTTTTTTGGAGCATATATAAGGCTATCATTAATACAGTATATCACCTATACTTACATATACAGAATATTAATAAAAATGTTAATAAAAATATATTGTATACTAATTAGTGCTAAATAATTCAAGTTAAATATGTATAAAAGTATAATAATAATAATAATGTTGTCATTTTTCGATTATAAATGTAAATTACTTTATTTATTATAATAAAATAAAAACTAACATTAAAAAACTAATTACTAATATTAATTTATTTCATGAATGTTTATTAGTAAATATATCTGTACTTTAAATTCAAAATTATATTGCGCAACATTGGGATAGTTATACAGAGAAATTTATAAAATAATAAAGAAATTTCTAGAAACTTTCTAAAAGAAATTTCTATCTATGGGATCCCCTCTTAATTTTGTTATCTCGATATTTGCTATCATACAATACATTACCGTAAATATTATTATTAGTATTTAAATTATTAATTAAAGTAAAAAATTAATTAATTAAATTACAGTATGATATATATAATAAAATGGTAAATACAATTTTACAAAACTAATTATTATTAAATAATTATAATTGTTTTATATATACGTATCTCATTTGTATAGTATAATATATGTATAAATATTAATATAGTATTACAATAACTATACCGTAGATATGGGGATCCCATAGTATAACAATAAAGTTAAATTTCTATAGAAATTTATTCATGAGAAACTTTCTAGAAACTTTCTCATGAAAATTTATTAGAAACTTTCTATTTGCCCATCTCTAACAGGCGGTTAAAACTACTATTGTATTGTACATTATATTTATTAAAAAAATTTGTATAATTTAATGAATTACTCTTTTACTAATTAAAAAAACAATTGTCTATGCATTGAAAGCATGAAAATCTATAATACATTTAATACTGTATTAATACATTACTGACTGACATTGAAATTCATAACTAAACAAATGCACCCAAAAATAGTTTTTATAGTTATGTATATTATATGATTGTTATGATTATTAATATATTGATATACATGTACCTGTTTGCACTGTAATAATTTTAACGGTATTTAAACATGATAATACACATAGAAAATTGTTTAAATATTTAAAAATATATATATTTATACAAATTTGAGTTTATCAAAATAAATATTAGATAAATATATATATTATTATTTTATTATTATTAGAAATAGTCTGACATTTATTTAATATTATTTACTGTTGTTAGCAATAGTACTGTATTTATTCAAAATTTTTTAAAAGAATTAATGTTTAACATTGAAATGTCAATTGAAAATATATATATAATTATTTTATACTTAAATATTATTATTATTCATTAATTTTTGTGATATCCAAGAATAACAAGAAAAATTTATTTAAAAAATACTAATTTTCTACTATTGAATTGAAATTTAGTAAATATTAAGTAATAAATTATTTAACAAATAATTGTAAAAATAATTATGAGTTTCATAAAAGCATCAAATTTTTTGACAAAAGAAATGTATGAAATAAAAACAGGTAATCGACGAAAATGTGATAGCGATCGCCGTTTGGACGGCCAGATAGTAGTCATTACCGGTGCCAACACCGGTATTGGCAAAGTAACGGCTCTGGAGCTCAGCAAACGCGGAGCAAAGGTATGGCCATTAATAAACAATTTTTTTTTAAAATTATTTATTTATTTGATTTTTACATATATTTCAAAAATAAATATTTACAGATAATTATTGGTTGTCGTGATGTGGAAAAAGCTACGAAAGCTGTTAACGATATAAAAACTGATAACCCGGACGCTGACATTGTTGTCCACAAACTTGACTTATCGTCGCTAAAATCTGTCCGCATGTTTGCCGATGAAGTCAAACAATGTGTGGACAGACTGGACATATTGGTCAACAATGCCGGTGTTATGATGTGTCCCGAGTGGAAAACAATGGACGGATTTGAACTACAGTTTGGCACCAATCATCTGGGTTAGACAACATTTTATTTTTTAAAAATAATTATGTATTATTAGTGAAACGGGCCTGACTTTTATGGCCAGTTACAAGGAACTGTAGCTCAGTCGCTCAGCTCAACTTAAGTACTCGGGGATCGAATTCAGACAGTATGTCTGGTCCGATAGTATTGCAGTTCTCGTAATCACCCTTTCGATGTCGCGGTCCTTTGTCTTGACTTCAATTACCTGCCGATATCCCTCATACTTCACACTTAAGACAAACTATCACTCAATGCACACTTCAATTGATGATTAAATATATTTATTAATTATGTTAATTACATATTAGTTACAAAAATAGAAGTATTATTTAAATTGAATGTTTCGTTTGCCTTAAAAATGATTGACAAGTCTATCGACTGCTTTCTTCAAGCGTAGGCAAAAGAGTAAAAATTATTATAGAAATTACTTAAAATTACAAATTATTAAAATAGGAAAATAACTGAATATAGAGTAATTCATGGAAACTTTCGATAAACTTATCAATAATTCTTTCTCTCATATGACTATCATTTCACTCTGAATTACAAATCTATTAATAATATAAAGTTTGAATTATGAATGTATGAAATTTCTATAAAAAATCTAATAATTATATTCAAAAATTCAATATAAAAGTTGAGGTATTTTCGGCCCCTTTCAACTTCCCCACCCATAGAGTTGGCCAGTCTCTGGACACTCTTGTGGTCTCTCTTTAGTCGTTATCTTCGTCGGTAATGTCGGTCTCATTGTCTGTCTCTTCATTATCTCCCGACTTGTCGTTTTCATCTCTCTTGTTGTCGTTGTCTTCAATGGGTTTCGGTATCAATTGAATATTACTCCAAATATTGGCACTTATTTTCGTTTTCATCTGCTGTTCCTTAATATCAATTTCTTCTGATGTCTTTGTGATAGTCATTCTCATGTTTTTCAATGGACTTGTTTTTCTGAAAACACATTTAATGGTCGACTCGTCGTCGGACTCTTCATTTACGGTTTTCATCGATTCTTCATTTGTCTCTTTTTCGGTCTGTATTTCGATTTTCTTCATTTCATTCGGTATTTCGTCGAATGATATCAATTCTCCGATCTTTTGTGTGACTTCTTCGACTTCCTTCGACGAATTGTTTACCTTTACTGAGGTCTGCGGCTTAATCTCTTCGAAAACTCTTGTTATCGTCGGCTTCGGTATATTATCTCTTTGTGTTTCAGCACATTTGCAACAACATATTGGTACTGAATGCGTGAATTTTCTCTCATACGGCTCGGAAGCTTTATATGTCTTGTGGTGACGGTTTAGTGGCACACATTCATCCACACTTATTCTTCCTCCGATAGTTTTGATGAGCGTATCTATCATCGTTGGGTGGTTATCAATGGTTTCGCGGTATTCCTTTCGATCCTTATCGTGGTCTTTACCGGCTTTCAACAGCTTCTCTGTCCACTGTTGTTCGGCTTTCAACATATTGTCCATCTGTTTGTTGACCTTTTCTCGAAGATTGTTATTCTCTTTCTCCACATATAAGATATATTCGTTTTTATCTGATACTTCATATGTGTTCGTCTGATTATCACTGATCTGATTCTGAAGTTTTCTGTTAACTTCATTGGCTTTCGCGATATGTCTTACGTATTGATGCCAATCTCTTTTCATTCCTGTGAGTATAGCTAATGATACTCCAATGACTTTATTAAACGTCTCGGTCTGTCCGTTCGCATTTGGCGTATATGAAGTCGTCGTTATGTGTCTTATCGCATAATTCTCATAAAATTTCGTCATTCTTTTGCTACAGAAATTGGTTCCTCGATCTGTAAGCACTTCTTTCGGCTGTCCGAACTCTGCGAATACTAATTGATTCAAACAATTGATAATCTCTTTATCGGTCGCTCTCTTCAATGGTCTTATCATTGCAAACTTCGATAATCTGTCGTTAATCGTTAATATATAATTGTGTCCTTGAGTTGACGGTATTAACGGTCCTACTATATCCATACTTATTGATGACCAAACACTTTTCGGTACATCCATCGGCTGACTCATTCCTCTTCTTTTACTGGCGTCCATCTTTCTGAACTGACATTTATGACATGTCTTTACATGTCTCTCAATATCTCCTTTCATTCCCATCCAATAGAAATTACTGCGGACTCTATCGTACGTCTTATGTTTTCCTAGATGTGATGCAAATTCGTGACAATGATATAACACTTCTTTGATTAACGATTGTGGTATACATAGTAACCATCGCTCATTTCCATCTGATTTCATATCTCTGTAATATAATATATCTTTATGTATAATATATTTCTTTTCATATCTCTCGTAGTCTTTTCGATTATCTATTCGATTGATAAGTATCTGTATTATCTGTGATAACTGTTGATCCTGTTTCTGCTCGAATATCGTCTGTTCTCTTGATATCTTCAATTCGTTTCCGTCTTTAGCGATAAACGATTCTTTAAAACTCTTTATATTTAGACGAGTATCCATACATTCTTCTCCGGTTTCTTCCATATTCAATGGGCAAACTTCTGTATCAAAACCGTTCGGTAGGTTTCGACTCAAATAATCCGCATCCACGTGACTCTTACCACTGTTGAATCGGATGTCTAAATCATATGACTGTAAAATCAATCCCCAATTACTCAATTGACTATTCGGGTTTCGAAATCGTAATAAATGGCATAATGCATGGCAATCGGTGATCACTTGAACACGTCTACCATTAACATAATGTCTTAACTTCTGTAATGCAAACACAATACTTAAGCACTCGAGATGTGTCGCACCCTTCACTTGTTCTGTATATGTCGTCGATCTACTAACACATGCCAACAGTTTCGGACCTTCTGGTTCGATCTGAAGTAAATGTGCTGCTATTGCTAACTTCGACGCATCTGATCTCAACTGTAATTCGTATTTCGGATCATAATAAGTTAATATAGGCGGTGATAGCACTGCATTCTTCAATTTCAAATATGCTTCGTTCTGTTCTTCTTTCCAAATCCATTTCGCATTGTTCTTTAGCAATCGATGTAATGGTTCGGCTATCTCTGCAAATCCTTTGACAAACTTTCTGAAAAATCCAACATATCCTAGAAATGATCTCAATTTTGTCACTGAGTCAGGTGCTGGTATGTTTGCCAATGAACTAACTCTTTCTGCATCTGGTAATAGACCTTTGTCTGTAATCATGTGTCCTAAAAATGGTACACTTTTCATACACATTCTGCATTTGCTTGGCTTCAACTTCAAGTCATATGCTCTCATTCTCTCGAAAATCTCTATCAATCTTCGTATGTGTTCTTTGAATCCTTTACTGTAACACAGTATGTCATCCATATAGAAAAATAAGTATTTTCTAGTCATCGGTTCTAATATCGTCTGCATTACTCGACTACAAACTGCTGGACTCAAATGCAATCCAAAAGGTAAATAATTAAATTGATATAATCCTTTAAAAGTTGTAAAACTTGTAACTTCTTTTGTTTCTGGTGACAATCTGATCTGCCAGAAGAAACTCGCACAGTCCATCGTTGAATATAGATCTGTATCTGCTAAACATGTAATGAAGTCTTCCATCAACGGTATCGGATAACTATCTCTTCTCAGAACTTGATTTACTTTTCGATAATTGACACAAAATCTAAGTGTCCCGTCTCTCTTATCTACTAATACTACGGGTGAACTCCAGGCTGACTGACTCGGCGATATAATTCCTCTTTTCAACATATCTTCTATCATTTCGCTGAGCACTTCTTTTTCTTTCGGTGATGTCTTATACGGTTGACATGACAACGGCTTTTCGTCACCTACTGGAATCGTATAGTCTAACCCTTTGATTCTTCCCAATTCGTCATCTCCTACTGCAAATCGATCTCTAAATTGACACAATATCTGTTGTAAGACTTCTGTTTCTTCTTTAGATAAGTGTTTCCCTGTTTTAAACATTTTCAAGAACTTTTCTTTTTCTTCGTCTGACATCTCTTGAGTTATGTTTTCTGTTTCGTTGAATGGTTTCACTGATCCTAATAATTCTTCATTCAACTCTTCTTTGGTCTCTATGACTTCTGTCGTATCATTCAATTTATTTATCGTTGCAATCGCACTATTCTTCCGAAGTCTATGTTCGGTATTCTTCTTATTTCGAACGATTAGTTGTATGGATTCGACTCTGTCATCGATAAAACCCATACCTACTTCTAAACCATTTTCCTTATATAAATCCCTCGTCTCTATGACGGCAGGATTTCTTTCTTCATCAGTTCTCACGCATTCGACAATCATTTCAGATCGCGGCGGTATTCTAACTGTTCTCATGGTCTTCATGTGACCAACTGTCATATATGCAAATACTTTTGCCGAACTCTTTTCACTCTTATCTTTGCGTTTGTCATTCTTCGACTTCACGCGACTATAATTATCTAAATTATTCGACTCACCCGAACCTTCACTTGAATTGTCCGACTCTTGACTCGAACTGTCTGTAGGTTCAGTTATAATCATATTGGATAATGTCTTTCCATTACCTCTTTTCTCATTCTTTCGATACTCTTCGTATCCGTCATTCTTGACGATCCATCGCTGATTAGGCCATGAATTAATTTTTCCTCTGGCTGCTGCAACAACCATCGAACTCTCTTTACTTGTCGATTCTGTATATCTATATGGCGGTTCTGGACATCTTGGACTCTTAAGATAGTCGAGGTATTCTTTACTCAAACAATCTTCTGCATCTCTTATCATTCGTCCCTTCCATATACACACCAAATTCATTGATTCGCAAAAATCATTTCCTAATATCACTGGCGGATTCTTTATGTTAGATACAGCAACGGCTAAATTCAAACTCTTATTCTTCATAGAAATCTTCACATTTGCGAGATATCCATTGGGATAGGTTGATCTTCCGTCTGCTGTTTCCATCGCTCTTCTTGGCCATGGTTTCAATCTTTTTCCCAGTGCTTCTGCTAAGTCTTTGTTAATTATCGTAATACTACATCCAGTGTCTGGTAACGCTTTAACTGGTATGCCATCGACTAATATCTGGATAATTGGAACGTTTCCTAAGTCTAGTTTTTCTAATATCTCTTCCATCGTCTTCTCATAGTTGAAAGTAGACCAGTGTTTCGCTATTGCCGGGTCTGTCCACGGATCAAATTCTTTTGTTTTCACTGGAACTAATTCCCTCCCGCTCGAGATATGACTTCCACTGTCATAACTTTGACGTTCATTCTGTTTCTCACGAGTTCTGAAATTACTTTGATTATTCGTATAATCATTTCTCATATCTGTTCTCGTGTTTTCTTTCTTCTGTTCATTCGTCGATTCATTTGTTTTCAACCATTCTTCGTATCTCTTCTGACTGTTTTCTCGATCTCTCGGTATTCTGCAGTCTCTTGATAAGTGTCCTGGTTTTCCACAATTAAAACAACTGAATGTTTTTCTATTCCCTTTTTGCTCGTTTCCGGCTTTTATATGTCCGGTTGAATTATCTTCTCTTCTTCTTGATCTAAATATAATATCATTTCTTTGATATGTTTTCTTCGGTTCATTCAATCTTCTGAGTCTTTCGGTTGTTTCCTTATTTCTTAAAAATTTTCTAACTTCTTCGGGATTGTTCGCCATCGAAACTTGATTAATTAAATAATTGTCTCTTAGACCAACTCTTATACGGTTCATTACCGTTAATGTATTATCTCCCGGTAATTTCTTTGATAAACCCAAAATTCTCGTAACAAATTCTGACGGTCTCTCATCTGATTTTTGGTATGCATTCGTCAATTCATTATATGCGGTATCTTGTCCTTCGCCTAATCCATACCATTCTCTAAAATTTTCTTCGAAGTCTTCCCAATTTTCGGGATTATTTTCCGGATACTTATAATCGTAAAAATCTAAAGCTGTTCCTTCGAGATACTGATTTACATTCTTTACTTTATTTCTCGAAGACCACTCTTGAGTTTTCGCAAATCTGTTGTAATCGGTTAGCCATTCGCTCGCTTCTTCTTCTTTGCCATTAAATTTCGGCGCTTTTCTAAAATGACTTTTCGGCATTTTCCGATCTTCTAATATCTCTCCTAATCTATCGACTAATAATAACATAGGATCTGATTCTCGATCTTCTTTCTCTGGTGTCGATTGTTTCTGTTTATTTATATTTATCCTTCGAGGTGGTGAATTTATTTCACAATCATCTATCTCTTCATTGATCTGGTCATCCGGTACTTCTATACTCGAAATGACTTTCGATCTACTCTTATCACTTCTCTTCGGATCTGTTGATATCCAATCAAATTGGCTATCCTTCGGAAATTGTGTCGTCTTCTTATTCGATATTCCCCAGTCTTTCAATACTCCCTTTGAATATAAGGTTTCTGATCTCTGGTTCTCTACATTTGTAGTCGTCTTTTGCTGAGTATTCTTCTCATTGTCAGAATATATCACATTTCCGGTATCATTAATATGTTTCGTAATCGATGTCCTCAACGGCTGTTTCTCGATAATAGTCGGTTCCAGCGGTTGTCTATCTTTCTCTATTGTCGTCGATTCGAACTGTAATTTCTTCTGAACTGATTTTAAATCTCTTTTGTCCGTCTTTTTCGGTTCTGTCTGTACCTCTAATATAGGCATTTGCGGACTACTTTCTTTTGCCGATTTTTTGGTCTCTAATTTTCTTTTATATTCGTTCATCGTTTCCGGACTAATAGGAGGTCTACCCTCTCTTATACGGGTTTGATAAACATTTAACTGTTTTAACTTTTCTTCCGTATTCTTAATCTCTTTGTTTATGAATTCGAGTTGAGAAGCAGTTAATATGTCTGCCTGTTCTCGAAGTCCTTCTATTTCTGTGAATTCGAGGTCTGCGTTGTCCATTGCAACGGTAGTACCAAAGAATTCTTCTAATTCTTCATCTATACTCTTATTTTCGTTCTGTAGTCCCGTTTCTTCTAATAATTTCTTAGCTTTCGTCGTATTCTTCTCTTCTGCACTTTCAATGACTGTATCTTCTGATTCTTCATCCGATTCTATTTCGTGATGAGATATAATCATCGAAATATCATTGAGTGTCATATTGGGATCGAATCTATCGCCCAATTTCTCTTTTATCGCTAAGAAATTTCTTACAAATTCCCGTGACATCTTATAAGCTGTACTTCCGGTTCGCAACTTCCGGTTTCGGCTTCTAATCTCTATTTTGCAATACTTTAGTCTTTTCTTTTAATGACAGTCTTTCTCTCTAATATTTGCGGACAATCTGGTCCACCTCTTTGTAGACAATCTGGTCTACCTCTTGTGCTGTCTTCTAATTTCTATTTCTTCTGTGTTTGGACAACAGGCGCCTCCACCACTTGAAACGGGCCTGACTTTTATGGCCAGTTACAAGGAACTGTAGCTCAGTCGCTCAGCTCAACTTAAGTACTCGGGGATCGAATTCAGACAGTATGTCTGGTCCGATAGTATTGCAGTTCTCGTAATCACCCTTTCGATGTCGCGGTCCTTTGTCTTGACTTCAATTACCTGCCGATATCCCTCATACTTCACACTTAAGACAAACTATCACTCAATGCACACTTCAATTGATGATTAAATATATTTATTAATTATGTTAATTACATATTAGTTACAAAAATAGAAGTATTATTTAAATTGAATGTTTCGTTTGCCTTAAAAATGATTGACAAGTCTATCGACTGCTTTCTTCAAGCGTAGGCAAAAGAGTAAAAATTATTATAGAAATTACTTAAAATTACAAATTATTAAAATAGGAAAATAACTGAATATAGAGTAATTCATGGAAACTTTCGATAAACTTATCAATAATTCTTTCTCTCATATGACTATCATTTCACTCTGAATTACAAATCTATTAATAATATAAAGTTTGAATTATGAATGTATGAAATTTCTATAAAAAATCTAATAATTATATTCAAAAATTCAATATAAAAGTTGAGGTATTTTCGGCCCCTTTCATTAGTTTAAATATGACTATCATTTAAGATTATTAATTAGGAAATTTAGCAATTATTTTTAATAGTATTATTAGTTAACCATTATATAATTGCTAAATGTGATTGCATTATAAACGTAATAATATACATGAGAGAGAGATAATTGTGTTTTTAAAAAAATTATTTTTATTTGGTTTCTTAATAATAAAAACATTTAATTTTTTTTAGTTCAGATAATATATAATAATAATTTATTCATTAACATTTATTCTGTGAATCTTAATAGAGTAATAAGTTTATTACTTTATCAGTTTTCAGTATTTTATATAAAAGTAATTTTATTTATCATATATAGTTATTAAATTATTTTTACTTCAATTATTATATTAATAGCATAATTTATATACATAAATCATATAAATTTACAGCATTTATAAATGAATAGTCAAATATAAACTAATTTAAATCATAATGAATTTATTTTTAAAGTTGAATTTCAATTTAATAATTTTTATTATTTTATTGATTTATATTTAAAAAATATATTTTTAGGTCATTTTTTGTTAACAATGCATTTATTACCGTTAATAAAACAAGCATCAACTGCACGTATAATTACTGTATCCTCTAGTGGACATATGATGGGCAAAATTCATTTGGATAATATCAATTTGCGTAACGGTGCCTACACTAGCTGGAAGGCCTACGCCCAGAGCAAACTGGCCAATGTATTGTTTACACGGGAACTGGCCCGACGACTGGGTGGACTCAACAGTAATGTCAAAACCTATTGTGTACATCCCGGTCCTGTCAATACTGATCTACAGCGACATAGAGACGGTGGACCAGCCGGTAGACTGCTATTGAAATGTATTGGACTGACACCCGAAATGGGAGCACAAACATCACTGTATTGTGCACTGGATGCAGATCTCGACAAACAAACTGGTTGTTATTATGCGTATGTATCCATATATTTTTTTGTTAACTAAAAGTCAGTAATCACATTAGGTTATCATTTATTATTAAAAAAAATTATATGATATTGTTATTGTATTTTGTAATAAAAATATATTTGTTATTTTTTCTAATAGTAATTGTCGTAAAGTGAATAATATGATATCGACGGCAACCGATGACCGTATGGCCGAACTCTTGTGGGACATGAGTTGCAATTTGGTTAATCTTGAAGACAATCTTAAGATATAATTTATATGATATTTTGTATTATATATATAGACTAAATATTTTTTTATTATTAAAGTAATATAAAGTATTTTTTATGTTATACAATTGTATTGCATTATTACTGTATTATTTATTTGACTTTATTGATAACCATCAATTTTTACTGTTTTATTTATAATTAATAATTTATTATTATTTAATCTGACTAATATTTATCAGTAAAAACAAATATATTATGCACTTATTCTGCATTTAATTTATTTTAGTTATAATAATATAAACAAAATTTTCTTTAAAAGTTTAAACAACTATAGTATAAATATATATTTTTAAATAAATAAAAATTATATATTTTTTAATAATTAAATATTAATAATATTATTCAATCTATTTCTAGTATATTTGTTAAATAAAATACAAATAAAATATTTTCTTAGAAATTATGTCAAGAATTAATAATAAATTATTCTCACAAATAAAAAAAATATATTTTTTAATATATTTGATAACTAATAATCATATGAGTGACATATAATTTAGTAATAGTAATATAAAGATATCAAATAAATGTCACGCATATTATAGATTAACATATAAACTGTTGCCTAATATAATAAAATTATTAAAATCAAATAAAAATAAATTAGAATAAATATAATATTATTATTATTATTATAATAATATCTTAATTACATCAAACAAATTATATTTAACTGTATTATAATAAAGAATATAATTAAAGCATATTATATCTATTATTATCTATAATAGTTCAATAAATAAGATAATCATAATTATTATCATTAATCATAATTAGTATAATTAATCATAACTATTATTAAGTAAAATATAAATCATTAATTATTTGAAAAATTAAATTTTGTTTTTATTGTGTGTACGTGTAATATTTTTAGAAATTTAAATATATCAATTATATTAAAAAATTATAATGGCTAATTTAATACGACTGGGCATATCTGGTTATTTTGAATACTTGCGTTTACTATTCAGACTATCAAAACGATGTCAAAGTCAACGACAATTGACTGGTGATGTGGCAGTGGTTACCGGTGCCAACACTGGTATCGGCAAAGAGACGGCCTATCAATTGTCCTTAAGAGGCGCTACTGTAATATCATATTAATATTTTTATAATAATTAGTAATAATAATATTTTTATGTTTATTTGAAATTTTTTCATTATTTTTTTATGGTTTTATTAGGTTATTATCGGGTGTCGTAACATTGAGAAAGGCGAGGATGCCGTCAACGATATTAAGGGTAGGAACGAGTCGGCAGATATTATACTACTTAAGCTGGATTTGGCATCATTGAAGTCCGTCAGACAGTTTGCCCAAAATGTTGCCCAACAGGTCAGGAAAGTCGACATTATTGTCAATAATGCCGGTGTTATGATGTGTCCCGAATGGAAAACTACTGATGGATTTGAAATGCAATTTGGAACCAATTATTTGGGTAATCATATTTATTATTATTATTATTATTATTATTGATAATTATTGTTACTATTTATTACTAATTTTTAGTAATTATATATGTATTATAATTTGTTTCATTTTTTTCAAATCACCCCTCCACTGCCACTGCCCTATCCATTGCCACCTAATCTACCTCCAGGCCATTTTTTGCTGACCATGCATTTGTTGCCACTATTGAAAAAGTCGGTCTCGGCCCGTGTGATCAACATAAGCTCATTGGCCCATATGATTGGCCGTATAAACTTTGAAAACATCAACATGGTCAATGGTAGCTACCAGCCCTTCAAGGCCTATGCTCAGAGCAAACTAGCACTCATACTGTTTGGCCGTGAACTGGCCAGACGGTTGGGCTCGGAGAGCAAGATCAAGACCTATAGTGTACATCCGGGACATACATTCTCTGAGTTGGGTCGTTATGATGATATGGTAGGCATGATCTATAAGTTGGGCAAAATTGTGTTTTTGAATCCCGAAATGGGTTCTCAAACTACACTGTTTTGTGCATTAGACGAGACATTGGATAACGAAACCGGATTTTATTATGTGTGAGTTATTTGATTTGTTTAATTGTATAACTTTTTTTAATAAGTAAAAGTAACAACAGTTTTATTTTATTAAATATAATTATTATTAAAAATATTAATAAAAACTGATTCATGAATTCAATATAATTAAAATACATAAACGGCGATAAAAATCAATGTATATGTATAATAAAATTTATAAACTTTGATGAATTCATTGAAAAATATTAATTTTTATCGGCTTATATAATAGAAATCAAATATTAATATATTATTAGTTTATAAAAATTACTTATGATATTTTTGTATGTTTATTATTATTATTATAATTATTGTAAAATATATGATATTAATGTAAAACTATTTTTCAATTTATTAAGTAACTGTGCCCGAGTTAATGGTATGGTTAGTGCAGCCAAAGATGATATTAGTGGCGAAAAACTATGGGATTTGAGCTGCGATTTAGTTAATCTCGAGCCACACCTCAGGATTTATACTGCAAAGTCTAGTGCCTGGCAGGAGACTGACAAATAAATTATCAACAAATTAATTACAATTACTTTATTTTACCCATAATGTTATATATATATATATATCTAAAAAACAATAATTAGTATACTAATTATAATAACAATTCACTAAAAATACATGTTTACTAAATATTTATACAGTTAAAATACTTATAACATTTATTAGATACAGTTATTTATAAATTATATCTAATCTATTAATTGTAATATCTGTTCAATACATATCTGGATATACTGAATTAAAAAATAAGTTAATTTATCTAATTTATAATTAACATTATAATTTATAATGATTTATATAGATAATTCATATAAATAAGATATAAATAATTTATTAATATTAATTTTGTAATGTAACTTATAATTAATTTTGATTGCTCCCACTAAATGATTATATAATTTCTATAATTATTTTAATTAATAAAGATCAATAAATATATAATTTTAATTGTATACAAACTTATAAGTTTAATTTAATATAAATTTATTTAATATAAATTTATTATAAAAATATCATAGAATTATTATTTATTTATTAAAATTAATTTTACAAGTAATTTACATAAATTGTATTATAATAATTCAAATTAAAGTTTACATAAAGAGGAAATATATTTATTTAAAAATTGTATATATATTCTTATAACTTTAAATACTGAAATTATTTGACAACAAAATTTATAGTTATGTTAATTTAATACGTACATGCTAATTCAATATACAGTATAAATATTTATTTGTATAAACAATAAAGTCAACTATATTAGATAATTAAAAATAAATAGCTATTTATATATATAGACTGTATAGTAATTAATATTTTAACTGTATATTTATAATAGATATAAAAATATTTATATATCCGCTATAAATTACAATATATATTTAGTTAGCTAATTGCAAATATGTTAACTTATTAGTAGTTTATATACTAAATGAATTTAGCAAATAAAGCAAATTTTTTTGTTTATTACAATATTATATTATTTTATAAGAGAAAAATAGATTTTTATTAAAATACTTTATTATGAATTTTTTAGAAATACAATTGTTTCATAGTTTTAAATCTATATAATTTTATGATACAAATATTACTTAAGTTGTTTACATGAATTGTGTATTTTGGTATAATAATGGCACCTACCATAATAACTCATGTCATATTTGATATGTTGGGCACACTGGTCAACACTAACGACTGTATTTTGGACGCCTTCAAACAATATGCCCAACATTTTTATATAAACTTACCGGATAATTATATGAGTAAGTTTATAAGTTTTTTTTCAAAATAATCACATTAATTATATTGTTAATACTTATTGTATGTAATTTATCAATTTTAAATTTATTTTTCAATTATTTCAATAACAACAACATCAAAATAAAATTATAGAAAATATTTTAGAAGCTGATGGTGCAAATAAAATGTTTGACGATTTTTTCGATTACATTAAACTCCCGGAGCCGGCAATGAATAGAAGGTCGGAGAAGATTAAGTTGACAAAAGCTATTGTCGGACACAATCATCAATTGATGCCCGGAGTTAAACGATTTGTTGAACACTTGTACAGTAATAATATACATATGGCTATCGCCACCTCAAGGGACAGTAAGATGTTTGACTATCTGTCCAAACAGGTAAACGGTTTTCTAGACGCCGGCAAACTGTTTGAACACGTTGTTTGCGGTGCTACTGATCCCGAAGTGGTCAACAATAAACCGGCGCCTGATATCTATCACGTTTGTTGTCAGAGATTTAGTGAACCGCCCGATAGTATGCAAAATGTGTTGATTGTTGAAGACTCTCGTAAAGGTATTACCGGCGCTCTGATGACTGGTTCGAAAACATTGCTAATAAACAATGGATTGTATGAATACTTTGATGATATTAGTGATAAAATAACACTGATTTCCGATTCATACCTAAGTGTTAGACTAGACGTCTTAGGAATACCTAATTATGATTAATACTATATGTATTTAACTAAATATTATTAGTACAGTAAATACAAATTATTTATATTTTAAATAATAATTGCAGAAAATTAATTTTTATATTTTATTATTATTATTATTAAATACTTAGAAATAGATTCCCTGTGAATTCCCAGGGAACATGGAAAATAGGGAACTTTTGGATTATAAAACGATGGAGGGAATTGCCCGAACCACAATTATTGTAATTAATATATTAACTAGATTCAATAATTAAATAAATAAAATCATACAGTGCTAATTATTTTTATTAATTTACGTATTTTATAAAGCAATTTTACAATTTATTAATTAATTATTAAATAAAATAATATAAGTTAAAGCAAAAATAAATAAATAATACAATAATAATATATATTAATTGTAAAAATACTCTAAATTTTATAATATAATATGTTCCTAAGTTGTATACAATAATTATATTAAAATTAATTTATACATGTATTTTTAAAAATTAAAATATTCAACAAAAATATTTATGTTTATGATTACTGATAATACAGTAATTATGTTTTATTTAAAATTATTGTCATGGAAACTTTAAAATATTACAGGTTTATTATTATACCATCATTATACTGTACATGTATGTAGAGTACAGTGTACTTAGAAGTAAGTACACTGTACTTATAGGTAAGTACAGTAAATAAAGTTACGTTATTACGTATAAAGTAATTGTACAAATGTACTAAAACATTAAAATGTACTAAAAATTAATTTGTTTGAATATCCTTCAAATATAAACTGTATGTATAAATAATCAATATCTTATAATATAAATAGTTATTCAAAAAAATCATATAAACATTAAAATCCAGTTTATTATAAATTTGTGATTAATTTTTTAAAACTAAATATAAAATCAACTATAAATATTATTATTACATTTTAATAGTATTATTATTATAATAGTTTTCATTTAGGAAGTCAAGATAAAATAAATTAATCTAATCATATTAAATAATAAGATTTTTTTTGTGTTAAAATAATACAAGTTTGAAATTTTAGAAATATTTGTATGAAATATGAGTACTACTAAAAAAAGTGAGAGTAAAATGTGTGAAAAAGCGGAAAATGCAAAAACATTGGTTGGTATGGCTTTCAATGATTTTGGCACTAATACACTACGTATGCGACGTAAGTGCAAAAGTGAACGCCGTTTGGACGGTAAGGTTGTGGTCATTACTGGTGCCAACTCGGGTATTGGCAAAGAATCGGCGTTACAGCTATCAAAACGAGGAGCTAAAGTATAAACTAAAATAATATAAAATAAAATTGATGATTGCTTATTGATTACTGTCCCAACACACAGATATATATTGGATGTCGTAGTCTAGATAAGGCTCAGTTGGCAATCAATGACATCAAAACGGTAAACCCGAGCGCAGACATAATAGCATTGAAACTGGATTTGGCGTCTTTGAAGTCTATCAGACAGTTTGCTTGCGATTTGAAAGAAAGAGAGCCCGTAATCGATATATTGATCAATAATGCGGGTATTATGATGTGTCCGGAGTCTAAAACTACTGAAGGTTTTGAGATGCAATTTGGTAGCAATTATTTGGGTAAATATCTTATTTTTATAACTTTGATAAAAATAATATACTATATGGTAACCAATAAATAAATTACTTAATAAATTTTAACATTTAAACTTAAAATCTAAATTTAAACTCAGAAATAGATATACTTTTTGTATTTTTTGGTGTTATTAAATACTATTTATATAATATAACTTAGGTATTAAAAAAATTAGTATAAAAATAGTGTTTGATAACTATTATCCCAACTATGATATAATCAATACAATAAATAAAATATTTATTAAATAAATTTTAACATATAAAAAATTTGTGAAAAAATAATTATTTTTATATTAATTATATAAATATGATTTTTTAAACCAGGACCATTTTTGTTAACATTATTGTTATTGCCGCATCTGCGTCAATCAACACGTGCACGTGTTATCAATGTATCATCTTCATATCACAAAGTGGGCAAAATTCATTTCGATAATATAATGCTGGCTAACGGTGCTTATGATCCAACCGATGCCTACACCCAAAGTAAGTTGGCTCAGGTATTGGCCACACGAGAAATGGCCCGACGTCTCGGTGATGACAGCACTGTAATGTGTTATGCTTTGAATCCCGGTATCGTCAAGACTGAGCTCCAAAAGTATGCCTTCAGTAACGATATTATGAGAAATATGTTGTTTTTGACGCCAGAAATGGGATGTCAGACAACACTGTACTGTACTCTAGAGGAAAGTCTGGATAACGAATCGGGATTTTATTACGAGTATGTTATTTATAGTAATTATTTTGTTTTGTTTTTTTCTTAATATATTTTAAACAAATTAATTTTAATTAATACTCAAACAGTAATTGCAAACGAGAGGACAGTTTTGTTAAACATGCAGATAATATGGACGACGCAAAAATGTTGTGGCAGTTAAGCTGCGAACTCGTAGACATAGAAGAGTCGTACAGAATCTAAAAATTACATTTAATTAATGTTTAAATACTTGTAATTTGTTATCTATTATATATACAAAATGTATATTATTAATACTGTATATCTAAAATTGTAAGATTTAGTTTACATATTCATTATTTATTTTATTAAACAAAATTAATTGTATTTTTAAAAATTATTATTGTATTTAATTGTATGTTTATTATTATTGACAATAATTGTTTTATATATAAAATTATTGTCATAGTAACTTCAATATATTACAGGTAAATTATGATACTAATGATGTTATGTTATTATAAAGTAATTTACTGTAAATTATATACTAACAGAATGTCCTTCAAATATATTTTATATAAATACATGTATATAATCAATATATTAGTTATTCAAAAAATAAAATAAAAACATTATAATATTATAATAACCAGTTTTTATAATATATATAAATTAGTATTTTGTATTTAATTTTTGTTATTGTTAAATTTTATATACTATAAAAGAAATTATAAATAGCTATAAAATTGTTATTGTAGTATTAAGTGATAGTCAAATAGCATTATTTTAATTGTTAAAATAATATAACTTTAAAAATTTTAACAAAAAAATATATTTGTATGAAATATGAATACTACTAAAAAGTGCGACAATAAAATGTGTGAAATAGCGGAAAATGCAAAAACAATGATCGGTATGACTATTCACGAGTTTGGCACCAATACTCTGAATATGCGGCGTAAATGTAAAAGTAAACGCCGTTTGGACGGTAAGGTTGTGATCATTACTGGTGCCAACTCGGGTATTGGCAAAGAAACAACATTACAGCTATCAAAACGAGGAGCTAAAGTATGAACTAAAATAATTGTTATCTTATATCTTAAATTTACATAAACTTATTGATTATCTGACTGTCCAACACTCAGATATATATTGGATGTCGTAGTCTAGATAAGGCTCAGTTGGCAATCAATGACATCAAAACGGTAAACCCGAGCGCAGACATAATAGCATTGAAACTAGATTTGGCGTCTTTGAAGTCTATCAGACAATTTGCTTGCGATTTGAAAGAAAGAGAGCCCGTAATCGATATATTGATCAATAATGCGGGTATTATGATGTGTCCGGAGTCTAAAACTACCGACGGTTTTGAGATGCAATTTGGTAGCAATTATTTGGGTAAATATCTTATTTTTTATCTTTAGATAAAACATAATATTTTTGATAATTTTGATTAAAAAATACTATGTCTTTAAAGCACAGATATACAGTAAAAAAATATTTAGTAAATAATAACTTTTTTTAAATATTTACATTTAAGATTTTTGATATAAATTTAATATAATATTAAATTGATTACCATAAAAATTTAATTTAATTAAATATATATATATTTATATATTAATTTACTTTAATATATATGTATTATTTACCTCTATTAAAATAACTTAATTATTAAAAAAATAAATATAAAAATACAGTTAATAACTATTATCATAAGTATTAATACAATAAATTCAGTTGTTTTTTATAAATAATATAAAACCATTTTACTTAAAATATAAAAATATAAAATTAATAATTATTTAAATATATTTTATCTATCATACACTCAGGGCCATTTTTATTGACTCTATTGTTATTACCGCATATACGTCAATCAACACGTGCACGTGTTGTTAATGTATCATCTGCCTATCACAAAGTGGGCAAAATTCATTTCGATAATATAATGCTGGCTAACGGTGCTTATGATCCAGCTGATGCATACGGCCAAAGTAAGTTGGCTCAGGTATTGGCCACACGAGAAATGGCCCGACGTCTCGGTGAGGGAAGTACTGTCACGTGTTATGCCTTACATCCCGGTGCTGTCAAGACTGAACTCCAAAAGTATGCCTTCAGTAACGATATTATGAGAAATATGTTGTTTTTGACGCCAGAAATGGGATGTCAGACAACACTGTACTGTACTCTCGAGGAAAGTCTGGATAACGAATCGGGATTTTATTACGAGTATATTATTTATAACTTTATTTATTTATATTAATGTAAGTTTTGCTTACTTTGTTGATCACAACTTTGTATCCGCAAACTAGCGGTAAATTTCTGGACAATTGTTTCGAGGAGATCGGCTCCTCTTCATCAGCAGTGATGGTCAACTGAGGGTCAGACCTGACACTTACAGTTGCCTTAATAGCCATAAGTGAAGTCAGGGTTAGGGAGAGATATGTGATAATTGGTATCATATGTGATGTTAGGGTTTGTGTTACAAGTGTTTAAATGTTTTAAATTTATTTATTTACAATTATAACATAAAATTCACATAATATACAACTTGCCAACAGAACAGCCCTATATTAGGGCTGATCATTGGCATTACAATTATTATTAATTAATGACAGATATGTGTCTGGAATACATGTTTTTGAATTTTGTTGATCATTTATTAACATATTATTGTTTATTTTTTCTGTCTCTATTTTCCAACTTTCCAAAAATAATCTAGATTTATAGTTATTTTCAGTATATATAATTTTTGGGTTTTCAAAATTAATTTTATGATTGTTAGAAGATCTGTTGGCAAGTTGTATATTATGTGAATTTTATGTTATAATTGTAAATAAATAAATTTAAAACATTTAAACACTTGTAACACAAACCCTAACATCACATATGATACCAATTATCACATATCTCTCCCTAACCCTGACTTCACTTATGGCTATTAAGGCAACTGTAAGTGTCAGGTCTGACCCTCAGTTGACCATCACTGCTGATGAAGAGGAGCCGATCTCCTCGAAACAATTGTCCAGAAATTTACCGCTAGTTTGCGGATACAAAGTTGTGATCAACAAAGTAAGCAAAACTTACATTAATATAATAATGAGTGTCGACAACTACAAAAAACTTAATAAATTAATAATTTATTTATTTACTTATTTTAAACAAAATAATCTTATTTATATCTAACACTTGATTTTTTATAAAATATTATAGTAATTGCAAACGAGAGGACAGTTGGGTCAAACATGCAGATAATATGGACGACGCAAAAATGTTATGGGAGTTAAGCTGCGATCTCGTAGACATAGAAGAGTCGTACAGAATCTAAAAATTACATTTAATTAATATTTAAAAACTTGTAATTTGTTATCTATTATATATACAAAATGTATATTATTAATACTGTATATCTAAAATTGTAAGATTTAGTTTACATATTCATTATTTATTTTATTATACAAAATTAATTGTATTTTTAAAAATTATTATTGCATTTAATTGTATGTTTATGATTATTGACAATAATTATTTTATATGTAAAATTATTGTCATAGTAACTTTAATATATCACCGGTAAATTATGATACTAATGAGGTTATGTTATTATAAAGTAATTTACTGTAAAGTACTGTAAAGTAATTTATTAACAGAATGTTATTCAAATATATTTTATATAAATACATGTATATAATCAAAATATTAGTTATTAAAAAAATAAAATTAAAAAATTATAATATAATAACTATAAAAGCAATTATAAATAGCTATAAAATTGTTATTGTAATATTAAGTGATGGTTAAATAGCATTATTTTTATTGTTAAAATATTTTTGTATGAAATATGAATACTACTAAAAAGTGAGACAATAAAATGTGTGAAATAGCGGAATATGCAAAAACAATGATCGGTATTATTATTCACGAGTTTGGCACCAATACTCTGAATATGCGGCGTAAATGTAAAAGTAAACGCCGTTTGGACGGTAAGGTTGTGATCGGCGTTACAGCTATCAAAACGAGGAGCTAAAGTATGAACTAAAATAATTGTTATCTTATTTCTTAAATTGACATAAACTTATTGATTATCTGACTGTCCAACACTCAGATATATATTGTCAAACGAAAGGACAGTTGGGTCAAACATGCAGATAATATGGACGACGCAAAAATGTTATGGGAGTTAAGCTGCGATCTCGTAGACATAGAAGAGTCGTACAGAATCTAAAAATTTATATTTAATTGTTATTTAATTTACATTTAAATAAAACTACTTGTAATCTGTAATTTACTATAACCAGTAAATATAAGATATTGTATATTAATATAACTAAAATTATAAAAATTTGTTTATATAAATTTATTAATTACTTAATTCTACAAAATTAAATGTATTTTTAAAGTATTATAAAAATATATTAAAATTACTATTATTTATATATTTATTTGCTGATTGTATTCAAGAAAGAATTACTAAAATAAATTAGAAATATATTAAAATTATATATTTATATAATTATAACTAAATAATTTGATTAATATATCTCTAATAAAATAGCATATGTTTTTTCCGTTTATTCTGTAGATATTAGTGTATATAATATTTTTTGCATACATTTAATACAATATAGTATATTGAATATTTTGTTGAATTTAATTAAAATTTAAAAATAATAAAAGTGCTGATGCACCCAATATATACAGTATATATTAATATACAATAATATTTTTCATTAATTAATAAATTTATTATTGTACAGTATATTAATATGTACTGTATATACAGATATAATTTGTGTACATATGCACCAAAACTCAAGGTTACAACTATGATTGCAAACAAGTATATAAATGGATTGAATTATAATAAATTTTTTCAATTAATTTAATAAAAGTTTTCATCAATAATAATAATAATTAATTTTGGACTTAAAATAGTTTTGTATTGTATCAGATATATCATAAAAATATGTGCGAAACAATGGTTAACGTCAATAGACTTATTAGTATAGCAACCTATGATATCGGAACCAATACATTGAATATGAGACGAAAATGCAAAAGTGACCGCCGTTTAGACGGTAAGGTAGTTGTGATTACCGGCGCCAACACTGGTATCGGAAAAGAAACGGCTTTACTTCTCTCGAAACGCGGTCCAAAGGTTTGTCATACAAAAAAAAATATTTTATTTAAAAAAAATCATATCAATTATTACGACTCTCTACTAGATATACATGGGTTGTCGTAATATAGAGAAAGCTGAGTCGGCTATCAATGATATCAAAACGGCTAATCCCGGCGCAGACATAGTAGCACTTAAACTGGATTTGGCGTCATTGAAGTCTGTCCGACAGTTTGCTAGTGAACTAAAGGAAAGGGAGTCAGTGATCGACATATTGATCAATAACGCCGGTATTATGGCCTGTCCTGAATGGAAGACAAAGGATGGCTTTGAGATGCAGTTCGGCACTAATTATTTGGGTATTTATTTCATTATATTTTTATTTTTTATTTATTTTTCAATTACATAAACTTACTAACATTTAGAATTGATTTTCTATTTATTAATAATTAATTGTTATAATAATTTTTTCTACCTATATTTTAAAACATTATCTTTTAAAAATAATTAGCAAATTATTAAAAAATTAATCTATTTATATATTTTTTAATTAATTTATGTATATAAATATTAGGTCCGTTTCTACTAAACATGTTACTATTGCCCCAACTTAAACAATCATCAGGAGTCGCACGTATTGTTAATGTGTCGTCCAGTATGCACGCTGTAGGCCGTATCAAGTTTGACAACCTTAATCTAGTTAACGGTGCCTACAATCCTACCCGTGCCTACGGTCAAAGTAAACTGGCAGTAGTGTTGGCCACACGAGAAATGGCCCGTCGATTGGGACCCAAAAGTACTGTAAACTGTTATGTCCTGAATCCCGGTGCCGTCAAAACGGAACTCCAGCGACACAGTAGTGCAACAAAAATGATGGACTCGTTGTTTATTACGCCTGAATTGGGATCTCAGACCACACTCTACTGTTCATTGGATGAGTCGTTGGACAAGGAATCGGGTTTTTATTACGAGTAAGTTATCGTATTAATAGTTAAAATGCAAAAAAATATATTATTTAGTATTAAAACTATATTTTATTTATTCATAATTTCACAAAAAAAAATATTATTGAATATAGGATACTAGTACAACATTATGTGGATTAAAACTTTTTATTAAATGATTACATAATGAATTATAGTTTAATTTATAATTTTTTTTCATATAAACAGTAATTGCAAACGTGTGGACAAAATGGTCAAAGAGGCGACCGATGATTTGACGGCAAACAAATTATGGGACATTACTTGCGATTTGGTTGATATCGACAAACATTTAAAAATTTAATTATTTATAATTAGTTGAATTTCATAATAATATATTTTTTTTGTTTATAAATTTATTTAATCAATAATAACTTTTAATAACATTTATAATTTTTAAAATAAACAGTCATTTGATTCATTAAATTATCGTTAAGTTGTGTTTTTATTCCCATATGGAAATGTCTGAGTCATGGGAAATAATGCGAGTTTTTAACAATATGAAAAAATAGTTTTTTAACTTTTAAAAATAATTTCCCACCCCCTGATTTTAATACATTTTAAAATTTCCCACCCCTTATATTTGGATGTCTCAAAAAGATTCAATCCTATTAATATGCCATCTATTGACCGATTTATGATTTTAACTGTATATGTTTTTATATTAATATAACTAACGGTAATAAAAAAAACTGTAAATTATTTTATAAATGTTTTAAAAAACGTGTTTTTAATACAAATCAATATATCATTTATTTTTAAAAAGTTTTTAATTTATATACCCGTAAAAACCGTTTAATAACTATCAAACATATAATTACCGATAATTGTTTGTAATTAATGGCCACAAATCGGCGGCTATTAACCACAATCGGTACCAGTGATCAATAGCGCTGAACCTGATGACCGATGTTTGACACCAATGTCTGCTCAGACAACACCGATATCAGTGATCAATGACATACAAACAGATTACCGATATTTGAATCCAATGTTTGATCAGTCAACACCGGTACCACTAATCAATGGCCATCAATCAGATTACCGATATCTGACACAAATGTCATCAGACAACACCGGTACCAGTGATCAACAGCGCTCAACGTAATGACCATAATTTGACACAAATGTCTTGCCCGACAACACAGGTACCAGTTCTCTATGGCCATCAATCAGATTACCGATATTTGACACAAATGTATTGCCCGACAACACAGGTACCAGTTCTCAATAGTCAACAACCAGATTACCGATTATTTACTCTACCGATAGTTATTTTTAAATAAAATATAAATGAATAGTTTTTATTGAATATTAGTTACCGGTAATACCTGTCATTACAGCTCCCTATTCCCCCAATTTTGCTTTTCCCTATAGACTCGTTTAATTTACCAGGGGTGGTAAAAAATACGAGTTTTTTCCCATATTAAAATTTTTTTTTTTCATTTTTTTTTAATTCCTTATGGGAATAAAAACACGATTTTACGGTAAGTGTTTTTTTAAACTTATAATTTACGATTTTATTAAATATTTTATTATTATTATTAAATCAATATATAGTAAATTCTTGTGTAAATTATAATAATGCATTTTTTTCTAATTAAGTATTTAAATAAATTTTTACATAAAAATAAGTACAAATTTATTATAATATATTGATCGTTAATTTATTCTCTAATGATCTGAATTTTTGTAATTTTAATAATTAATTAAAACATTTATTAATATATTAATGTAATATACAATACATGTAATATAATTTATAATACGGTAAGTTTATTTATAATAAAGTTTTACTACAAAAATAACGTTTATCACAAATATAACTGCAATATATTTTATTTTAAATTTAATTTAATAAAATAAATACCATAATAAAAATATTTTTGATTTGGTATTATTTTTTTACTAAAATTTTTGAGATATCTCTTAAACAGCGGCGGCAATGATATTCATTACAATTATGTGGTCAACAATACATTGGATATAATAGTTTTAGATAATTTTAAACTGAATAAAATTGTAGTTGATCATTTTTTTAAAAAAAATAATTAATTGTATGATTTGTCAGATAATTTACAGTTGAATGTTTAAATTTTTTAAATAATGATATTCAACATACAACAAATAAAAAATTGTCTATAACTTTATCACTTTTAAATCTAACATATTGTTAATCAAGTAATTGTAATTAATATTATCACCGCAATCATCGCCACTGATTTAAGGAATCTTTTTAAAAATTTTAAAAATTCAATGAATTCTAAATATTTTTTATTTTTGAAAAGTTCAAACACACAGATATTTATCGATAATAAACATATAATAATAATAATAATATGCACTAAAATTAAACTATTGAAACACTACCGGTAATTTGATTGCAATAAAAACAACTCATAATATACTGTATATACATTAATGTAGTACTAATGCTCCCTGTTATCCTTGAATTGTTTCTAGAAATACTTAATTACCAAGGTTATATTATCAGCATATATATAATACATAGTGTATATATGTTTGAATTGAAATTTACAATTGAATTAAATAAATAAAAGTTAAGATTGCTAGTATAAATTGTCTACTAATACTAGAAATTTTATTATTTATACTAATGTTTTATTGAAATATTTATATAACTTAGACATTATTTAATAATATTTATTATTATTATTATTTGTTAGATTTTAATATAAAAAATTTTAATTATAAATAAGTTAACAATTTATATTATATTTGTAAAAAATGCTTAATCCTATACTATTTGTCTATCGTATGATACGATTAACATTTTATGAGTTTTTAAGTAATTTTTTTGGTTTTCGCCGAATTGCCAAAAGTAAGAGACAATTACCGGGTAAAGTAGTTGTGATTACCGGTGCCAACACCGGTATCGGCAAAGAGACAGCATTTCAAATGACACTAAGGAAGGCAAAGGTATTTAATAATTATGTTTTTTGTGTTTCATAAAATAAAAAACATTTTTTTTTCAATAAAAAAAGGTATACATTGGTTGTCGAGACGTGAAAAAAGCTGAGACAGCTGTCGCCCAAATCAAAGCACTAAATCCCGGAGCAGACATACATGTGCTACGATTAGACTTGTCTTCTCTTAAATCGGTTCGCATGTTTGCCAAAGAATTGTCATCACTTGAATCGACAATCGATATACTGATCAATAACGCCGGTGTTATGGCCTGTCCTGAGTGGCAGACAGAGGATGGCTTTGAGATGCAGTTCGGAACAAATCATTTGGGTATTCATACAAATCTATGTCCAACACTTTGCTGTACTCATTACTGTCCTTAAAATTTTTATTAATTTTTATGTATAATTTTAGGTCATTTCCTGTTAACAATGCATTTGTTGCCATTAATTAAGAGATCGTCAAACGCCCGTATAGTAAACGTGTCGTCCTGTGGCCATCAATTGGGTGACATTAATCTTAATAACATTATGTTACGTAACGGTGCCTACAGTCCTATGATAGCCTATGGCCAGAGTAAGTTGGCCAATGTGTTGTTCACCCGTGAACTGGCCCGACGTTTGACATCGACCAACGTTAACAATGTAAACGTCTACAGTCTAAATCCCGGTGCCATACAAACAGATCTGGCCCGACATTCAGATATGTCAAAGGGATCGGTTGGAAAATTTATTCAGCGATACTTTTTCATGAAACCATGTATGGGCTCTCAGACAACACTTTATTGTTCATTAGATGAACAATTGGACAATGAAAGTGGTTTTTACTATAAGTAAGAAAAATTATTTATATTATTTGTTAATTAAGTTATTTAATACGTTATTATATTTATTTTGTTGTGTAGTAATTGTCGTCGCGTCACAAGTATGGTCTCTACGGCTACCGATGACCACACGGCCCGTAAACTTTGGGATCTCAGTGTCGACTTAGTCGGACTCGAGAAGCATTTAGAAATATAAAGGATTTTATTTTTAATAAATTTTATATATATACTGTATACATATATTTTTATGGTTAATATTATTTAAAATATTTTTTAATTGTTTAAATTAAATACTTTGTTAAATGTAATAATTTGATAAATATAATAAATAACTAAAAATATGCGATATTTTTGGTAATGATTTATTATTCAATTTAAAATATTGTAACTATAGCATATTAAATATAAAATTATTTAATTAAGTAAACTATATGATTTTTAAAAAATTTGTAATTTGTTTTATATAAATCATATTCAGTATGTTTTTAAAAATATTTTATTAAAAATTTAGCATTTAAATATTAGAGCAAAAGTTAGGTAATAATTATATTTTTTTAAACCTATCAATTGTCACAATTAAAGAAACTAATATTTAACACAAATATAAACTAATTCATAACTAACTTCTTAATAATGAAAGCGATGACAATCAATGTCAGCAAACGAAACAAATTAAATTCAAACATTGATTTTGTGTCACTCTTATAGATATCTATATACTCGTGACTGACATCAGACTCATTGACAGTCACCACCCGATAGCCGCTGTTGGCATTGCGTCCGGTCGGCGATTGGGCGCCGATAGCCGACGTCACCACTAATTCCAGGTCTTCATAGCGTCCGCCGGCATTACGATGATAATGGCCGGCAAATATGGCCCGAACGCCGGCATCAACAAACTTTTGGATCATTTTCTTTCGCACAGTTATCTCAATGTTAAACTAGTTTTTGGTTTTTTTGAAAAAAAACAATTTTTATAATAATAAACTCAAGTCCAACAACAACGTAAACTACCATTTCATCTAACGGTTCGTCAATATTGTTCAAAAACCACGGTATATGTTGAAAGACAATTACGTGTTTATAATTGCCGGCCTTTGCTTCGGCTAACTGTTTGGTCAGCCACTGGTCGTGTTCGGCGTACAAGTCTTCAACTAATTGATGATCTTTATAGTACTGGACATTGATTACAATAAACATACAGCCGTCCACCCAAAATGTAAAATAGTCGTCACCGAAGTTAGTCTTGTAGGCAGCAATCGACTCGTGTGTTGGCGTATTCAAGAAGTCATGATTACCGCCTAATATTAAAGTCAAAAAATATGTTATAAAATTTATTTAATACCCAATTTATATTATATGCTATTATTATTATTATTATACTTACCCAACAACACTAACGGTATATCTCTGTCCAGCTTTTCAAAAGCACGCTTAAAGTCGTCTAACTGTTGCTGTCTTCGAGGCTCATGACCGGGAAAGTCGTCGACCAGATCGCCACAAATGACCACAAATTTGGGTTTTGGTTTCATTGAATTCCACTGACGGATAGCTTCTTCGGTCAATTGTATCTCTTCATCCCATTTGCCGTCGGTTTTGTTTTTCAAAAATGTCTCAATCATACCAAACTGGGTGTCCGCCCCCTGAATGAAATGATACGATTGACGCCATTCCCGGTTCTTCTCTATAATTATTATTATTTCATATAAAAGTCAATTTTATAGATTTTCTAAAAATATTTTTCATTCTAAATGTTTGTTTGTTTTTCTATAAAAATATGTTTTTAAAAATTATTATTTAAAACAAAATCACTTTTTTCAATAGTGATATATTTATATTACAGTATATTTTTTGTTAATTAATACAAACCTTTTTCAAAGCCAATGTATGTGCGATTAACGGCTCGTTTGAAAATAGTATCATTTGATTCACCATTTATTGCACTAATAGTAAAATTAATGTAAATTGTGATCAATAATATCAATTTTAAAAGCATTTTGTTTACTATTATTATAACTATTTAAATATATTATTTATTTATTATACTAAATGTGTTTTATTTTTATTAAACAAACAAAAAAAATAATTATACTAGATACTGTAATATTAGTAGCAAAAAGTATAATTAATGATATTAATTAAAATGTCAATAATATTTACAATTTAATATTTTAGTTATCTTAAATTTTACGATAACATTACTTATTATTATTAAATTTTATTACAATATTTAGCCATAACTTTAGTACAGTAATTATTCAAGTAGTATAAGTTATATACAGCATATACTGTATGTATATTTAATACAGTATTATAATCAATTGAATTTTAGATAAAAGTCAAGTTAATTTTGGTTTAAAAGTTTGATATATTGGACTTATCAGTGAAAATATTATTAATAGTTATACATTTACTGTATATTTGTTTTTTAAGTTTATTATATTAAAATTACAATAATTGTAGGGGAAAGTAGTTGATATTACCTGTGCCAACACAAACCCAACTCTGAGATCTCAGTGTCGACTTAGTACGACTTACGGATCATTTTAAAATATAATATATTTTTAAATTTTTTATTTAATACTTTTTATTTTTTTAATACATTTTATATTTATATATTAGTATGCAACCTATTATTTTTATTATTAAAAACTTTTTTAAGTGTTTGAATTAAATAAAAGTTTTATAATAAAACATAGACATATGATTTTTTTTAAAAATAATAATTTAATCAATTATAAATACTGTACATTTTAGCATGATAAATATAACTATAATTTACATGAAACGTAGTAAATTTAAAAAATAAAGCAAAAAATTAGATAATAATTTTTTTTATATATAATAACAATTATCACATTTATCGTAATGTCTTTCTCTTAATAAATACCATTAATTACAATAATAATATCTAAATCATAATAAACTTTTGAATGATGAATGCAATGACAATCAATGTCATCAAACAAAACAAATTGAATTCAAACACTGATTTTGTGTCACTCTTATAGATATCTATATACTCGTGACTGATATTAAACTCGTTGACAGTCACCACCCGATAGCCGCTGTTGGCATTGCGTCCGGTCGGCGATTGTGCGCCAATAGCCGACGTCACCACTAGTTCTAGTTCTTTATAGCGACCGCCGGCGTTACGGTGATAATGGCCGGCAAATATAGCCCGAATACCGGAGTCGACAAACTTTTGGATCATACGCTTTCGCACAGTTATCTCAAACTATTTTTTGTTAAATCAAGATTTTAATTACTAATCTAATAATAATAACAACAACAAGTGACCTACATTTTCAGCTAAAGGTTCGTCAATATTGTGCAAAAACCACGGTATATGTTGAAAGACAATTACGTGCTTATAATTGCCGGCCTTTGCTTCGGCTAACTGTTTGGTCAGCCACTGGTCGTGTTCGGCGTACAAGTCTTCAACTAATTGATGATCTTTATAGTACTGGACATTGATTACAATAAACATACAGCCGTCCACCCAAAAAGTAAAATAGTCGTCACCGAAGTTAGTCTTGTAGGCGGCAATCGACTCGTGTGTCGGCGTATTCAAGAAGTCATGATTACCGCCTATTATTAAAGTAGAAAAATATGTTATAAAAATATTTTAATACCCAATTTATATTATATGCTATTATTATTATTATACTTATACTTACCCAACAACACTAACGGTATATCTCTGTTCAACTTTTCAAACGCATGCATAAAGTCGTCTAACTGTCGCTGTCTTCGAGGCTCATGACCGGGAAAGTCGTCGACCAGATCGCCACAAATGACCACAAATTTGGGTTTAGGTTTCATTGAATTCCACTGACGAATAGCTTCTTCAGTCAATTGTATCTCTTCATCCCATTTTCCGTCGGTTTTGTGTTTCAAATATGTCTCAATCATACCAAACTGGGTGTCCGCCCCCTGAATAAAGTGATACGATTGACGCCATTCCCTATTTTTCTCTATCATTATTATAATAAATTTTTGATTTAAAAAAAATATTTTTAATTTATATTTATTAATTTAAATGTTTGTTTTTCATCTTAAAACATGTTTAAATAATTTTTGTTTTTTATTATAAAAAAAATATTTTTTAGATTTTACAATACAAACCCTTTTCAAAGCCAATGTATGTGCGATTGACGGCTCGTTTGAAAATAGCATCGTTTGATTCACTATTTATTGAACTTATAGTAAAATTAATTAAAATTATTATCAATAATTTAAATCTCAAAAACATTTTGATTATAATTTATATTTTTATGATAAATAAATAAATATAATATTTATATAATAAACGTGCTTTTATTTTTTGAAATAAATATAGCAATAGTAAAATAAACTAATTTCTGCTAAGATATTTCTGCTAAATACTGTAATATTAATAACAAAAAAAGTATAATAATAATTAGGGTGTCCATTTGAAGATATATAACTATTTTTACTGATATCGGTGAATGAGCTCATATGAGTTAATATATGAGTATATCATATAAAAATACAAAATTATACAAAATTTTACATTGCCTATAAATAACTTTTAGTTAACTTTTGATTAATTTTTGACTAAAATCCTATAATTTAACATAATTTAAGTGATATAAAGGAAAAATAAAAATAAATAAAATTAGTAAACAATTATGTAAAAAATAAAGAGAAATAAATCATATTTAAAAGAAATACTAACTACAAATATATTTAACGTTATATTATTTGTCGTTAAAAAATTATTTTTTGGTACAGTTGCTGCATTAATAGTAAATTAAAACAAATTTATTTAATAAAATATTAGATCGAAAAATTAAAGTATGTATTATTATGAAGAAAAGTTTTTAAAAATTGTTTGAAAATAAATAACTTTTAAGTAACTATTTGTCAATTTTTTTACTAACTTCTATAGTAACTTAAAACTAGTTTTTTAGCACCTTTAAATTGATATCATAGTAATATTATTAGTTAAGATAATATTTATTGATACAATACAATAAAGTAATGTCGTTATCTGAAATTTTATAAAAATAATATTACTTATTATTAAAATAATAAAAATATTAAGCCATTAATAAAGTATAGTAATATTAGTTATGTATATTTACAAATATAATCAAATAAATTTTAATAAAAGTCAAGTTATTGTATCCGATTTTTTGGTTTAAAAGTTTTATATATTAAACTTATCAGTGATAATACTGTATCAATAGTTATACATTTAATGTTATACAGTATACAGTATACGTATATGTTGTACAGTAATATTTATACATATTTTTTATTTATTAAGTTAATAAAATTATGAATATATTTTTTTTATAAAAATTTAATTATTAAATAGTGACAATGTTTTCAAATAAAATTTATTTACATAATTATTTATAGTATATAAGTAATACTTATTATTAATTTATTAAGTTTTTTTTGTAGTTTGTTTCAACTCATTTTAAATTAAATTAAAGTTTTGCTTACTTTGTTGGTCACAACTTTATATACGCAAACTAGCGGTAAATTTCTGGACAATTGTTTCGATGAGATCGGCTTCACTTCATCAGCAGTGATGGCCTGACTCTATGTGTCAGATCTGACCCTTAGTTGATCATCACTGTTGATGAACTGAAGCCGATCTCATCGAAACAATTGTCCAGAAATTTACCACTAGTTTGCGGATACAAAGTTGTGACAAACAAAGTAAGCAAAACTTACATTTAATTTTAAGTACTATTGTATATTAATAAGCATTTTATTAAATCAACTATTAAGCAAAAAAAAGTGTATATAAATGTATAATTTTTAAAAAATTAAATCAATACAATGTATAAAATTTATTTTTAATTATAGTAATAAAATTTATTAAAATAATTATATGCAAGGTCAATGCACACACACACACACACACACACACTCACTATTAACATACACACACAAACTAACTATACATTTACATCCCTTTCCGCCCATCACTTCACTTGACAATCGTTTACACATTTGTTTCAATTAATAAATTGTTTATATTGTTTGACTCCGTTTCCGTAAATTTTCACCGTTTGGTTACCAAACTTTGGTATCACAATCATTGTCTATCAACTATTCACTCAAAGCTTTCATATCCATCTCAACCGCTATAATACTTTATAACAATTAATATATTTATAGCTATTTTTATAAATTATTTTTTTTGTTAAATAATTTATTTTATTTTTTTTAAATAATGTAATTTATTATTTGATAATTCATATGTAATAAAATGCATTTATAAAAATTTATTTGTAATGTATTTTTTTAAATTGCTAATTTGTCCTTTATTATTGCAAATTGCAACAAATAAAAAGTGATTAATATAGTATATTAATGGATTTATAAGTAATAAAATTTTTATTACCACTTTTTTTATTGTCAATTAAAAAATGAATTCAAATAATTTTTTTGCAATAAAAATTAATTTGAATACTTCAAATATATATTATTCAATATAGATTATACATTTAAAAATATTATTAGTATTTATTGTAAATATTATTTAATAATCACATATTAGTTGGTTTTGTTTAAAAAAAAGTTTCTAATAAAATGAATAAAACAAAAATTTAGTATATTTATACATAATTCATAGATATTTTTAAAAACATCTGTTTTAATATTTTTAATTAATTAATTAATTAATTTAATCATTTTTCTACTTTTATTATTATTTACATATTATTATTGTATATATCATTAAATTAGTACAATATTTATTTAAATTCATAAAATGCATAAAAACAGTGTTGCAATTGCTTGGAGTAATCTAACTGTTTGTAGTAAACAATGGACGGGATCACCGAAAGTGATATTGAGACAACTTTTTGGTCAAATTAATTTCGGGACAATCACTGGACTGATGGGAGCTTCGGGTTCGGGAAAGACAACACTAATTAAATGTTTGAATGCAAGCAATCAGTTCATAATTAGTGATGACTCTCGACTTTATTGTAGTAAAACTAAATCAATTGTTAAGCGATATATAGGTCAAGACCAAAGCGACAAACTCATCGATGGTCTAACTGTTGGAGAAGCGCTCAGTTATTCATCAAAAGTTAACAATAGTTACTATAAAAACGTCAAACATGAAGAAAATATGACACAACTTATGACACAATTGTTGATCAATGATATTAAAGATACGACAATTGAGAAGTGCAGTGGAGGTCAACGCCAACGTATAGCCATTGCATTACAGTTGACATCAATAGAAAAACCAAACTTACTTTTCATGGATGAGCCCACCACTGGTCTCGACTCTAATGCAGCTTTTGAGGTATAAATTTAAAAATAATACTTTTAATTTTTAATAATAATGGTTAATAATTAATTTATTAGCTAATGAAATGTTTGCAAAGTTTGTCGAAAACACATAACATTGCAATCATTGTTAGCATACATCAGCCAAACAATGATTTGCTTAAAATGTTTGACAATATCTATGTGTTGGCTAAAGGAGGACATACTATATATGATGGAAGTCCACAACAAATGAAACACTATTTGACTGATTGTGGGATTAATTTCAATAAAAATGAAGTTCCCATTGAAGTGATGCTTAAGATCTCATCGCAAGGCATCCAATCGTTAAACGTTATGAAACTAACGGAAAAAATCTTAAATAATCGAAACATAAATCAATCAAATTTGAAACAAATAGAAAACGGTTTGCAAACCAAACCGAAACCGTTTCAATTGGCAGATCTCTTGTATATAACACAACGTTCATTGAAAATATCATTTATTGCACATCGATATCAACTTAGTGTACAATTAATATTGTTTACATTGTTTCAATTATTTGGTACATTGATTATTAGTGACAAACATGTACAGATTGACGGCTGTTTTGATCAGTCCTACACTGGCACCTGTATTCAATGGGAAAAAGACAAATACTTGTTGGGTATAAGCATCAACCATATAGCGGCTATTTATTATTTTGCCTATACTATACACGCCCTGATTGTTGTCAACAAATTTGCCGATGATATACGTATTACCCTGAGTGAATATAGAAATAGTAAGTACACCCCTATACCCATACCCATCTATAAATCTATCCACAAAAAAATTAATTTTATCTAAAAATATAATAAATATTTTGTTATAATTAGTTTGGTATAGTTTGGGCGTAATGTTTATATCGAAATTCATTGTCGACACAATCATAACAATACTATACTCGTTGATACTAAGTATGGCACTGGTATGCACATACCAACCATTACTTGTAATAGATTTATCACGTATCGGATGGTTAGTCTATATGATAACAATGACAATGTTGTGCAATCAATTGTTGGCTACATTTGTCGGCACACTATTTCACAAATCTAAACTTATTTGCTTTATAGTTATGTTGATTATGATGTTTTCAATGAAAATCTATGAAAACTATTCAATACGACTGTCCGAAATGACACCGATGTTTAGACAATTCAGCGATTTTTCATATTTAAAAATAGTTTTTAATTCCCTACTAATTATTATCTATGGTATGGATCGATGTCAACCATCACCTATAGTCTCCGATCCAATAAAATCATATGTTTTGCATGATTTCGATTTAATAGATGATAAAATAATGTTTTGGGAATTTGTCAAAATTGCTAATATATATTATATAACTATTATTATCATAGTTTTTGCAGTATATTACTTGAAATTTAATCAAACATCAAAATTAAGACATATATTAGGCATGTTTTGCAATATAATTATAAAGTTTATCAATAGTTGTAATTTGAAAATTTGTCAAAAATCAAGTAAATCTATGGATAGGTATGAACTAAATTATTATAATAATAACAACATTGAAAATACAAATGATAACAATAATAATGAAAGTGAAAATATAATTTGTTATAATAATAATAAACATATAGCAATTGCATGGATGAATATAACATTAAATTTTAAGTTAAATCAATTTATGAGAGAATCCAAAGATATTAAAATATTAGACGATATTAGTGGCAGTTTTGTCAGTCAATCGTTGAACGCATTGATGGGACCGTCGGGTTCCGGGAAGACAACACTATTGAAGTGTTTGAATGCTAAATATGGTTATCAACTGTCGGCTGACAGTATGATATATACAAGATTTAGTACATATTCTAGTAAAACGTGTTTTATTGCACAAAATATTAGTGAACATCTATTGAAAGGATTAACAGTTAAACAGACACTACTGTATGCATCAAAATTGAAAAACTCACAAATTTTTGGACAATTAGATCACAACAAAATAGTCGACGATCTAATGTCGGAACTGCTTATCAGTGATATTGTAGATAATTGTGTTGACACTTGTAGTAGTGGTGAACGCAAACGCATAGTAATAGCCAGTGAACTGACTTCACGAATAAAACCCAATCTTTTGCTTATTGATGAGCCGACCTCTGGTTTGGACAGTAATGCAGCGATTAATATCATACAATGTCTGAAATCACTGTCACGCTATCATCACATGACAATCGTTGTTAGCATACATCAGCCAAACAACGAGTTATTCAATATATTTGACAACATCTATGTCTTAGCCAAAGGAGGACACGCTATATACGAGGGAAGTCCACAACAATTGAAACAAACAATGATTGATACAAACATTCATTTCAATGACGACACTGAAGTGCCGATTGAAGTACTGTTGAGAATCGCTTCGGACGGAAATCATAATAAATTAGTACAAAAGTTATCGGCATATAATAGATCACTAGAAAGCTTACTATACGATCGTATAATCACTGAAAATATGAAACCTTATGACCGGACAAATATATTACCGACAAAACGTTTTTTCCTAAAAGATTTACTAACACTAATGAAACGTATGATGTTATGTAATTATTATGCAAACTGTTTGCTAAATCTATTGTGCATAACATTTATACATCCGATAGCATTACTAATAATATTTCTATACAATTGGGATATATTTAAAACGGACGGTTGTATGGATTTGATATCGTTGGCCGGCATGGGATGCAATCATAGTGACACTGATCTGATACAATTTGAACGGTTTATCAAACAAAATTTAATATTAAATATTTTGCTAATATTGATTATCACTTTGGCTATTGTTATACTAACAGCTAGAAAATTTTGTGATGAAATTCAATTGATTATTTCGGAACATTCAAATGGTAATTAATTTTAAACTATTTATAAATAATTTTTAATAAATAAATATTTACTTATAGTTTAGTAATATTTATTAAAATTATAATTTAAAAATCAGAATAATATTTTATAATTTTATAGTTATTGAAAAATAACAATAGATTAAAAAAACAATATTCTGTATATAATTTTATAAAATTATTAATTTCATTTATTTATAATACGTTTAATTATAAATATTTCATTTAACTAAATAGGTTGGTATAGCACCGGTGTCTACTACTGGTCTAGTACTTTAGTGGAACTGTTACCATTTACCATATCATTGGCCATCTATGTATATATAATTAATTTTTATCAAACTTGGCACTCGTATGCCACCTACTATACCACTTATATGCTTTGTATAATATGTACCCAATGTTTGACCAAAATATCGTGTATACTATGCCGACTAAACTTGAGGATCAGCCTAATAGTTGTATTGCATCTATTGATGATTAATACAGTATTTTTCAATTCATCGCCCAATGATCTACACTATATGATCCAATATTTGGCCCAGGTAAGTTTTATAAAGTATGCGTTTGAATGTATTGTTATTATGATATACGGCTGGGGCCGGTGCTCGACAAGTGATGACAGCACCAAACTATCAATAGTTATGATGATGTTTGACACTACCGACGAAAACTTTTGGCCAAACATTGTCCATATTGTTGTATTGGTTGTCCTATTTCATTGTCTAACATTGACCATGCTCATCTATCAGTTAGGTAGAAGTAATTGTGCTAGTAAAATAGTCAATAAGTATACAAAATATGCTACTATTGATACAATTAAATTAACAACTAATAATTCAATGAAAATTAATCATTATTATATTTAATTATTATTATTATATTATTGTTATTGTTATTATATTCAATATATTTATTTTGCTATAAATGTCAATAAATTATTTTATATCATTTTTATATTTTTAAAAAATTGTGTTTTACACCTAAATTACAATTATATATGATATTAATATTAAATCTATTAATTCATTTAATTAAAATTATAAATAATTTTGTATTCTCTAAACAGTATAAAACTATTGCAAACTATTAATATTTAATATTTATTTTAAGGACACTATTTATACAGTACTGTTAGCTAACAGTGTATAACAAAAAAAATGTTTATTTTTATTATAAATAAAATAAATAAATAACAAAAAAAACTATTTAATAAATAATTTGCGTGACAAATGTGCAAAAAAATAAATGTATAAATATTTTTCTAGTAGTTTTGTTGGGAAGGAATATTCTAAGTAAAGTTTTCAAGTAAATTGATAGATGTCACACACAAACACACATTAATACATTATTTTTATAAGAGACTTGATATACCGGTACATGAATTTGTGATAAAGTTGTATGCAATTTATATTATACACAATTATTACACATACTGTACTTTTATATACTGTATATAAATATCAATAAATACCGTACAGTAGTATTAATACTGTGTGTGAAGGTTATGGCGCTTAACATACCGGTGTGACGTCACGTATTGATAAAAATGTCGCCTACAGTTTGCCCACCATTGGAGAAAAAAAGGCGACTGTCCTTCCAATACATACACACATTGTGTATATTGCTTTTCTATGTTATAATGTGTTTATTGTGCGCTTAATATTGTTGTATTATATTATACGCGTATATATTCATTGTTTTATTTCAATTTACAGTTTGTTAAAAATAATTTACAATAAAAAATAATACATTAAATTATTTAATACATTAAAAAAATATAACACAAACAACAATAATAATAATAAATAACAACAACTTTGACAACACAGTGATCGACGACATCAACACCACTACTACTACTACTATCATCACAACAACGACAACAATATCATCAATACATTTGTGTAGTGTTTAAGACAACGTGTGTGTGGTGTCTGTGTTAAGTGATTATCATATATCACAGTAAGTTTGGGTGTGTTTTTTTGATAGATAAGCGCGACTATCATTAGCAACAATTCCTTCTCCAACCTCATCAAGTAGTATGACCTACAGGGGTCGGGATGCGTGTCCACTGGACTGTAAGGTCTATGTGGGAGAGTTGGGCAACAATGGCACCCGACATGAACTGGAAGACGCTTTCGGCTATTATGGACCACTTAAAGAGGTTTGTGTTTTATTGTATCACTAGTGATGACTATCATTAATCAATCATTTATAATGCATTTAAACTAACCATGATACATTTTTTGTTTTTGTTTCAATAATGTCAAACTAGGTATGGGTGGCCCGAAACCCGCCCGGGTTTGCGTTTATCATGTTTCAGGACCCGCGTGACGCCCGCGACGCTGTCCGTGGCTTAGATGGAAAGTAAGTCCCGAGTATATAGAGTAGTAGTGTTGTTGTCTAGTCGTGAGTCACGCTCGAGACTAGTGATACCCGAAACGGACGGCAAATTTGTTATTCAATCTATTAATTTTGATTTTATTTTTATTTAATTACCGATTATTAGAATACTTTGCGGACGTCGTATTCGCGTAGAGTTGTCGACCGGCAAATCGAGACACGACGGCAAGTCAGGCGGTGGTGGTGGTGGCGGCGGACCACGGCAATATGGTGGTCAATCGGGCGGTGGCTCTTCGCGAGGACCACCCGATTACGGTCGCGGCGGATATGGCCGCGAGTCGCCATCCTATTCGCGCGGCAGTTCTCGACGCACCGAACCCTACTATCGCGGCTCACCGAGTCCGCCACCACGCGGTAGCGGCAGTTATCCTCCGAGACGACGACCGCGCACACCGCCCAGTCGTTCGCGATCGCGATCACCGATTCCTCGATCGCCACGCAATGACCAACGCTATGGAATATAAAAACGGACTGACTTTCACTGACTCGACTCTACTAACTGTCCCAATACAGTACCGTACCTGTGGTTGTGTTGTCTTCATTAAATGGATAGATGAATATATATATATATATACCGTACATACATACTGTTCCCCTCCTTCTACTCCTCGACTACCAACCAGCAGGCGGTCAACTATCACCAAACAACACAACACGACTATACAACTAACTCTTCTATCAACTTTCGACTACTTTTTTAAATAGACAACAATAACAAGTCAAATATTGTTTTATACATACACCTCCCCCTCCCCAACACACCCACCCAATCACTCTTCTATATGAATGTGTTTTTTAAGATTCAAAATTTAAATTAATATTTAATTATACTATAGATAGATAGCTATATAAAAATATTTACCCATTTTATATATATTTTTAGTATACACATAAATTTATATATATATACCAATTTATTATTATTATTATCATCAAACACCTGTATTTTATTTGTTATAATTATTACTACTATTACTTATTATATCTTTTATGACATTATATTTGCTAAAAGTCAACAATTTATAGTATATATATATATATACAGTACATAATTTAAATTACAATATCATTGTTATGACAGTATATTTTTGTTGTATTTCTAGCTATTATTATCACACAATTATTGCAGTGTTTTTTCAATCACTGTTTTCGACATTATATTTTCGAGATAATGTAATTGACATTTTAAAGAAAATTCTCTTTCGATTATCAATGTCGAAATCAATGTGAAAAATATACTGTAATTTTTGTGTTTTTAACATTTATCGACATGAATTGAATTTTTAAAAAAACAATATTGAAATATTCAATAAATATATGTAAACTACTCGACTTCCAAAAAACAACTCGACTATAATCATCATTTAAATTATAAAAATTAAATATATTTTGTGACACAACCTCTACTACTACTACTACTACTACTACCACTACTACTATTAATATTATTATTACATCAGTAATCACCTCCTCGTGTAATGATTTTTTCTTATGACAAACACATAAACACATCCTCTGCTTATTATTATTAGTGATGATGACTGACTGACTGACCCACACAAATACATACCAGTATACTATCACATATAACATAAACAGATCGCATGCCATCTAATATTTTACCGGTAGTTGTTTTGGCCATACATTTTAGTTTTAGTTTCACGCCAACAACAACAGCAAACACCCGCATCACAACATTATTATGCAATTATACAGTCAAATGTGTCGTCTATATCATCATCACAACCATATATCAACGTCAACTATAACACCTATTATTAGTGATAGTTGTCAGTGACGGCCAGCTTTATACAGTACCTACCTGTTCCCATACTTTATTTTTTATACTTATACTACTATATATCACTCAAAGTTATTTCAACCATTTTTTCAATATCGTAATTATGCCAATATATATACACAATGATTAGGGTATATAATTTGTGATAATATTTGCATATTGTTTGTGTCTAAATTGGCTTAGCTTTTACTAGAAAATATAAATTTATCTTGACCATTTTTCAATATATATATCAAACTAAAATTTACATATATTTTTAGTAAAATTTATTTTTTTTTTAAATTTTTATAGTCAGTTCAAGAGTTTAAATTTTAAAAATTTAATTTTTTATAGATTTGTAATTTTTGGTTATAAATGTAGGTGTGTCCCACTTAGATCAAGTTTTTTTTAGAAAAATATTTAATACAGTAGATCTAGATTTTGTATGAATTAATTAATATACAAAATCTGTATCCATTCCCCCACCAAAACACATTCTATGCTAATCATACACTATCTCATCCCAACTAAAGCTTATTAATAGTGATAATATCCTTTCTCATCATTACTACTACTACTACTAAGACTACTACTACTACTACTACTCCTGACATCACACCTCCTCATAGACACCACCTCTTCATTGACACATACACTCACACACATAAACATATACCTATTTTTTAATCAACAAAAATGTGTCATAACTATAGTCAACATCAATCTCTCAATATATTGTGTGACAACTTATTATAAGCACTTATTATTCACAAAACTTTTTTTAAACTAAACTAATAGTTTTAAAAATTATTATCTCAATTGTCGCAAAGTATTTGGTTTGCCATTTAATGTATAAAACGGGTTATTTTGAATCAACGATAACAACAAATATGACACAACATATCAAACAACTAAAAAAAATCAGGTAATTATTACGACATTTGATCATCAAATTTTGTATCAACATATCACCCATGAAATTAAGGTAGTAATAAGTCATAGATACAAATGGTAAGTATTTATTTATTTTTTAAAAGTAATGTAAAAACAAAAATCATTAATGCTATAAAAAATAAATAAATAAAATTGATTTTTTATAAAAAAAACTATAAATAGTTTATATATTTTTTAGTATACATTATTTTTGTTGATTTAATAGATTTTCAATAATTTCTTGTAATTTTCCCAAACTATCGTCCGATTGAATTCTCAGTGATATTTGTTTCAATCTATCGGTCAATATGTTGTCATTCAATAGTGTGTCGATTGCCGTCAATAACTCCCTATTTGTACATTTATAGGCATCTAGTCTTACACCTAAACCAAGATCCTGTACTCTCTGTGCATTATCCAACTGATCTCCACCAAGTGGTAACACAATCATTGGTTTACCAAAATAAAAGGTTTCGGTAGTAGTATTGTTTCCGCCGTGAGTTATAACCAAATCGACTAACGGTAATACTTGTATTTGTTGAACATTTGATTGTCCCCACATATTTTCGGCTAAATGTATAGCTTCGGGCATCGGACCCATTGACACAATGAATCGGTTATTAGATTTTGATAGTATATCAATCAAACGGTTCATATTTTTCACATTTGCCGCACCCATAGATCCCAATGAAAAGTAAATTAATTTTCCCGGTTTTTCCTTCAGTTTGTCTGACAATTCAAATGCCGCGATATGTTTCTCACGTCTCATCAAATTATCAAATCGATGCCATTTAGGTGGCAATGGTCTCAATTCCAGATAATCCAGTTCCTCAGGAAAGCCATAAATGTTCAAATATTTTGAATTATAAACTAGACTATCGTCGGTGTAATCGGTAATACCTTTTTGTTTAAAATAATTATTATAAAGTTTCAATGATTTCCGTTTAACATCACTGACAGCATCTCTAAACTGTTTCCACTCTGTTTTGTCTCCCATTTCTGATAAACCTATTTTAAGATTAATATACAGTATATATATATAAATAAGTATTATTTATAATTTTTTGGTGAGGGATATACCTGAAAAACTAGGCGGTGCTCTATCATCGTCGATATAATAGAGTGGATTCATACTGACCACATTAATCCATGGACAGCCATAGTTGACCACCGCTGGAAAACAAACGGCATAATCAATGAATATGATGTCTGGTTTGAGTTCGGGCAGTAACTGTACCAATTGTATGTCCAAACGTTGTGCTGTTTCCATTTGTTGCGGTGCAAACTTCTCGAAAATTTCCATTGCCTGAACCAATGGTTGATTTGGTTCAAACAAATCCATTTTCACTATTTTTTCAGCCAAATCACGGGCCGGATCGACATTACTGTTTCGTTGCGGATCATTGACCAGCACTTCCCGTACACCGTACGGCTCGAGACGACCTTTCCATTGTTCGTTCACTACAAACGACACCCTATGTCCCACTTGAATAAGCCGTTCGGCTACTGCCAGACACGCGTTTACATGACCGACACCGTCGTGCGATATGATCACTACGTGTATAGTTGTGACCATTTTTTAACCGTAATATTTTGTATTTAAAAATAATTGTTGTAAACTTAGTATATGTTTATATAAATATTTTGAATTGTGTAATACAAACTTGAAATAACTTTTTGCAGCAAAGTTTGCAAACTGCTTATATATCGGTGTATATTCTGTACTGTATTATTAAAACACAGACAGTTTTTGCACTTTTATACTGTTTTATACTGTAGTTATAAACTGAGTGACTCTTATCTTAATATACTGTATATTATATACACAGACTATTATATAAAAAGTAAATACTGTACAAAATATTGTAGAAAATGACCTTGACATTACTATTTAATATGCACTTATAGATAAATAAATAAATAAATAATTATTAGGATAAAATTTATAAATATTTCGCTAACATTTCAAAAATATTATTGTAATTTTTTATTTTAGTTTATTTATAATTAAAATAGGTATACATAGTCTGTAATATAACAAAAATAGTAACACAATTAATAATTTTATTTATGATTGTTTTCAAAATTTATAAAAAAAATCACTATTGTATTTTTAATTATTTTATGTAAATTAACTACTTATTTATATAGTTATATTATAAATTAACTTTTTTAATTAATTCAATCACTTATGTTAATACAATGTTTATACTATATTTATATATTATTTTATAATAAATCAGTTATTGCACTTTTATATAGAATGTACTATAATAATTATTTATACAATAATTATTTTTATTGATTTTAGTTTACTATAAAATATTATACAATAAAATTAAACTTATATATTGTAAATATTATAAATATTATCGATAATTTTATTTACATTTTTAATTAAGTTTATTTGAACTTATTTTTTTATAATTTATTAATATCTAAAAATAACATATCATTAAGTAATAAAATAATTTATTGTACTGTATTATTATACTTTTATGTCTAGTAAAACACAGATAATTAAGTTAATTGAAAATTATGATAAAAATTTATTTTAACAAATAATTTATACTAAATATTAATAATTAAAATATTTTTAAACACAAATTTTATTAAAATATTTAATGATATATTAAACGATAAATACAAATAATATATGATAATCTTTATGAATATATATTTATTTTTTTAAACCAAATAAATTATTTCAATAGATTTTCAATAATTTCTGGTAATTTTCCCAAACTATCGTCCAATTGAATCCTTTTGGATATTTGTTTCATTTTATTAGCCAATTGTTTATCAGCCAATAGTTTGTCAATTGTCGACAACAATTCATTTTCGGTACAATCGTTACGATCCAATCGGACACCAAATCCCATGTCCTGTACTCGCTGTGCATTATCCAACTGATCTCCTTCTTGTGGCAACAAAATCATAGGTTTACCAAAATAGACGGTTTCGGTCATAGTATTGTTGCCGCCGTGAATGATTGCCAGATCGCATAGCGGTAAGACTTGTATCTGTGGTATACTCGGTTGGCCCCACATATTGTCGGCCAACCGGATGTCCTCGTGTTTCGGACCCATTGATACAATGAAACGGTTCGGCGATTTTGCCAGAATAGCTAACAAACGGTTCATATTTTCGACATTACAGGCACTTTCCTGACAGGACATCGATCCGAACGAAAAGAATATCAATTTTCCCGGTTTTCCCTTCAGTTTGTCCGGTATTTCAAACGCTTCGACGTGTTTCTCCAGTCTCATCATATTATCAAATCGATACCATGTTTTAGGTAATGGTCTCAGTTCATGATAATCCAGTTCCTCCGGATAGCCATAAATGTTCAAATATTTGGACTGATAGGTCATCTTATCAGATTCAAAATCAGTGACACCATTATCTGCTAAATATTTGTGAAACTCTTTAAATGCATTGCGTTTGACATCACTTAATGCCTCTCTAAACTTTTTCCACTCTATTTTGTCATCAAATTTGGACAGTCCTTAAAAAATAATAATTAAAAAAAATTAATTAAATAAATAAAAATATTTTAACAATCGTATACCTGATCCCAGTGGTGGTGTCCTATCGTCTTCCAAATAAAACAATGGATTCATACTGAGCACATTGACCCAGGGTACACCATAGTTGACCACCGATGGTATACATGTTGGTACTTCTTGAAAAATAATGTCCGGTTTGAGTTTGGCCAACACTTCCCCTAATTGTTTGTCAATCTCGACAATCATATCCAAATGATTGTGCGATCGTTTATAGTTTTCCAGTATCTTATCCAACGGTGACTTCTTTTTTGTTTGTTTAACCAAAACATCTTCATCACTGGTTTTGTTGTGATCATCGTTTTCTACCGCCACCACCACATGATTTTCCTTATGATCATCTGTTTGGTGACTATTATGATGATGATGATGACCATCATTCCCGTTGTGTCCATCATTATGACTGTGCTGATGCTGATGGTTATGATCACTTCCTTTCAATAGGACTTCCCGTACACCATACGGTTCGAGACGACCTTTCCATTTTTCGTTGACCACAAATGACACCTCAAAGTGTCCACTTTTGACCAGCCGTTCGGCGACTGCCAGACACGCGTTTACGTGTCCGACGCCCGGAAATGAACAAATGACTGCGTGATACTGTTTGACCATTTTTTTGTGAGTTTGTTTGTCTTTAAAAATAAGTGCTAAAAAAAGTATAAATATAAAACATTTAAATAATTAAAAATAATAATTCAATTATTAAAGAGTTTTTACAAGTTTTTTTGACAATTAAAAATTTTATGTTAATTCTCTAAATAATAAATTCTAATTATAATTATTATCAAATTTTTTAATCTTATAATAAAATGACTACAAATGTTAATATTGAAAATCTATGTACATTTGATATCATTTTTTTAAATCTAATATTTTACATTATATTTTTAATAAATTACTTAAAAATACTTACAAATTATTATTTTTTTAAATTCTATGTCAAGTTTTAGTTAATTTATGAATTAGACTGCTATTTGCATCTCCTTTTTATACCGTATACTAGTGCTATGGTTAGTGTTAATACAGTTTTTGCACTTTACAATAGTTTATAGTGTTTATACTGTTTATGCACTACAATACTGTCTAATACCTGTACACTACTATATTACAGTATATAATGTAATTTATACATTACAGTATATTCAGTATAGATTCTACACTATTATAGTCAAACACAGTATAAACAATTGTAAAGTGCAAAAACTGTATTATCCCTAACATAGCACTGGTATATACGGTACAGTGAATTATTAATACTTAATAGTTAGTATAATATAAATTATGTCAAAGGGGGTTAGATTATTGTAAACAGTTAATCATATAAATTACACAATTATATATAATATTGCATACATAGTGGGGAAAAATGTTACTAAACATATTACACGTTGTTTATGATACTGTATTTTTTAACATACAATATTAAAAGTATTGTATTATATTATAAAATTTAAAGTACTATTACTATTATTATTTAGTGCATTACCTATGTTTGCGTTAAGTTAATTAAGTGCAAAAACTAAACTAGGCAATTATCTATATTTATAATTTAAAAACATAAATCATAAATTATAAACATCGTGTCTCATTATCTATTAATATTATTTTAATTTTTTGACAATTCAATCAATAACAACAACATAAATTAAATTAAATATAATATAATATTACATATTATATTTTTATAAAGAATATAATTTATTTATTTATTTTTATTTTTTAAAAAGTATATTTTTTAATGTGTATTATGATAATATTTTTCATCATAACTTATAATTATATGTATTTAACTCGCACACAACATATAAATAATTTTTTAATATAATTGAAATATAATAAGAGAAAGAAAGAAAGAAAGAAAGAGAGAGAGAGAGAGAGAGAGAGAGAGAGAGAGAGAGATCCTAATTCCAGGCACTGGTAGGTGTCTTAATAAATAGTCTTCTGAGATGATCTTCAAGATTGACGAGTTGACAGCTAAGTTCCCACAGTCGCTCAGATACCTTATCATCGGTGGCTTCCGATATCAACCGATTGACACGTTTGCAGTTACTGTTAAATAAAATAAATTAAAATATTATTTATTAATAATATATCATTTATGATATTTAGTGATATTGTAGTACTACTAACTCATAATAAAATCCGGTTTCGTTATCTAAAGTCGGATCGAGTGAACAATACAGTGATGTTTGTGCACCCATTTCGGGCGTCAAAAACGCCCGTTTCATAAACCACTCGAAGGCGGCACTTGTGACATGTCGTTGGGCATCGGTCTTAACAGTGCCGGGATTCAGAGCATACACCCTAACCGTACTGTTCGGACCGAGACGTTTGGCCAGTTCTCGTGTAAACAAAACGTTGGCCAGTTTGCTATGGGCGTAGGCCTTCATCGGTGTGTATATACCGTTTCGTTGGTTAATGTTGTCGAAGTCTATGTGACCGATCATATGGGCCGCCGACGATACGTTCACAATCCTGGCGCTCGGCGACTGTTTCAACAGTGGCGTCAATGATAGTGTCAATAGGAATGAGCCTTCAATACAATAATAAGATATACCGATAATTATTTAGTTAAGGGAACTGTATGTTAGGATAGGTATGTATGACTGACTCTCTTACCCAAGTGATTAGTTCCGAACTGCATCTCAAAGCCGTCCTCTGTCTTCCATTCAGGACAGGCAAACACACCGGCATTGTTAACCAGTATGTCCAGCCGTTTCTCGCGATTGGCCAAATCGGCGGCAAATTCGCGAACCGATTTCAGCGACGATAAGTCCAGTTTGAGTGCCGTTACATCAGACTTGGGATTTTGGTCGCGCATCTCCTTTACGGCGATCTCAGCTTTGGCTAAATCCCGACAACCGATGTATAGCTTTATTATTATTTGTAAAATAAATACAATTAATATTTTTTTTATTTAAAATTATTTACTATATTTCTAATTATTTTTTTAAAAAATCAAAGTTTCATAATTATTTTTATAGTTTAATTAACAATTAAACTAATTTATGGTAATTTTTAATACCTTAGCGCCGCGTAAAGCTAATTGATTTGCCGTCTCTTTACCGATACCGGTATTGGCACCGGTGACCACTACCACCTGACCGTCTAAACGTCTATCGGTTAGACATCGTTTTCGACCGCCGGTAACATTGCCAGTAAACTCTTTAACATTGTGACACATAAACCACATTGTGTTTCCCATTATTATTATTATTATATTTTTAATTTATTTATCACTTATTCAATAATTTTTTATTGTTTTAAAAAATTAACATATAATGACATTAACATTCAATATTATTATCATATATGAAATAAATAATAAAAATTTGCAGATATTTTTTTTGCCAACTTGTACAGATACAATAGTAAATAAAAATTATTTATATAACACACACACACAAAATTGCATCAATTTTTAACTAAACTACTGTAGTTTATATACCCTGTTTAAAATACAAGATATATAATATATATATAAGTTTTATCTGATAATGTACTAAACGTTGGTACAAATTCATAGAAATATAATTAGATGATCCTATTAATAGGTTTATAACTTTTATTATACTGTTTATTATTATTATACACATTTAAGTGCAAAACCAGCTACTAGTACATCAGTATTGTAGTGAAGCAACATTTAAGGGGCAAAAAAACATTTAAATTGCTTAATCAATAACTAACAGTATATTAACTTCTATTAAATACTGTATTAAGTTTTATATCATTATTTACTTTAAATATTTTTTAAATATACGAGTAAATTATAGTCTAATTGAAAATTGAATACACTTTATATATTTTATATTACAAAATAAATATTATTTATTATTGTCAATATTTAATTGATTATAAATTGTGTTATCCTAATTAATTAAAATAAATTGTTTATACAGTTCAATCAATATAACTTCGAACAAATTGCAGGCTATTATATTATAGAAAATATTTAATTTATATGTAAACTAATAAGTAATTTAATAAAATATATATTAAATCAATACCTCAATTAGCCGGTGGTGTCCTATTGTCCTCTAAATAAAATAATAGGTTATAAATGCATATATTAACCCATAGAGTGTTTTCAGTAGTGTCTGTAGATATTTATATTATTTTTAAACAAATATATTTCACACAGTTATCTACTAATTAGTATATTAGTACCAAATACTTAATAATTTTATTTAATTAATAAAAATACTAAAATATATTAATTAAAAAATTTTAATATTTATTTCAGTTGATAAATAAGATAAACAAATGAATACACCAATAAATTCAAAGTGCTTTTAGTTTAAAATAATTTTATCACATTTAACTAAAAGTGAAATAACAAGAAATAAATACAGTACATGTATTTAGTATTTAGAAATTTTAAAAAATCAAAATTGTTTATATAATTTTATATGAAAATATCATATTATTAAACTTATAAAATTATAAAAGTTTTAAAATATAAAATTAATAATTTATTTTATCTAATATACTTAAAACAATAAAATAATGTATAATTTAAGTTAGTTTTATTTATATTCAAAATAATGTACATTATTCTATAATATTATTATTAATATTTTCACGAATTCCTGAAAGGAATACGTATATGCATTCTAAAAGTCTGTCCGTCTGTCCGTCTGTCCGTCTGTCCGTCTGTCCGTCTGTCTGTCTGTCTGTCTGTCTGTCTGTCTGTCCCACGAGGACATAGGTTCGAATCCAGGCTCCGCTACAAAAATTTTTTTTGGTTTTTTTTAAGTTAAGGAGATCGTATGGGAATGTTTTTGAAGCATTCTCAACTGTTTTTTTTATTTTTTTTAAATTTTTTCCTTTTTAAGTTAAGGAATTCGTGTGGAAATGCTTTTAAAGCATTCTCAACTGGTTTTATTTCTAAAAACTAATATTTTTACAAAAATTATAGTGTAACCTAGTATATCAACTCTAAAAATGTTAAAATATAATATAAATTATATATTAAAATAAACATTTATTAATATATATTAAGAAAAACTACTTCAATAAGAAAAAATTATTTTAGAAAATTTTCAATAAGTTGTGGTAATTTTGATAAACTATTTTCTTGTTGTATTCGTTGTGATATTTGTTTCAATTTATCCGACAATTTGTTGTCATTCAATAGTGTATCGATTGCTGATAATAACTCCTTTTCTGTACACTTGTATGCATCCAATCTAAGGCCAAATCCTTTTTCCTCAACTCTCTGTGCATTATCCCACTGATCGCCAAACAGTGGCATAACTATCAATGGTTTTCCAAAATAAAATGTTTCAGTTGTAGTATTGTTTCCGCCGTGAGTTATAACCAAATCAACTAACGGTAACACTTGTATTTGTGGTACACTTGACTGTCCCCACATATTATCATACAATTTGATGCTTTCATATTGTGGGCCCATTGATATAATAAACCGATTGTTGGATTTACTTAAAATACCTAAAAGTCGATTCATATTATCGACATTTGCCGCACCCGTTGATCCCAATGAAAAGTAAACCAATTTTCCCGGTTTTCCTTTCAATTTGTCCGGTATTTCAAATATCAAATGTTTGTCACGTCTCATAAAATTATCAAATCGATGCCAATTGTCGGGGAGTGGTCTCAGATCTGTATAATCCAATTCCTCGGGAAAGTTATAAATGTTTAAATATTTTGAATGATAGGGAATTATTTCATTGAAATCATAAATATTTTTAGTTTCTAAATATTGTTTAAACGGTTTCCAAATTTCAATTTTTACTTTATGTATAATTGAACGAAACTCTTTCCACTCATTTTCGTGTCCAACGGTTGGCAATCCTATTAAAGATTTAAATTAATTTTATTTCAATAATTATGTTATTAAATAAAACCATTTTTTTGTTACATCAATACCTGAATTAACCGGTGGTGTCCTATTGTCTTCTAAATAATACAATATATTAGCACTGCATATATTAACCCATGGAGTGCCCGAATTGACCACTGATGACAAACAAAACGGATTGTCTATTAATATGACGTCCTTTTGAATGGTTGGCAATATTTTTTCTAATTCATTGTCTAACTGTTTTGTACGTTCAATAAAAATGGGAAAAGTTTTTCGGTTAAGTTTGATAGAGTTTTCTAATGGCGTCGTCGGACAGTTAACCCCATCATCAACCAAACGGATCGCTATATCCTTAATCATATTATCCTCGGCTCTCGACTCCATATCTGGTAATAGTATTTCATTGAAACCGTATTTTGTGAAGTATCCCTTCCATTGTTCATTCATAACAAATGTCACACTATAGCCACTGGCCATCAATGCCTGCGCCACACCTATACAGGCATTAATATGTCCGGTGGCGTCAATAGAGATAAATAGTGCCCGTAATTGTCGGGACATTATTTGATGTAATAATTAAATCAAATAAAATGTTTTTACAATAATTGTATTTTAATAATGTATAACAAAAATATTTTTATTTCAACAATTTATATACATTACTAATTCAGATTTTTTTATTACGATATATATATTATCTTTACACTAAACTAGGGTTAAGCAATGAGGAGGGTAGGGTGGTCAAGACAAATGACCCCAACCCTAAGATCGAGATTTTGGGATTTGACCCCCAGATTTTTTGAAAGAATTTTAAAAAAATTGCCATTTAAAAATGAATTAAAAGTCTACACCCCACCCTAGATCATCCCAAGATTTTTCGATATTTTTGTCATTTAACCCCCTAGACCCCCCTAAAATTCTAAACCTTGCTTAACCCTGTACTAAATATATTTCACAAAATTATCTACTAATTATACTATTTTTATCATTTTATTTGATTAAATTAAAAATATATATGATATTAATTCAAATAAATTATATTTATAAATCTACAATATTTTATGATATTAATAATTTAAACAGATAAATGCACTAATTAATTAAAGTTAAAAATAAGTGCATTTGTTATATTAAACTAAAAGTGCACTAATTTATCATTTTTTTCAAATGATTTTATTTCGACATTTTATACTAATTTTGTATCAAAAACTAATGATTTAAACTTAGTATTAACTAATTTTATTACTAATAGTATAATATGTTTTTTACAGAATCTGAATACTATTAATATTTTTTTGTTAGATATAAAACATCTCAAACCCAATATCCCGGACCCGAAATATATGAAATATAATTTTACTAAAACTTATTTTTCTATGATTTCATAGTACAAAACAAATGACATAAGTTTTTGCTTTTATTACTTTGTAAAGTTATAGCCAAAAAATCAGCACTTTTTCTATGATTTTTATTATTTTTTTAATTTCAAAATATTTAAATAATGTGTTAATTAAATAAATAAATTGTTTAATAATATTCAATGTTTTATTCAATTTTGTCCTAATATTGTATATAAATAATATATTTTAATTTCTACAATTTATATAAACTATTAATATTAGTTATAAGTTACCATATTTAAACAAATAATTTAATTAAATTTATACATAGTTTTTAAAAAATTATTAATTAAATAAAAAATATTGATTTATAAATGCATCTATTAATTTAACATAACTTCATATCTTCAAACTAAAAATACATTTTAAGTTATCAATTTTTAAATAAAACATTTAGATTTAAAAATAATTTAAAATTGTAAAACTTTTGACATAATATGATTTTATATCAAAATTAAATAGAGGAAGTAAAGGAATTTTACCCTACTCCTATAATTAAGATTTTTAGATAAATTAAACTTATAGCAATACATTAAAAACTATTTAGTATTAAATATAATATTAAAAATAATTATGATTTTAGTAATTTTTCAATAAGTTTTGGCAATTTTGATAAACTATTTTCTTGTTGTATTCGTTGTGATATTTGTTTCAATTTATACGTTAATTTGTTGTCATTCAATAGTGTATCGATTACTGATAATAACTCCTTTTCCGTACACTTGTATGCATCCAATCTAACGCCAAACCCTTTTTCCTCAACTCTCTGTGCATTATCCCACTGATCGCCAAACAGTGGCATAACTATCATTGGTTTTCCAAAATAAAATGTTTCAGTTGTAGTATTGTTTCCGCCGTGAATAATAGCCAAATCAACTAACGGTAACACTTGAATTTGCGGTACACTTGACTGTCCCCACATATTATCATACAATTTGATGCTTTCATATTGTGGACCCATTGATATAATAAACCGATTGTTGGATTTACTTAATATAGCTAAAAGTCTATTCATATTTTCAACATTTGCCGCACCCATTGATCCCAACGAAAAGTAAACTAATTTTCCCGGTTTTCCTTTCAATTTGTCCGGTATTTCAAATGTAAAATGTTTGTCACTTCTCATTAAATTATCAAATTGATGCCAATTGTCGGGCATTGGTCTCAGATCTGTATAATCCAATTCCTCGGGAAAGCCATAAATATTTAGGTATTTTGAATGATAGGGAATAATCTCATTAAAATCATAAATGTTTTTAGTTTCTAAATATTGTTTAAACTCTTTCCAAATTTCAATTTTTAATTCATGTATTACTAAACGAAACTCTTTCCATTCATTTTCGTAACCAACGGCTGGTAATCCTATTATATGTTTTCATTACAATATTTAATATACAAGTTATTGAATAAATAATTAGTTATTATATTAATACCTGAATTAGGCGGTGGTGTCTTCTCGTCCTCTAAATAATACAATGGATTACAACTACATATACCAACCCATGGTGTGCCAGAGTTCACCACCGATGGCAAACAAAACGGATAGTCAATTAATATGACATCCTTTTGTATAGTCGGCAATAATTTGTCTAACAATTTATCTAATTGTATGGTTCGGTCAATAAAAGCGGGTAGAGTTTTACGGGTAAGATTAATACAGTTTTCCAATGCAGTCGTCGCACAGTTAACTCCATCGTCGACCAAACGGTTTGCCAGATCCTCAACCAATCCGCCCTCAACTTTGAGTTCACTATTTGGAAACAGTATCTCTTCGATACCATATTTCGTGAAATATCCCTTCCAGTGATCATTCATAACAAACGCTACGCTATAGCCACTGGCCATCAATGCCTGCGCCACACCTATACAAGCATTGATATGACCGGTGGCGTCCACTGAGATAAACAGTGCTCGTAATTGTCGAGTCATTATTGTAATAATAATAATAATAATTTATTTTTAAGAAAATATTCAATTAATATACAAAATACTAAAAATTTTTCAACAAAAACTTAATATTTAATATTATATCTACAAAATGATGCTAAGTTTGCAACAATTTATATAAAAATTTGTAATACATTATAAACTAATGTTTATGTCATTAGTTTATATGTTATCAGTTATACTGTTATCTTTACAATAAACATACTGTTTGTTTCAACAGTTAATATATTTATACTAATTAACTAGTAATTGTCATTTAATTGATAGATAATTATATGTTATATACAAATAAATCTATTTATTATTCAAGATAATTAATATAAACAAATAAATGCACCTGATCATTTAGGGTGCATATTGTTAAAAGATAATTTTCAAGGTTAAAGCTAAATTTTTATTAAATGCAAATTTAAATTATTAGTACACAAAAAACACTTAATTTGTCTATCAATTAAATTATTATCTAAGATATAAATTTATATTATTAAATATTAAATTTAATGATAAGCAAGATATTTTAATACAGTATATGCAATAGCATGTAATATATAATATACTGGTATTACTATTACAATTAATTGTTTTATTATTAACTTTTTTATAATAAATAATTTTAAATAAAATATAAAACAAAGTATTTTTATTAATCTTAAACAATAATTTTTAATTGTATTCAGTAATCACTTTGTAATTAAAAATATAATATCATTTAATTAAAAATAATAAATATATATAGATTTTTTAATATGATATTTAAAAGTTAATATATTCAATAATATATTTTTCAAAATAAAACTGTAAATTATGTTATTTAAATGATTATTATTTTATAAATTTTTCAATAATTTGTGGCAATTTTGATAAACTATTTTCTTGTTGTATTCGTTGTGATATTTGTTTCAATTTATCCGTCAATTTGTTGTCATTCAATAGTGTATCGATTGCTGACAATAACTCCTTTTCCGTACACTTGTATGCATCCAATCTAAGGCCAAACCTTTTTTCCTCAACTCTCTGTGCATTATCCCACTGATCGCCAAACAGTGGCATAACTATCATTGGTTTTCCAAAACAAAATGTTTCAGTTGTAGAGTTGTTTCCGCCATGAGTTATAACCAAATCAACTAACGGTAGCACTTGTAGTTGTGGTACACTTGATTGTCCCCACATATTATCATACAATTTGATGCTTTCATATTGTGGACCCATTGATATAATAAACCGATTGTTTGATTTACTTAATATAGCTAAAAGTCGATTCATATTATCGACATTTGCCGCACCCATTGATCCCAACGAAAAGTAAACTAATTTTCCGGGTTTTTCCTTTAATTTGTCCGGTATTTCAAATGTTAAATGTTTGTCACTTCTCATAAAATTATCAAATTGATGCCAATTGTCGGGCATTGGTCTCAGATCTGTATAATCCAATTCCTCGGGAAAGCCATAAATATTTAGGTATTTTGAATGATAGGGAATAATCTCATTAAAATCATAAATGTTTTTAGTTTCTAAATATTCTTTAAACGGTTTCCAAACTTCAGTTTTTACTTTATGTATAATTGAACGAAACTCTTTCCACTCATTTTCGTGTCCAACGGCTGGCAATCCTATAAAATGTTTAAATTGTTTTTTAGTTTAAATATTAAAGTGTTTTTTATTAAAATAATTATTTTATCAATACCTGAATTAGCCGGTGGTGTCCTATTGTCTTCTAAATAATACAATGGATTACAACTACAAATACCAACCCATGGAGTGCCCGAATTGACAACCGATGCCAAACAAAACGGATAATCAATTAATATGATATCCTTTTGTATAGTCGGCAATAATGTGTCCAACACTCTATCTAACTGTACGGTCCGGTCAATAAAATCGGGTAAAGTGTTTCGGTTAAGATTAATACAATTATCCAATGCAGTCGTCGGACAGTTAACTCCATCGTCGACCAAACGTTTTGCAAAATCCTCAACCAATAAGCCGTCAACTTTGAGTTCACTATTTGGAAACAGTATCTCTTCGATGCCATACTTTGTGAAGTGTCCTCTCCAGAGATCATTCATAATAAATGCCACACTATAGCCATTGGCCATCAATGTTTGCGCTACACCTATACAGGCATTGATATGTCCGGTGCCGTCCACAGAGATAAATAGTGCGCGCAATTGTCGGGTCATTATTATAATAAGTAATTTATTTATATTCAATAAAAATACTAATTATTTTTACAAATATTTGGTTATTTACTATTAAATACTAAAAATGAGTTTATTTATATAATTTATACAAAGTTTGGTTTTTCAAACTAATTATTACACTTTTATATGTTAACAGTTACACTATTATCTTTACAATATACATACTACTTGTTTCAATAGTTAGTCTATACTAATTAATTTAGATAATTATATTATAAAGACTTTAAATAAATAAAATCTATTAATTTTATTAGATAAATAATATACCAAATAAACTCACTTTTCAATTTAAGTGTATTGATTACATTAAACTAAAAATGCACTAATTTATAATTATTTATTAAATGTTTTTATTTCGACAATTTATACTAATTTTGTAAAAAACTAATGATTTAAACTTATTATTAACTTCAAGGTTCAAGCTAATTTTATATTAAATATAAAGTTAACAATAATATTGCACTAAAACGCACTTAATTTGTTTATTAATTAAATTATTATGTGTATAAATTTTTTATTTAAACTTATCACATGCAATGTTTTTTTTAAAAAAAAGTTAAGTTCTGATTACTAAAAAATATTTATAAATTATGATTATCTTTGATTTACAGCACAGTTGATTAAAAAAAATGTTCTCAATATTATCGGTATAAAGTTAAGTATAATTACTAGTGAATGAAAATATATTTAATTAAATAAATAAATTTTAATTAAATATTATATACATTTAAAATATAAATACATACAAAATATTTAATTAAATATTTAGCATTTTTCGTAAATATAATAAAATATTAATACATAAAACTGTAAATATATGCATATCAATAGTGGTGGTCATCAAAAATCATTGAAAAATTGGAGATCAAAACAAGTGTCAGTACAAGAATCACTACTAACACCAAAAAATGATTTCAATAGTGATTTGTGTAAACTGTTGGTGACATTGAATATACCGTTTCATAAAATGATAATAAAAAATAAATATTTAAATAAATATTTTGGTATTTTTTAGCAAATAAATAAATATTTTGGTATTTTTTAGCAAATATTTAAATAAATATTTTAGTATTTTTTAGCAAATATTTTATTGAATATTTTCAGTTTTTAAATAAATATTTTTTAATGCACTAATAATTACTGTAGTATATTCAGTATATAATTAGAAAAATTAATATTAAAAATAAATTATACAATAAAATATTGTATATTTAGATTTTAATTAAAATAACAATTTTATGAAATAAACTAAAATTAAATTCATTATTAACCAGTTGAGAATGCTTTAAAAGCATTTCCACACGAATTCCTTAACTTAAAAAAGAAAAAAACCAAAAAAAATCAAAAAAAATCAAAAAAATACAAAAAAAATCAAAAAAAATTTTTGTAGCGGAGCCTGGATTCGAACCTATGTCCTCGTGGGACAGACAGACGGACAGACAGACGGACAGACTTTTAGAATGCATATACGTATTCCTTTCAGGAATTCGTGAAAAAACAGACTTAAAATAAAATAAAAACAAAAAACTATAACTTAATAGAAAACAAAATATATTATAGCAATTCACAATGTACTTAATATATTTTAATGTTTTCTAGTTGAAAGCAGAAAACAAACTGAAATTTTGAAGAAAATGCAAGCCCTTTTATATACAAGCTAAGACTAATATAAAACTTATAGGTTAAGTTAAATCTTAGGAAAAGTTTATGTGTTTTGAGAAATCTGATAAAGTTTCTAAAATTTTAAACTATTATTAGACTTCAAATAATAAATAAACTTTAGCTAAGATTTAACTTAACCTATAAGTTTTATATTAGTCTTAGCTTGTATATAAAAGGGCTTGCATTTTCTTCAAAATTTCAGTTCGTTTTCTGCTTTCAACTAGAAAGTTTTTTTTGTTTTAATATAATTAAATAAAATTAGAATAAAATAAAGTTATAATAAATCGTTATTTATATTAGTTTTATTATGGCATCAACTAATATAAACTCAAGTGTTATCAATGAAGAAGACAACTCTCAAGAAATTGACTCAAATTTAGATGAAGTTATTGAAAACGCCTTAGAAACTTCAGAATTTCAGATATTTGACGAATTGAATGCAAATATACAAGACTTGGACTTTGATATGCATGGAAATATCGCAACAGAAACCATTACTTTGGAATCGCAAAATTTGGTTAATCCAGACGTTGATGGTAATGACAACTCTCAAGAAATCGACTCAAGTTTAGATGAAGTAATTGAAAACGCCTTAGAAACTTCAGAATTTCAGATATTTGACGAGTTGAATGCAAATATACAAGACTTCGACTTTGATATGCATGGAAATATCGCAACAGAAACCATTACTTTGGAATCGCAAAATTTGGTTAATCCAGACGTTGATGGTAATGACAACTCTCAAGAAATCGACTCAAGTTTAGATGAAGTAATTGAAAACGCCTTAGAAACTTCAGAATTTCAGATATTTGACGAGTTGAATGCAAATATACAAGACTTCGACTTTGATATGCATGGAAATATCGCAACAGAAACCATTACTTTGGAATCGCAAAATTTGGTTAATCCAGACGTTGATGGTAATGACAACTCTCAAGAAATCGACTCAAGTTTAGATGAAGTAATTGAAAACGCCTTAGAAACTTCAGAATTTCAGATATTTGACGAGTTGAATGCAAATATACAAGACTTCGACTTTGATATGCATGGAAATATCGCAACAGAAACCATTACTTTGGAATCGCAAAATTTGGTTAATCCAGACGTTGATGGTAATGACAACTCTCAAGAAATCGACTCAAGTTTAGATGAAGTAATTGAAAACGCCTTAGAAACTTCAGAATTTCAGATATTTGACGAGTTGAATGCAAATATACAAGACTTCGACTTAGATATTCATGAAAATAGCACTTTGCAAATCAATCCTAATAATTCGTTAAATATTAATCAAGAAGAAGAACAAGTGTTGGAATTAAGTATCGATGAAATGATAAATCTTATTAATGATTGAGAAAATTATACATTCTTATATCAATTAATTATAATATATTATTAAAGAAATTAAATTACTTCAATTTGACTTGAAGTAACAAAGAAGTTAACATCAATGACTCAGACAATAATTTCATATATTTAAATTAAATAACATATATTATTATTTATCTATTTGTAATAAAAATTTGAATTGAATTAATTAATAAAACTTAAAATTTATAAAACAAAACAACTAATCAAATTTATTAAAAATATTTACTGACAATTTCTGTAATTAATTATTATGTCTTAAATTATCATTGTAATTGTCATAAATATTTTAATAAATTTAATATAAAAATAGTTTTGTTTTATAAATTATATTATTAAATTATAAAAATAACTTACCATATATAGTTGTACTCAATAATCGCAATGTAAAATAAATACCAATAAAGACCATAACATAAAATTAATTAAAATATTTGTAACAAAAATTTGAATTTAATAAATGAAAAATGAATAAAATTGAAAATTTGTAGAACAATTACTTTATTAATTTTTTATATAAAATTTATTAAAAACATTTACTAATAACAGGAATTTACAACATATTAACTCTTAGTAAATTACTGTAAGTGTCAATAAATAATTTTAATAAATTTCCGACTTAAAAAATTTAATTAACCATTTTTGAGGTTAAGGAATCCGATAAGCATAAAATAAATTGGTTTAAACAAAAAAAGAATACCGTCAAATTTTATTTTTTATATTTGTTATATATAAGTTAAACACAATATTTAAATGACAAAAATAAAAAAATAATTATAAATAAGTCATTTAATTTGAAGTAATGACATCATTTTCAGCGTCATCGATTGTTATGACTTCAATGTCGTCTTCAATGGTTACCACCAGGATGTCATTAACCCATGCGAAGTCAATATCGTCTTCAAATATAAATGGATTGTTTTGAAGTGAAATATTATTGATCTCGTCAGTGGCAATCTCTTGAGATTCGACTCTGATGTTATCTTCATTTGGTGCAAACAGAAGATCGTCGTCGTTTTATGCAAACATTGGTTCCTCTTATTCAGAACAATATGTATGATGTGGATAGTACATGTTGTGAACAATTGGTGCATAAAGATTATACAATCATTCTCAAAACGTATTTTTGGTGGACTGGATGTTCGTCATCCAATATCTCTATCTGTTGTCACTCTTCATTTTAGTCAAAGATGACATCCAAAATTTCTAGTTCCACCCAAAGTTTACACAAAACAAACAAGTTTAATGAAGCCTTTATGACGCTCCATTCTTAAACATTGTACAAACTTCTCTGTCAAATGTGATGCTCACATGTTTCACACAAAAGTTCGGACATCAGCAGCTCCGCTACGTCATAGCATACTTTGCATTCGTCAACAATTAATGCCATCTGTTGATAAATTCAAAAATTAATAAATAATTTATAAATTAGTCATAACAACTTACTCTTACTGTTGTAGATGATGCCAGACTGTTGAATGATGGTCACTGCAGAAATAGCAGTCTTTATATACTAATTTGTCAGCCTACTGAGCAGTCGCACAACACGACAAACCAAACTACAAATAAAGTTCGACACTTATTATGCATCAGAGGTCAAACCAAATTACAAGTAATGTTCGAAACGTATTATACATCAGAGGTCAAACCAAACTACAAGTAATGTTCAAAACGTATTATGCATCAGAGGTCAAACCAAAATACAATTAAAGTTCGACACGTATTTTGCATCAGAGGTCAAACCAAACTACAAGTAAAGTTCGACACATATTATGCATCAGAGGTCAAACCAAACTACAAGTAAAGTTCGACACATATTATGCATCAAAGTTCATGGAAAACTACAAAAAATGTATGACACTTACTGTGAATTCAGAGTTCATGGAAAAATACAAGAAAATTACGACAATTACTATGACATCAAAGTTCATGGAAAATTACTATAAACGTACTACACTTACTATTACGTCAGAGTTTATGGAAAAGTACTAGCAAGATATTATTTTTTATTACTTAATTTTTAATTTTTCACATAATTCTATACTAATTAATTTAATAAAATTGTTCATTTTAAACAAGTACTTTTTTAATTTATTTAACATTATTATTTAAAATAAACATTTAAAATATATTAAATTTACTTCCTTTTTTTAATTTTAATTAGTAATTTACACAAATCTAAACTTAAAAATTTTGACACAATTTTCCTTTCAGGAATTCGTGAATATATATTTTTTAATTTGTAAACGCTATGTAATTTGTAAATGTTCCTTATGAAATATCAAAATTTCAATACTCATCCCATAGCTCATTTTTTATGATTTATCAAAAAATAAAATCAAAAAAAAAAATTAATTTTTAGACCCCATTTTCTCTATGTTCCTGATGAAATATCAAAATTTTAATACTTAACCCATAGCTCATTTTTTATGATTTATCAAAAAATAAAATCAAAAAAAAAAAAAAAAAATTTAGACGCCATTTTCTCTATGTTCCTGATGAAATATCAAAATTTCAATACTTATCCCATAGCTCATTTTTTATGATTTATCAAAAAATAAAATAAAAAAAATCAAAAAAATTTTTGTAGCAGAGTCTGGATTCGAACCACTAACCTATGTGGGACAGACAGACAGACAGACGGACAGACAGACAGACAGACTTTTAGAATGCATATACGTATTCCTTTCAGGAATTCGTGAAAAACAATGTACAGTATGATAATATAATTTTATTTTTATTTTCGTTGATGTGTTAATAAATGATTTTTCTTGTGATCCATGCGTTTAAAAATTTTGTTACATTGCGGCCAATCACACACTATAGACGGCTTGCTATGTACTTTCATGTGACTATTAAATTACCGGTAATTAGAAAAAAATAATATTTATTTAAAAAAAACAATTACTAGTAGAGGTGTAATTAAAAATTAAACAATAGCATACAATGTTAAATTTGATTTCATTTTGAATGATTTACCGCACGCCGGCCACTGGCACTTATATTTGGCGGGTAAGTCCTGGTGAATGCGTTTTAAATGTAGTCGTAATAATATTGCTGATAATAATAATAATGATTATAATTTAATTTTATAGATTACAGATAATGTTAAATAAAATAATTAAAAATAAAACTCACGTCGTGTACAAACTTTATCACATCCGGGCCATTCGCACCTATACTTTCCAATGCTATCATGTGTACATCTATGTCTATCCAGGTCACCTTTGGCAGCCGTACGGTACTCACAACCCGGCCATTCACAGGCAAACGGTTTTACATTCATATGACGTTTCTTGTGGACTAAATTTTTAAGTAAAAATAATATTTATTTATTTTTAATTAATAAATACTATTAAATAATAAATTAATCAAAAAAAAGGACAAATCATATATACTTTCTAAACTATATTTACTGAGCGCTTCGTAGTCACAGTCGGGCCAATCGCATACATAGTTATTGAGATGATCGCGATTTGAATGATATATGGCTTTATGCGTAGCCAAAGATAGTCTATGAAGAAATTGTTTACCACACGTGTCGCACGTAACCCGAGTGTCTATATCGTTATGGACGCAACGCACGTGATTTTCAAGTGTCTGTCTATCGTGTAGTAAACGATTACAATATTGACATTTATTTTTCTCCAGAGTTTTCCCTTTAGGAAACAAAAACCAAACAAAATATCTTATAAAAAGCAGTTATTATTATTATCGGTAAACTAAAAAAAACATACGTTTTTTGACCTCTCTAGCGGTCAATTCGTTGATATCTGTGCCGTGATTGAGAATACGATGGCGAAACAGTTGATACCTTCCGTGAAAATATTTCAAGCATTTCGTGCACTGGTATGGCTTGACCTCTAAGTGCACCCGATTTATGTGTGTCTCAAAGTATTCACGATTACCAGTCTTGTACTGACAAACATTGCAAACATATCCCGCATTTCGTCGACCAATTTGTGACCGAAATTTGTCTGTAATATAATAATAATGATAAGTATCAGTGATTATCGTCATTACAATAGATAGATATATGAATATACTGTAAAAACCTATGAATGCTGTCAATTGATTATCACTTGATTTACTGTTCAATTTGTCTTCATTTATATCGACTACAGATTCAGTTTCTATCACTTTCTTTATCTTCCTCTTAATCTTCTTTATCTTCATTATAGTCTCCACTCTTTTACCACCACTTCTTGTCTTTGATGTCCTGTTTGTCAATGATTTTGTCATTTCATCTGATGATAAACTTTTATCGCAATTATTCAACAGTTCATCGACTTCTTCTTCTTCTTCTTCATTGACAACTTCATTGTCGTCGGTCTTCAATGTCTTCATTTGACACTCAAATTGTTTCAACTTTTCGCTGATTTCATAATTTTGTTGACAATTCAAACAATTATTAACACAAATCACTAAACTATTGACCATTTCTTCACATAATTTGATTTGTTTGACAAGTCTTTCATTTTTATGGATAACATCATCAAAGATGTCATTGATATTAATAGTAACACTCATATTATGGGATCAGTTAACAAGTGATATCCAAATGTTTATTTGATAATAACTTTAATAATAAGTCAAACATAAAAATGTGTTAACATTTGAATTAAATGTTTTTTGTTTTGAAATTAATTTTGTTTCAAAACATTGTATCATATGATTTGTAGGGACCGTATCATCAAAAATATATTTACATTTAAATTAATAATATATATGACTTGATTTGATACAGATATTGAATTAGTTTAATATATCTGTGCTATAAAAATATCGGTATATATTATAATAATTAATAATAATTAACAAAATAAATATTTAAAAATAATAATACCATACATTTACAAAATTATATAATAATAATAATAATAATAATCAATTATGCAATTTAAACATTTTATAATATTAAACTTATACTGTATATACCAGTATTATATATATATAATAATAAATACAATAAGAAACCAAAAATTTTAATAAAATTGAAAGATTTCACTAATAAATCATTTACTTAATTAGTTCCTAAAATATTTTATTTGTTTATTTTATTAATAATTAGTAAATATTATTGATAATATAAATTATAAATCATAATACAAAATATATTAACAATTTTAAAAACTTTTAAATTAATCAATTAAGTTTTAAAAATTATTATAATAACAGATAAGTTTGAAAATATTATAAAATCAATTAAGATTTATTAATCTTATTTTTATAATTTAGATATTTATGTATAATTAATTGATTCAAATATAAAAAATAAATATGTTCACTAATTTTTTTTTGGAGAGTTTTAATTTAAAGTTTTGCAGTTAAAATTTTCAAGTATAGTCTAGTAATTAAAATCTACAAATAAGAAATATACTGTATTTAATGTATTAATGTAATAAAATTATTTAAATGTCACTCTAGTTATACATTTAATCTTTAATCTATTAATAGTAATCTTAAATACAGTACTTTTATCAATACTGTGTAATACTTTTTTTGTATATTATTCTAATATAATAATAAAAATAATACTTTTAATAAGTGTTTTTCCAGTTTATTAATGTTGATAAAAGTTATATACTATTATTATAAGTTTATATAATAAAGTAAATAAAATTCTAAAACTATATAATGAGTTATTAGAGATGTTTTTGACGTAATAATGTTTTATACGTAATAAAGTTTTTGTATTTTAAACATTATACTACTGTATAGTTACTAATAGATATGTTGGTACAGATACAGTACATATTATGTCATATAAAACCACTATAAAAGCCAATATAAAAGTCACTATAAAAGTCAACTTTAATAAAGTTAACAAAATTATATTATAATTATTTACTTAATTTCATAAAACAATTTATGAAATAATAATTTGTTTTAATAAAAAAATGACTAATAAAAAGCTGACCATTTTGTTTGAGTCATTGGACGGCGTCGGACATGTAAACGCTTGTATTGGTTTGGCTCAAGTACTGCAAAAACGCGGCCATAGGATAGTGTTTGCCATCGAAAAGACATATAAAGGAAAGTTAAGTGAATTTGGTTTTGAAGAACAGATTATTGATGACAATGAAGACAAGATTGTCAAAAGTAAGACACAATCGCCAATCAAAAGACCCGGAGAAGATGGGGCCGAAAAAATGCTTAAGTCGGGCATATTTTCGGGAAAGTCATCGCTTGAAAAGCTTAAGTTGATTCAGAAAAGTCCATTGTTTGCAATGATGATAGAAAAGGCAAAAAAAGATAATACAATGTTTGCTGAAGTTGTCGATAAACTTAATCCCGATGTCATTATTATTGACGACTTTATTGGTCGACCAGCACTTATACATTCGGGTAGACCATGGGTTTCAGTTTTCAGTGGCAGTCCATTGTTTTCTATTGATGACGATAAGACACCACCATTTGGCTCAGGTAACATCTATCACTGTTTTTATTATTATTGATTATAATATGAATATTAAAATCTTTTTAAATCATAAAAACAGGTTTTCCTACTTTTGGCGATAAAATCGATTGGAAAGAGTTTAGAGATCTTCGTAAAGAATCGATAGCCGGAAATGTTATCAAATATAATGAATGGATTCAAGAATTAGGTTTTCCTATTCATAACTCCGATAATATTTTGCCGATTTCGCCATTTCTTAACATCTATGGCTATCCCGAAGAACTCGATTATTTAGATGTCAGACCAATTCCCGACAATTTTTGTCCAATCGATGCCTTTATACGAAAAGACCCGAAAGAATTCAAAATTCCCGACAAATTTCAAAATAGAGAGAAAACTAACAGCAAATTAATATATTTATCGATGGGTTCAATGGGTTCAGTGGACGTCAATCTAATGAAAAGATTTGTCGATATACTGTCCAAAACTCGACACAAGTATATAATATCCAAAGGACTTATGGCTGATAAATACGAATTGGCAGACAATATGTGGGGCGAGGCATCAGTTCCGCAGACAAATGTACTGCCATTAGTAGATCTGGTCATAACTCACGGCGGGAACAACTCTGTGACCGAAACCTTCAGTTACGGCAAACCAATGATTGTTATGCCATTAATGGGCGATCAATACGATAACGCACAGAGAATTCATGAAAAAGGATTTGGTATTAGATTAGAGCCCTATATGTGCTCTGAATTGGATTTATTGGATTCAATTGAAAAACTTTTAAATGACAAACAATTAGACGAAAGACTATCGATTGCATCCAAACGTATGCTTAACTCCGATAGCATTAGTAAAGCCTGTGAACGCATAGAAAGACTCGTTAAATAACATATTATATTATACTTACCGTTAATATGTGAATAATATTTTTAAAAAATATACCAAATATAAAAAATAATCATTTAGTGATTCAACACAAACTAAATTTTTAAATAGTATTTTCATTTTATTAATAGAAATATTAATATTTCAAACATAAAAGTTAACTCAATATAAATAATATATAAATGATGTAAAAAATCAATAACTTATTTAAATATTAAATGAAAAATAATTTTGAAATATTAACTTTAATAAAAAAATTAAACTTCACTTACAATTGTATTTTTAAATGACACGAAACATACTGAGAGTTAATATTGTATTAATATATATTTTATACACTTTATGCCAATTATAAGTTTAAATTTGAGTAATATTATGTAATAATTCATCATGGTAATGTATATAACTTACATAATATAAGGTAAATGTATACTAAGTTAGTTAAATTAGCGTCAAGTTAACTGTACATGATAATAATCAAATTTAAACTTTTAATTGATATCAGTATAACTACTGTATATTAATTACATCATTGATTGCTTGTATTTAAATAATCAAAAATTCAATAAATCATTACATCTACTAATACTACGCTTTTTATATATTGCATTAATTAAATTTTAAAAAGTAATAAAATTATGTAAATATAATTAGTACTCAATTAATTAATTAGACATTTATTAAAAATTATTAAATTATGTATACGTTGTTTATATAAATATAATGTTAATTAAAAATATTAACCCGTCGAGTAGGCGATTTGAAAAGTATGAAGACCTCTAGTGGACGATTTGAAATGTATGAAGACCTCTAGTGGACGATTTGAAAAGTATGAAGACCTCTAGTGGACGATTTGAAAAGTATGAAGACCTCTAGTGGACGATTTGAAGAGTATGAAGACCTCTAGTGGACGATTTGAAATGTATGAAGACCTCTAGTGGACGATTTGAAAAGTATGAAGACCTCTAGTGGACGATTTGAAATGTATGAAGACCTCTAGTGGACGATTTGAAAAGTATGAAGACCTCTAGTGGACGATTTGAAAAGTATGAAGACCTCTAGTGGACGATTTGAAAAGTATGAAGACCTCTAGTGAACGATTTGAAAAGTATGAAGACCTCTAGTGGACGATTTGAAATGTATGGAGACCTCTAGTGGATGATTTGAAAAGTATGGAGACCTCTAGTGGACGATTTGAAAAGTATGGAGACCTCTAGTGGACGATTTGAAAAGTATGGAGACCTCTAGTGGACGATTTGAAAAATATAGACCTCTTTTCGTTAATTTGAAAGGTTTTAATGTTGATGCAATGATATATGATTATAATAACATATCTTTATTAAAATTAGTATTTATAAATAGTACATTGTAAATTATATATATATGACATTATACAATGATATATACTTATAACAATAAAATTATTAATTTTTAAATAAATATATTGATAAGTAATTTAATAAATAAGAATTTTATTTTTTATAAGAAATCCATTGATTCGGTTTTTTAGGTGAATCTAAAGGTCTCATTCGAACAGGTATTTCATTATAAGGCAAAGCTATTGGTAAAGTTTCTTTTGTCTTTTGAGAGATTTTAACTTTGCGTTTTTTAATGGGCTTTAGTCTTAAGCGTTTAGTTTTTTGAATTATCACCTTGCTTGTTTTTGATGGTTGGCTTTCTTCCATTTTCTTCTCTTTAGTTGTTATTTTTTGCGAAACAACACACATTTTGAAATAATTTTATCAAACAAACTATAAGTAAACAATATAACACTTAGCAAAAAGAATAGTGAAATTATATTATAAAAATAATTTAAATAAATTTACTTTCAAGTGTTCTAAACGATGTCACAAAACTAACTGAATGTTTTTAATAAAAATATGCCTTATTTATACCCTCATTAAATGTTGATGCAATATTAATGTTGACTCAATATTAATGATGACTCAATATTAATGATGACTCAATATTAATGATGACTCAATATTAATGATGACTCAATATTAATGATGACTCAATATTAATGATGACTCATTATTAATGTTGATGCAATATTAATGTTGACTCAATATTAATGTTGCAATATTAATGTTGATGCAATATTAATGTTGATGCAATATTAATGATGATGAATATTAATGATGATGCAATATTAATGTTGACTCAATATTAATGATGACTCAATATTAATGATGACTCATTATTAATGTTGATGCAATATTAATGTTGACTCAATATTAATGTTGCAATATTAATGTTGATGCAATATTAATGTTGATGCAATATTAATGTTGATGCAATATTAATGATGATGAATATTAATGATGATGCAATATTAATGTTGACTCAATATTAATGATGACTCATTATTAATGTTGATGCAATATTAATGTTGACTCAATATTAATGTTGCAATATTAATGTTGATGCAATATTAATGTTGATGCAATATTAATGATGATGAATATTAATGATGATGCAATGTTAATGATGACTCATTATTAATGTTGATGCAATATTAATGTTGACTCATTATTAATGTTGATGCAATATTAATGTTGACTAAATATTAATGTTGCAATATTAATGTTGATGCAATATTAATGTTGACTCAATATTAATGTTGCAATATTAATGTTGATGCAATATTAATGTTGATGCAATATTAATGATGATGAATATTAATGATGATGCAATGTTAATGTTGACTCAATATTAATGATGACTCAATATTAATGATGACTCATTATTAATGTTGATGCAATATTAATGTTGACTCAATATTAATGTTGCAATATTAATGTTGATGCAATATTAATGTTGATGCAATATTAATGATGATGAATATTAATGATGATGCAATATTAATGTTGACTCAATATTAATGATGACTCAATATTAATGATGACTCATTATTAATGTTGATGCAATATTAATGTTGACTCAATATTAATGTTGCAATATTAATGTTGATGCAATATTAATGTTGATGCAATATTAATGATGATGAATATTAATGATGATGCAATATTAATGTTGACTCAATATTAATGATGACTCAATATTAATGATGACTCATTATTAATGTTGATGCAATATTAATGTTGACTCAATATTAATGTTGCAATATTAATGTTGATGCAATATTAATGTTGATGCAATATTAATGATGATGAATATTAATGATGATGCAATATTAATGTTGACTCAATATTAATGATGACTCAATATTAATGATGACTCATTATTAATGTTGATGCAATATTAATGTTGACTCAATATTAATGTTGCAATATTAATGTTGATGCAATATTAATGATGATGAATATTAATGATGATGCAATATTAATGTTGACTCAATATTAATGATGACTCAATATTAATGATGACTCATTATTAATGTTGATGCAATATTAATGTTGACTCAATATTAATGTTGCAATATTAATGTTGATGCAATATTAATGTTGACTCAATATTAATGATGACTCAATATTAATGATGACTCATTATTAATGTTGATGCAATATTAATGTTGACTCAATATTAATGTTGCAATATTAATGTTGATGCAATATTAATGTTGATGCAATATTAATGATGATGAATATTAATGATGATGCAATATTAATGTTGACTCAATATTAATGATGACTCAATATTAATGATGACTCATTATTAATGTTGATGCAATATTAATGTTGACTCAATATTAATGATGACTCAATATTAATGATGCAATATAGATAATACATAAATTATGTAAAAATTAATTTATTATATATTTGTTATAATAAATATCGATATTCACTCATATATTTTCCTTAACTTATACATATAAATTGACTTATTATCTATAATATTTGTGACGCCTATTGGTTTGACTTTATTGCATAACAATTGATAGTTTTCATACTATGAAATTGAATACAATTTTTGTTTACACGATACACACTGACAGTTAATATTGTATTTTTAAAAATATTACTCACATATATGTAATTACAATATTCGTGTTGTATTAATATACAGATAATGACAATTAAAAGTTTAAATTTGAGTTATAATTTACATTTAACTTTACGCTAAGCAATGTAACTTAGTATACAATTAGCTTATTTTATGTTATATACATTACATTTGCTTAAATATTACATAATATAACTTAAACTTAAACTTTTATGTGAATAAAATGTATTAATGATTATTAATAATAATAACCATTAAAGTGGAAGATTATATAAGTATCAAAATTATTGACTATATATTAAATATTTAATAATTATTCATTTAGTATAACAACTAGTATTTCATAATTTAATTTAAATATTTTATTAATAATATAAATTAGTAATTTTTATAGTTATCATTTTTAGCTTAATATTTTTCTGTACTATTCAATTAAAATATTTATTGTCAGACTGTAAATTAAGACTAAATAGTTATTTAATAATAATAACGATTTTGATAGTATTTAATTTTATAATTATCAAAAAAATTAGTCGCAATTATTTATTTATTTATTTAAATATTAGATAATTAATCAACTTTTATATATATAATACTCAACTATGAAAATTAATGTAGATGTATGAAAAAACTATGAACTTGATGAATTAAGAAAATATTTTAACATTACAATAAAATAGTCAATATTAAGTTTTAGTTATTTTCCAATGTTTTCTAGTATTTTCTAAATTCATCAAGTTCATATCTTTTTTTCAAATTATACATCTACATTGATTTTGATTACTGTGTATTTATCATTTACTTATACAGTACTTTTAAATAATGTATTTATTATATTGAGTCTATATTATAGACTAATAATAATTTAGCAATCATAAAACTTGATTTCATCAATTTCAATATCACCATAGGGTGGATCATTTTGAAAGGTAACGGTATAACCAGACAATCGTATTTGTGATCCATCAGCTAATTCACCCAAATTGGCTAATTGTGTTACCCATTGATTGCCAGTTAGTTCATGTATATGAAGCACCTGCCGTTCATTTAATAAATTACCAGTAGTTCCTTGTTGATGGACAACAGTAATATTGAATGTACCAATGTAGTTTGTGGGAACATAATTACGGTATCGGAATAACATTTTACAGCCAGATTTGGTTGACCCAAGTGCTGATGTTATCAATACGGCCGGTGCACTGGTATCCTCTAATTTGTTTATAAAATAAATAAATAAATATAATTAATTTAAAAGTGATAATATATAGAGTAATTATTATATTATATCGATATATATTTGTTTACTCATATAAGTATCAATTATGATAAACCCTCCGTTTGAATGTCCGGCCCCATCAACAACAGGCAATAGTCCACCTAAATGTGATCTGACGACCCATTTATATGGACTGCCAATGTTTAGCCAACCACACGTATTGTTATTGTCAAATGTACAATTAAATTGGTCGATAGCACTGGTAGGTAACAGTTGTGGTGATGACGGCAGTGAATGAATACAATTTATTATAAAATAAGGTAATATTACAAAAATAAAATAATACATTTTATTTTAGAAAATATTGTTTTTATATTTTTATTAAATAAAAATTATTTATTAATAGTTAAATAATTTAATTAATTTTGTTTTAAAATTTAAGAGATTATATATAGTGTCTAAAACTATTATTTTAGATAAATATATTTTACATTTATTTTATTGGATAATATTTGATAAAATTAAACAATTTATATTATATAATAAATTACATACATTTTCTTAATAAAAATTAGGTTAAATTTTTATTAAGAAAAAAGTTTTTCTATGATAATTAATTAATTAATTAATTGATTAAAAAAATAAAATTAATATTAAAGTACTCAACGCAAGTGTATAACAAAGTGCTACTTATTCAAGTATATTATAATAAATAAATATACTGTATATTTAATATAGTTTAAGATAATAGATACTATTCTATCTTGATACAAAGTTTAAAATTAAATAAATAAATAAAATTGATTAATTGTCAGACCATAAGCACTACATATGACTATAATTCATAATCTATTATAATATTATAGAATGAACTTGATCAGTTTAGTTGTTATACATTTAAAAGTTGTGTACTTTAATAATATTAAATCCAATAAAATAAAATGTAAAATGTATTATATAGTATAAGTTACAGCTTCGGTACATAAAGTTTATAACAATAATTGCATAAATAGACACAAAAAAAATTTAAATAAATTTTAAAAATACTAAATATTTTCAGAAATATACTATAAATAAAAATATTTAATTTTTGAATTTAAAAAACTGAAATGATGTTATTATAAACTATAGTAAATAATAGTTTAATAGTTATTTCAAAGTTCTTATCGTATCTTTAATATAGTTTATAATTAATTTATAATCTTTTATATATTTATTATTTTTAATATTATAAAAATAATTTATTCTAATAACTATAATTTTTAGATTAGTTTTTTAAACTTTTATAGTATATTTGTGAATAAAAAAAAACTTTATTTATTTTTTTATTTTCAAAAATTAACCAGGTAATTGTGGTTTTAGAAAATATTATTTCATTTTAATCATTAGTGAATATCAATAGTGATTATGTGTATTAAATCTTATTATTTATAATAAAAGAATTAAGAGATTAAATTACCTTTATAACTTTATGTATAAACACATATACATTTAAAATAATATATGAAGTTTAAAATTAATACTATTAATACAAATCAAATAACAAATATTGTTTCACATGATCTCAGTTATACATTAAAAGGGGATAACAGCAATGTTTTCCCCACGACTATCCTTATGTCTTAACTACTCCGGTAAATCAAATTACATAATAATAAATTAAAAAATAATATAAGTTATTACCAAACATTTATTATATTAATATTATAATTATATTTGTATAAGTTGGGAATTTTACAAAAACTAAAAAAGTATATAAAGAAATAATAGTTAATTCATAAGAAATTATTTTAATTATTTTTAAAATTACATTAATTAAAAAAATTAACATTTAATTGCGTAATAATGATTAATAAAATTATATTTAATGTATTAATTACATCATAAATAGTTTGCCAATAATAAGTGCCGACTCATAGAATTCATCAAAATCTGAATTGTTTGTCAATAGTGTTACACAAATATGCTGTTCGGGAAATATCATAATAATAGTGGTCAGACCCGTAAGGCCACCAGATTTCCAAATAACCCGCTTTATTGTTGAAGGCATTTGACATTTATTAGTGCATTGGATAGGGTTTTTCAAATCATTTATTAGCCAACCATGAGCTAATATATATATAAATATGAAAACAAACATTATAATAAAATATAATAGATTTTATCATAAGATATAAATTATATTATATAATATATTAATGTAAAAAATTAATATAAATAATTAAATTAAATTAAAATAACAAAAATAATTAAATATCTTTAAAATACAATATAATATGTAAAAAATTACATTTCTATAAGATATAAATAACCTTGTTTATGTGTACCAAAGTCATCACTATAGGCATCAATAATTGGTTTCCATAATTGTTTAATTGTTTCAGACTTTAAAAGATCTGAATTAATATAATATTATTAATATTTTTATATAATTATATTTAATAAATAATAGCTTAAACTCATACCTGGCTTAGTATGGTTGACATTGTTATAGCTATCGAGCATAAAGTCGCTAAATGTCAATAAATTATCGACAGTAGACATTAAGGCGCCACACGGCCACTGGGCCTCCATTGCAAGTAAGTCATCGTAGAGCATGGCGTTCATAATATGTAACTCCGATTTATTTTTCGTCGGGTGCAACAAATATTCTGAATCACTTTTAATATAGTCGTGCACCCGATGCCTAACCAACATCTCATAGGTTTCGGCATATGTTGACGGCATATGTATATCTCTAACAAACTTATTTATAGTGTCGTTAAAGTTTTCACCGGTAATCGACTCTATGACAGCGCCCACCAATTGCCAGCCAAAGTTTGAATAGTTATACTGTGTTCCCGGTGCAGATATCAGCGGCTCATGACTGAACTGGGCTATAGATTCGGTGACATTTGTATACTCATAGACGTTTGCACTGTCGTCGAGTATTTTAGTGACTCGTGTGCCACCCGTGTGTGACATCAACTGTCCTAAAGTGATGTCCACTTCTCGGCCTTTCCATTGTTTGCGTGGAAAAACTCCAGGTTTTAGATACTTGTAAATCGAATCATTCAAATTAAGTCTATTGTCTTCAATAAGTCGGGCTACGAGTGCACTGGTAATTGATTTGCTAATACTAGCCAATCGCCACTCCGAGTCTCTATAGATGGGAACATTGTTTTCCAGATCAGCCCAACCGATCGGTTCATTGACAATATGTCGTCCATAACGGCTGACACCGAAAGCCAAACCGGGTATCATATGATGAGACATATGTTGCTTCAATAAGTCAATTGACTTATTGACGGACAGTTCAATATTAACCGGATTATCGGTACGACATAAGCAGTGATACCGATCGTCATCGTTAACATCAATTGATTGACGAGTTTTACACAAACTAATTGTGCAAACAATTAATAACACTATTTGTATAATAATATGCAAATTACTAAACATTGTTTCATACAATGATTTAAGATATTTTATAATTATAGCTAATTTACTAAAATAACATTCAATGAATTTATATTTATTATTAAAAAAAGATTTATATAAATTATTATACTGTATTAATATACCGGTATATTATTTATCAGTTAAAAAATACTAAATTATCATTAATAATAATAATAACATAAAAGTAGTATACTATATACTAATACAATTGTAACACACATTATATATCGTTTTTTGTGATGTAAAACCATTTTTACACTTAGACTTTATTAACTCTATAATTCCACATTTGATTATAGATTTTAACACTTATAGTAAAATAACAATCACTAACTAAAGTAAATTAATATTAACTCGTGTTAACAATAAGTTTGATTTAGATATAATATTTCATTTATTTAATAAGTTGTATTCAGTTTTTTAAATTAATTAAATGTTTTATGGTTTAATTATTTTTTAAATTTAAAAATATAATTCATTGTAATATTTTTTTATAATTTTTCTTATAAAAAATAATTTTATATTTTACAAAGAAATAAATTAATTTAAATTTTGCGCTTTTTTTATTTCAAACTAAACCACGTGACAAAATACTATTTCATTGTAGTAAATTGCGGAAGGATTAAGTGTATTAATCCTACTTAAGGATTAATCCGGCTTAAGGATTAAACCGGCTTAGTAGGATTAAAGGATTAAATTACGGGTATAACCCCCTGTATACTACTCATAAAGTATCAAAACACTTTTAGTGGATTAAATAATCATGATTTATCTAATCATTAATAGATTTATCATATTTATTGAAGTATTTAGTTTTAACTTTTATTGTCACAAAATTAGTTGAATTTATTGATAAATATATTAGAAACACATAAAAAATATTATAATTACCGGTAAATAATATATAATGCGATTTATCAAACTTAATTTATATTATCATTAATTACTATAACTATTATAAACTATTATTATAGGTGCCAGTGGTGATGATAAACAATTTATTATAAAATAATTGTTGTGTTGAAAACATATTAAATAAAACATTTAATTTTAGAAAAATAATTGTTATAAAAAATTAAATTATTATAATTAAAAATCTTTTATATAAAGTATTAGTTAATCTATTAGTTAGATAAAGTTACTTAAACTGATAAATACATTTCACATTTATTATTTGATAATATGTGATAAAACTAAACAATTCATATAAAATTTAAATTAAATAATTGTATTATTATTAAAAGTAAAACAATTAAAGTAATTTAGCGAATGATCTACTATTTTATAAAAAAAATACAATTACATAAAACAATAAATAAAATGAAAATGACTTAACTTTAATAATATAATTAATTTGATACATATCAAGTATTTAAATTTATATTTAGTTTATTTTTTTAAATAAAGTATTACATCATAAATAGTAAATAGTTTGCCGACAACAAGTGCCGCCTCAACAATATAATCCCATAGGTTTCGGCATATGTCGACGTCATATTTATATCTCCGACAAACTTACTTATAGTGACCTTAAAGTTTTCACCGGTAACCGCCTTTATAAAAGCGCCCACTAATTGCCAGCCATAGTTTGAATAGTTATGCTGTGTTCCCGGTGCCGATATCAACGGCTCATGACTGAACTGGGCTATAGATTCGGTGACATTAGTGTACTCATAGACGGTGTAGTCATAGACCTGTGGAAAAACTCCAGGTTTTAGATACTTGTAAATCGAATCATTCAAATTAAGACGATTTTCTTCAATAAGTCGGGCTACGAGTGCACTGGTAATTGATTTGCTAATACTAGCCAATCGCCACTCCGAGTCTCTATAGATGGGAACATTGTTTTCCAGATCAGTCCAACCGAGCGGTTCATTGACAATATGTTGTCCATAACGGCTGACACCGAAAGCCAAACCGGGTATCATATGATGAGACATGTGTTGCTTCAATAAGTCAATTGACGGACAGTTCAATATTAACCGGACTATCGGTAAGACATAAACAGTTATAAAAATCGTCATTTTTAACACCAATTGATTGATGAGTTTTAAACAAACTAATTAAGCAAACAATTAATAACACTATTTGTATAATATGTATGTTACTAAACATTGTTAGTATTTTATAGTTTTAATTATATTTTTTAGAGATTTAGTAATAAAGTAATAACTAATCTATAATATATTAAAATAACATTAAATGAAGTTATATTTATTTTTGTTAAAAAACATTTAATACTTATATCAAAGTATAATAGTCAATAAAAAATAATTAAAATAATTATAAAATTATAAACTATTTTTAAAAATAGCACAAAATAACAAAACATTTTGAGTATATTAAATAAATATAAAAAACTTATATTTATTTAATCATTAATAAATTTATAATTTCACTATAATTTTTTAATAACTATTGATTAGCATTTATTGATTAATATATTATCAATCAAAATACTATAATTAAATAATAAACAATATATTTTATGATATATTAAACTTAATTTATATAACTATTAATTACTATTTTTATTACAATAAATTGTATGATACAATTTTTTATCTGTATTTTGTGTTATCACTATAACATTGATTGATATTTATAGAAAATAAAAGAATTAATAATTTTGAACTAATTATTATAGTATTAAAAGCTGTAATGTATAATATTTTATAGTAATTTAATTAAATATAATATAATTTTTAAAAATAATTTGAAAATAAATCTAAATATAAATAATTATCTGATTTTTCATAAAATATTTATAGTATTTTAAAATTGTCTAAATTATAAATTATTGTTTTTGACAATGTTTTCAATAATTTCTGGTAATTTTGCTAAACTATTATCTGATTGAATTCGTTGTGCAATTTGTTTTAGTTTATCAATCAAAGAGATGTCAGTCAATAGTGTGTCGATTGCTGACAATAACTCTTTTTCCGTACAGTTATATGTGTCCAGTCGTATACCATAACCCAACTCATGAACTCTCTGTGCGTTATCATTTTGATCACTAAATAATGGCATAACTATTAAAGGTTTACCAAAATAGAAAGTCTCAGTTATACTATTGTTTCCTCCATGAGTTATAACCAAATCAACAATAGGTAACACTTGTATTTGAGGTACACTTGACTGTCCCCACATATTATCAGGTAAGTCATACTCAGTATGTTTGGGTCCTTTTGCTACAATAAATCTGTGCTCAGATTTGGCCAAAATAGCAGTCAATCGTTTCATGAGTTGGACATCTGCTGCGCCCATAGATCCCAATGAAAAATATATAAGTTTTCCCGGTTTGTCCCGCAATTGTTGCGGTATTTCAAATTTGATTGATTTTTCGTTACGCTTAAGATTATCAAATCTTAGCCAATTTGATGGCAATGGTCTCATATCGAGATAGTCTAACTCCAGTGGAAAACCATATATATTGAGATTAGGCGATTCGTGCCAAAACATGTCACCAGTTAGAGCCGGTAGTCCACGTGAGACCAGATATTTGCTAAAATCTTCGATTATTGGCCGTTGAGATGCAAACAGGGCTTCTCTAAAGGCTTTCCACTCGCTCTTTGGTCCCGAAGCTGGCAAACCTGTAATGATAATAAAAAATAAATAGTTTCTATTTCTACAGTTTTTTCTCTTTTAAATAATACCTGAGTTAGATGGAGGTGTGCGCTCATCTTCAAGAAAAAATAACGGATTGAAACTACAGGTCAGTATCCATGGTATGCCCGACAATACAATGGATGGTATATTAAGCACCTGATCCAGTATTATAACATTTGGCTTGAGTTTCGGTAATAATTCATCTAATATTTTGTCCAATTTTTTTGTTTCCTCAATAAATATAGGCATTAGTTTTGTCCGGATATTGATTGTCGTCTCCAATGGTGTCAATCGTATGGTGCCATTACCGCCGACAAACAGATCGGCCCAGTATTTGGCCGGATCGTCATCGGCTGATCTGTCTCTCTGTGTGACCAACACTTCCTGTATGCCGTACGGCTCTAGTCGTCCCTTCCATTGGACATTAATAACAAATATCACTTCATGTCCGGCGTCCAGCAATACCTGTGCAATACCTATGGCTGCGTTTACGTGTCCGACGGCATCGATAGGTACGAACAGCACACGAAGCTTATGAGACATATTTAGTATTATTATTGCTTTTATTTAATTAAATAGTTTATATGAAAATTTTAATTTTTTTAAATATAATTATAAAATGATAGACACTAAATAACTATATGTGGTTAATGTAATTAACAATTAAATATTTATACTTTATTATAGTATATGATTTTTATCTTACAGTTAAACTATAAAAATTTATTATGTTATCAATGATACCAATACTTGTGAGTGTATTTTAAGTTCAAAATAAGATTATATTATTTATATATTAAATATAATAACTATCAAACATATGATAATATACACACATTTACAAAATCAAGTGTTCTTTTTGCGTGATTTTATCTCAATAATGATAAATATCATGAAATTTGACTAAAAACTATAAAAAAAAACTCCCTAAATATTTACCTTAAAATTTTCATAAAATTATAATAAAAAGAAAATTATGTAAAAAATTATAATTTATTAAATATTACATTAAAAAAAATCGCTTAACAATCACTAACTTATGTGTCCATCAATTCAACACACAAGTGGATTCCATTCAATATGGCATTGATTCCAATAAATTAAGATTTGATGATCAATGGTGTCAACAAAAATGTTAAGCTGATGGACACATTTGTTTTTAATGTTAAAGTTTTCATATAATTTTAAATATTTATTATGTTATCAATGATACCAATACTTGTTAGTGTATTTTAAGTTCAAAATATGATTATATTATTTATATATTAAATATAATAGCTATCAAACATATGATTATATGATATACACACATTTACAAAATCAAATAGTAGTACTGTTTGCGGACTTATATAATATTTCAATAAAGATAAATATCATGAAATTTGACTAAAATACAGAAAAACGCACTAAAAATATTTACCTAAAAAATTTTCAAAAAATGATAATAAAAAGATAATTATGTAAAAACTTATAATTTATTAAATATTACATTAAATAAAAATGGCTTAACAATCACTAACAATGGTGTCAACTAAAATGTTAAGCTGATGGACAAATTTGTTTTTTAAAGTTAAAGTTTTCATATATATTATTAAAAAATTACTAATTATAATTTAATGGAAATTTTATAGCAAATTTCGGGGGAGTTTCTCTATATTTTAGCTAAATATTTAATGCTATTTAGTAATACCATTATTGATATATAGTCCGCAAACAGTACTACTACTCGATTTTGTAAATGTGTGTATATTATTATATGTTTGATAGTTATTATATTTAATATATAAATAATATAATCATATTTTGCACTTAAAATACAATAATGATAATTTGGAAATATTAAAAGATACAGGATTATTATTTTACTGTATAGTAAACTTAAATTTTATTTGTAAATTAAAAAAAAACATATAGTTGTAAAATTTATTATTATCATATGTTATAATTATAATTTTATTAATAACATAATGATAATAATAAATCATATGATGAGACATGTGTTGCCTGAATAAGTCAATTGACTTATTGACGGACAGTTCAATATTAACCGGACTATCGGTAAGACATAAACAGTAATAAAAATCTTAATCTTTAACACCAATTGATTGATGAGTTTTATACAAATATTTACACAGAAATTAAATAATTATAAAAAAAAAATTATACTTATCTAATCATTAATAAATCTATAATTTCACTATAATTTGTAATAACTTTTATTTATTTAGAAAATACAAGTATTAATAATATTAAGTTAATTATTAAAGTATTAAAAGCTGAAGTTTTCAATTTTTTAACAAATAAGTTGAACATAAAATCTATTAATATTTAATTTTATTCTAAATATAAATAATTTTTTTAATAAAATAGTTATTGTATTTTAAAATTTTCTAAATTATAATTATTGTTTTCGACAATGTTTTTAATAATTTCTGGTAATTTTGCTAAACTATTATCTGATTGAATTCGTTGTGCAATTTGTTTTAGTTTATCAATCAATTTGTTGTCATTCAACAGTGTGTCGATTGCCGACAATAACTCATTTTCCGTACAGTTATATGTGTCCAGTCGTATACCATAACCCAACTCATGAACTCTCTGTGCGTTATCATTTTGGTCACCAAATAATGGCATAACTATTTGAGGTTTACCAAAATAAAAAGTTTCAGCTATACTATTGTTTCCTCCATGAGTTATAACCAAATCAACAATAGGTAACACTTGTAGTTGAGGTACACTCTGTTGTCCCCACATATTATCAGGTAAGTCATACTCAGTATGTTTGGGTCCTTTTGCTACAATAAATCTGTGCTCAGATTTGGCCAAAATAGCAGTCAATCGTTTCATGAGTTGGACATCTGCTGCGCCCATAGATCCCAATGAAAAATATATAAGTTTTCCCGGTTTGTCCCGCAATTGTTGCGGTATTTCAAATTTGATTGATTTTTCGTTACGCTTAAGATTATCAAATCTTAGCCAATTTGATGGCAATGGTCTCATATCGAGATAGTCTAACTCCAGTGGAAAACCATATATATTGAGATTAGGCGATTCGTGCCAAAACATGTCACCAGTTAGAGCCGGTAGTCCACGTGAGACCAGATATTTGCTAAAATCTTCGATTATTGGCCGTTGAGATGCAAACAGGGCTTCTCTAAAGGTTTTCCACTCGCTCTTTGATCCCGAAGCTGGCAAACCTGTAATAATAAAAAATAAATACTTTTTATTTCTACTATTTTTATCTTTTATCGGTAAATAATAAATAACTAAAATAATTAAAGTAAAAAGTGAATAATACCTGAGTTAGATGGAGGTGTGCGCTCATCTTCAAGAAAAGATAACGGATTGAAACTACAAGTCAGTATCCATGGTATGCCCGACATTACAATCGATGGTATATTAAGCACCTGATCCAGTATTATAACATTTGGCTTGAGTTTCGGTAATAATTCATCTAATATTTTGTCCAATTTTTTAGTTTCCTCAATAAATATAGGCACTAGTTTTGTCCGGGTATTTATTATCGACTCTAATGGTGTCAATCGTGTGGTGCCATTACCGCCGACAAACAGATCGGCCCAGTATTTAGCCGGATCGTCATCGGCTGATCTGTCTCTCTGTGTGACCAACACTTCCTGTATGCCGTACGGCTCTAGTCGTCCTTTCCATTGGACATTAATGGCAAACATCACTTCATGTCCGGCGTCCAGCAATACCTGTGCAATACCTATGGCTGCGTTTACGTGTCCGACGGCATCGATAGGTACGAACAGCACACGAAGCTTATGAATCATATTTAGTATTATTATAATTGAAATAATTAATATAAAAATTTATATTTTCTAATTTAGTTAAAAAAAATGATAGACATTAAATAACTATATTTATACTCTTTAATTATGACATTTTTCGGTCAAACTATTTGTTATGTAATCAGTGACACCAATACTTGTGCTAAATATAATAATCTATGTAAGACATCATATAAAACATATAAATATATATATATATATATATGTATCATGTGTTATGTTTTATATTAAAGAGTGATTTGATAATACAATCATAATTACTAGTTTTCTATTATAATGATATTTTGTGAACATTTAATGATCTGTTTATTATTATTACTTTATAGTTATTTTATTTGTAAATATAAAAAATTCCATAAAGTTTCAAATTTTATTATTATTAATTTTATTTATAAATATAATAAGTATATTAAGACTATCCTAATAATCAATTATGGTTTTGTAAATAAATAAATAAATAAAATAATAATTTAAATTTTTAATCATTAAAATGCCTAATAAATTATTAATAGAAAATGTTTATATATAAAATATTTAATCAATTAAAGTAATTACATGATTTTTATGTAATCTAAATACTGTATACTTAAATTTTAATTTGTTCTCCAATTGATTATATTAATATTATATTTTTTATTACAATTAGTTATTTATTGTTTATTATACTACTTGCTTGTTAGTAAATTAAAAATAACTAAATTATTAATTTTAATCGTAGTTTATATGTTTTAATTTATAATTAATTATTTATAAGAAACAGTTTATAATTTTTAATTATTAAATGATAATTTATTTAAAAAACTTAATGTCAAATCAAGTTAATTAGAGACATTTTAATATAAGTAAGACTAATTAACATAATACCTTTATCTTATAATTTATAATAATAATACATAGTTTGATGTTATAAAAATATATGAAAATTACGTAATAAATAATATATAAAAATATATTTTTATTATCATATCTAAAAAATCAATAAAAACTATGAGAATCTTTATAAATTCAATTGATATTCTGTATAAAAAATTCATTAATATTATGACATACATTAATAATGATTGTTTAATAAATTTAATGTTAATAAAATATTTAGATTAATATTTAGATTTGTAACGTCTTAATTATTATTTTTAATTATTTATATAAATTAAATTTTAGATATATTTTTATAATAAAAAATGCTGAACATTATGTATAAAAAGTTTTCTAATAGATTTGATGATAAATATTATGATATTAGACAACTACTAGAAAAATATGAGTATTTAACTAATGTTTATTTAATATTTATGTCAAATTCATTGGACGATTATTTAAAAAATAGACGAAATATTTATAAATATATCAAAGTAATCATAATTGATTTATTATTATTAATCAATTCAATTAAATATGCAATCATTGCATTTGTTAATGAGGTAAATTATTTATTTTGATTGATATTTATAAAAATATAATATAATTTTTAAAAATTAATAAATAGCTATGGATTAGTGATCTATTGGGTGATCCCACTTACGAGTTAACTAATCCATCATTGATTGCATCGTTAATCACTATATTTTCGTTTTCCGTTTATTATATACGAAGTGTATGTCATTATCACGAGTGGAAACATAGACTGTATTTTATTCAATATCTCTATGATATCAAATACAGTCGATTCAAATATTTAAACAAAAATTTTATCCAAAAATTTAGTTTCAAAGCTAATGTAATTATTGATTATATTATTAGACCATTAATTCAATTGACATCAACGATAACTTTTGTATTTTTGGTTTATGCATATAAACTGGCAATTATTGATGATTGCGAGTCAAACATATCTATAGTCAACACCATAATAGCTATACTAATATTTGTTGTGTTTATCATTGAAGCCTATAGTCTACTTTTTATAGGATTTTCAATTTGGGCCGCATTTATGATAATTGGTAAATATAAATATCGGAAATTAAATAACCGTTTGTCAGAAATGATAAATTTAAGGGATGTTAACAAATGTAAAATACAGATTAGAGTGATAGCCAAATTAAACGAGCATGATAAAATATGTAAAATTGTTAATGATTTTAACAAATTTTTAAAATATATAATGTTTGCCATATATTTTATTATAACGCCCGGCATATTAGTATCAATTTATGTATCATTTCATGAGGAGTCAAGATTTTTGACAAAATTATATATGATTTTTATTTTAGTAATATGTCTATCGCTAATAATTATTGCCACAACTTTTACCTCATGGATCAGCAAAGAGGCTCATAGACCGCGTAAAGTATTACTTAAATATATGGCCCGTAGTGTGACATTACCCGTATCGGTACGCCTACAGGTACTTATGTATATCGAGCGACTCGCGGGTCCCGAAATCGGTATCTATTGTTTGAATTTATTTCCAATGACTAGTTGGGAATTATTTCAATATTTTTATATATCGGGACTAAACTTTATTTTAATAATGAAATCATATTAGTATTATAAATAGTATACTGTACTGTATTTGTAGCATTTTAATTATACTGTTTATTATTTAAATTTTAAAATAAATTGATAGTTATTGAATAACTAAATAAATATTTATATATTGATATAATGAAACTATTGTATACAATTTAGTTATGAATAATTTTTTTTATATGTGACACCAATATTTAAATGTTTATGTTATGAATTATAGTTATTTTTATTTTATTTTTATTTTTATTTGACAGATTTTATATGTCAAAATAAGTTAAGTTAAAAATAATTTTATTAAACTTAAACTAATTATTAGAATATTTTGATCCATAAATTTCTATTTTAAAAATAATACAAATCTAATTAGAGTACACGCAAAATACATATTAATGTTAGATTAAAATAATTTGTTATTATTTTGATTGAAAAATCAATAGAAATTGTGAAACTTTAATAATTTATTCATATATTTATTTGATATTTTTTGGTACTTAATTTTTTTTATTTCAATACATTTCATTTACTAAATGTTTATTAAAAATGCACTGCTTTATTTAAATACAATATATATAATATAGACAGATATTTTTATTTGTTTTTTTAGTAATAGTAAAAATGTTGTAGAAACATATTTCTACATAAAATTAATTATTTAAATGTTTATCAAAATTCAATATTTTTAATATGAATTTAAAAATATATTTTGTTTATTGATATCTAATATTAATTGTTAATGATTTCCTGTAAATGATTTCATATAATATGTATTTTTAGATTAATTACATTTCTAGAAATATCTAATAGTTTTTACTAACTTATATAAACTGTAACTTTAATTTAATTATTATCATTGTGTTGTCTGTAATAATGTGATCACTTGTCCCATAAGTTTTTAAATAAATGTTTTTTAACTTTAAATTTTATATTAATTTTTTATCCCTTCAATGTATAAATGATTTTATGTTAAACTTTAATGTATGATTTATTTTTTTTAATAATACAAATTTTAGAAAAATATTAATAACTATGTATAATAAGTTGATTAGTAGATTTGATGATAAATATTATGATATTAGACTACTAATAGAAAAATATGAAATGTTAGCTAATTTCTATTTATTGTCTATATCAAATACATTGGATGATTATTTAATAAATAAATTAAATATTTATAAATTTATTTGTGTAATCATAATTGATTCAATGTTATTAATCAATTCAATCAAATATGCAATTATTATATTCATCAAAAAGGTATGTGTTATTAATTATCTTTTTGTTGTTATTATTAAAATCTAATTAAATAAAATATCAATATATATCTATACAAGCAATGGATTAGTGATCTATTGGGTGATCCAACCTATGTGTTGACTAACCCATCATTGGCTGCAATACTGATCACCAGCTTTTCATTTGCCACTTATTTTATACGAAGTGTTATACACTATCAGGAGTGGACCCGATGTTTGTATTTTGCACAATATGTCTATCATATTAAATACAATCGTTTCAAATATCTTATAAAAAACAAACAAATGATTAAAAATTTTGTTTTCAAAGCAAATATAATTATCGATTATATTATACGACCGTTAATTTATTTAACATCGACAATAACTATTGTTTTTATGTTATATGGCTATAAATTGGCAATTATTGATAATAATGAGTCAAACATGTCTATTATCATTATGTTTATAGCAATTGTTAATAATGTTTTGAGTATTATTGAAATATTTAGTCTACTATTTATTGGTTTTTCCATTTGGGCCGCTTTGATGGTAAGCGGTAAATATAAGTATCGGGAATTATTTAACCGTATATCGGAAACTATTAATCCACATGTTTGTAATGGATGGCGTAAACAAAATTCAATTAAATGGAAACAAATTAATTATTTCAATCTAATAGCCAATCTAAATGAGCATGATAAAATTTGTAAAATTATCTACGATTTTAACTACTTATTAAAATATATAATATTTGCCATATATTATATTATAACACCCGGAATATTAGTATCACTATATACTTCATTTCATGCCGAGTCTAAATTGTTAACAAAATTATTTATGACATTCAATTTGACTATTTGTGTATCGCTTATAATTATCGAAACCTATTTAAGCTCATGGATCAGCAAAGAGGCTCATAGACCGCGCAATTTATTACTTAATTATATGGCCCGTAATGTCACACTACCCGTATCGGTACGCCTACAGGTACTTATGTATATCGAGCGACTCTCGGGTCCCGAAATCGGTATCTATTGTTTGGATTTATTTCCGATGACTAGTAGGGAATTGTTTCAATATTTTTATATATCGGGACTAAATTTTATTTTAGTTATGAATTCATATTAATGTATTACAAATAGAGTTATTTATAATAATTAATTAAATATTGTTTACACACTTGTTTAATAGATATTAAATTGCAATGTGAAAAATATTTTATTAAAAATTATAATAATAATTATATTGTACATTTTGCTTAATGTTTTTGTAAAATTCATGTAACATATTATTAATAATACTATTTTTATATAATATTAAGATTTGTTTATTAAAATATTTTAATATGGTTTTTAATTCAAAAATATCTGTTATATAATGTAAAAAATTTAAACTTTATTTTTATTTAATATTTTCAAGTTAGTTAAACATAATATATGATATACTAAAATAATATAAATATAATTTAGTTATTATTATTATTATTTACGAGATTTTCGATAATTTGTGGTAATTTTGCTAAACTGTTATCCGATTGAATACGTTTTGCAATTTGTTTCAATTTCTCAGTCAATGAATTGTCACTAACTATTGTGTCGATTGCCGACAATAACTCCCATTCCGTACAGTTATATGTATCCAATCGTTTACCATAACCTAATTCATGAACTCTCTGTGCATTATCGTACTGATCACCAAATAATGGCATAACAATCATGGGTTTACCGAAATAAAATGTTTCAGTAATAGTATTGTTTCCGCCGTGAGTTATAACCAAATCGACAATCGGTAAAACATTTATTTGCGGTACACTCTGTTGTCCCCACATATTGTCGGGTAAGTCATATTCAGTATGATTGGGTCCTTTTGCTACAATAAACCTGTGCTTACTCTTTGCCAAAATACTAGTCAATCGTTTCATGAGTTGGACATCTGCACCGCCCATAGATCCCAACGAAAAGTATATAAGTTTTCCCGGTTTGTCCCTTAATTCTACTGGTATTTCAAATTTGGATATTTTTTCGTATCTTTTGAAATTATCAAATCTTAGCCAATTTTGGGGCAATGGTCTCATATCGAGATAGTCCAACTCCAGAGGAAAGCCATATATGTTTAAATATGGCGAAAGATAGGCAGCCATATTGGTGTCCATTGATTTGACTCCTCGGGCGACAAGAAATTCATTTGCCTTATCAATCATATTTGTTTGGCTCTCAGAGACCACTTTCCTAAAGGCTTTCCAATCGTTTTTAGATTCATAAGCTGGTAATCCTTGAGATTACAAAAAAAATTATTTGAATTAAATTTTTAATAATTTTTAAAAATTTGTTGTCTATTACCAGATCCTCCAGGAGGTGTACGATCATCGTTGAGAAATGACAGCGGATTGAAACTACACGTTAGTATCCACGGTATGTCCGACAGTACTACCGACGGTAAACACATAACCTGATCCAAGATTATGACATCGGGTTTTATATTAGGTAATATGTCATCCAATGCTTTATCCAAATCAATATTTTTCTTAACAAACGACGGACCGAGTTTTGTCCGTATATTAACTAGTTTTTCCAATGGTGTCCACTGTTTGAGTCCATCACTGATAAACAGATCGGCCCAATGTTTGGCCGGATCCACATCAGCTGACCGTTCATCCTGTGCAATGAGCACCTCCTGTATGCCGTACGGCTCTAGTCGTCCCTTCCATTGGACATTAATAACAAACATCACTTCATGTCCGGCGTTCAGCAATACCTGTGCAATACCTATGGCTGCGTTTACGTGTCCGACGGCATCGATCGGTGCAAACAATACTCGCAGACTTTGTTTAGACATTTTATATATTAATTTAATTAATTAACTGTATATATGATAATTGTATTAGTTGTAATAAATAAAACTTTTTAAAAAATAACTAATATTACAAAATATCTATTTTATATATATATGCAAAGTTTGCATTGCAAACAATTTGTACTTATTAAGTGTAAAAAAAATATTGTACATTATAACTAGTTTTAGCGCACATTAAAGTTTTTATTGTATAAGCAATAATTACTGTATTTATAAATTATAATAAACTATTGATTATGACCATGATGTCTAAATGTCCCTAAATAATGTACAGTGTATTTTCAGTGCAAACAGTATTATTTACTTTATTTACATTATACTGTATAGTTTTTTTTAATCATATTATGAAAAATAATGATAAATAATATTTATATTAAAATGATTGGTTCAAATTGATAAAATATTTCGAAACTTTTTTTTACTTATCAATGCACAAACCTGTATAGTAATTACAAATAATTATAATATATTTTTAATTTTATAATTTAATTGTACTTAAAAATTGTAAAGTAATTTGCAAATCTGTTAAGTTAAGGACAAATTTAGACACCAATTATATTATCTAAAAAAATATGTTATAATCACAGATGATTTAAAGTATTTATTAATGTTTTGTTATAATGTTAGAGATAGTTATAAAATTAACTATTATTTCAAATATTATTTTAAGACAGGTTATTATTTGTCACATATTAAATCATTTATTGATTAGTAATATCAATACTAAATATTACAAAATTTTAGATTTTTAACTATAATATTAATAGTATCTTAAATTAACTTGAAATTCATCAATTAATAATATTGTACGTGTAAAAAATACATTAATAAATTTATTATTATCAATGATTTTTCTGTTAATAGTTATTTTTATAATTTTGGTTTTAAGTATTATAAGTTAAATATTTAATAAATTATTCTTATTTAAAAACTATTTACAATATATGATAATGACATTAATAATTATATTTACTTATATATAGTTGATTTTTAAGAATATTCAATCTATCTTGATAATATAACAGACAAAATAAATAATGATAATTATAAAAATTAAAGAATATTTATAAATTATTAAATAGTTAAAACTAATTATTACAGTATTATTATAATAGTTTATAAAGTTATAATCAATCACTAATTAAATATTTTCTTAATATTTCTTTCATAGATATTAGCAATATAATTAAAAATACAGTATATGTAATTTATCAATTAAAAAAAATATGATAAAATAGCATTTAGCAATTATGCATTAATTAATTATAGTTTCAAAATATTTTTCTAATAAAAAACATTTAAATAAGTCATAATAATAAATACAATTATATTTAACATATAAGCTATTATTATAGAGAAAATTTATTTAAGTAAGTAGTAGTAGTGCTAATTATATTTTTTTAATTTAATTACACCTAGGGCATTTACAATTGACTAATATATCAGCCGAAATAGCTCAGTTGGGAGAGCGTTAGACTGAAGATCTAAAGGTCCCTGGTTCGATCCCGGGTTTCGGCGCACATTTTTTTAGGTTTTTTTGTTAAACATATTTTTAAAAAAAAATAATTTTATTAAATAAAATCTTAAGTAATTTTACAGATATTTTTAATTTAAACCAAATTCTTAAATAAATATACCATTTGGTTATATATATATATATATATATATTACATTATTCTACTGTATTTATAATGCTATCTAAAAAAATACCATGTACACTGTAACTGTATTTTAAAACAAAAAATTTATTTTACAAAATAGTTACTTGATAAATTATTGGATGGCGCTATAGATACAGATATTAAATAATAAAATATTTATTTACTGTTTGTCAGCGATTTAAGTCTCAGTTACGCTGTTTTTAACATGTTTTCTGTAGTGATAAACATTTTGTATATTTAATAATAATATTATAACAACAATAATAATAATACAATAATAATTATTATTATTATTTAATACACCATTTGTTTTTTTGCAGATAATAATAGTTTATTATTAATCACAAACTGTTTATTAATTTTTTGAATTTATTAATTATAAGTCAACGAAATCATATGCATAACTATATCAATATAATAATTGTGTAATTAATTTGTTATTACATAATGTAAGTACTAATGTTATACTAATTATTTATGCTAGCTAATTATTTTATTGTTAACTAATGTATGGATATGTTATATGAATATATAATAATCTAATTTAAAAAATATATATTTATAAATTACTAAATTATTTATTTAGTCAACTTTTTATTGTTATAATAGATTAGTAATTAATTTTAATTGTTTTTTTAATTTGCAGATTTGACAGTTTGGTGTCTATTATATATATGATATGATATTAACAAAAACACAAACAATTGGATGATTACAAACACATCTGTAATAATACAATAATAACAACATTGTTAAGTAATAAATTAGGTAAAATTATTTAATTAAATTTGTACCATGGTAAATGATGTTTTTATGCTTAATTGCTCATTTATCATATATTAACATATCGATATATATATATATATGATATATAATATTTGGTCAATTAATATATGATAATGTAATTTACTTATATTAATGATATTTTATTTATATATACTTTATGTATAATTATTAAGTTGATAGCAATTACTAGGTTTATGATTAGTAGCTATTAATTAAATTATTTTTATACAAAAGATAGCAGTTTTTTTTAAATTGACTTATTTATAAAAAAATGTTAATAATATATTACATTATCAAAATTAATGTTTATTTTAAGAAATTTTTTTCTAATATATAATTTAACAAATCTATTACTAATTTTTTTGTTTTGTTTTTTCCCAATTAGCTTAAAGTTGACTGAAGTCTACTACAAATAAACAGATTATTTATATATTTATACAGTATATTGTAATAAATAAATTACACAATAATTTATATTTAGTATTTTTACCGATATATCTATTAAATATATATATATATATAATTTAAAAAAAATATTATCGCAATCGGAAACTATGGACGCATTACAAGCCATGAATGAGGCGCCACTTAAGGCCGTATTTTTGGGACATTTTATGTTAATTAGTTGGTATGTCTTTCACATTAGATTTGATTTTTAATTTATTATTAATTATTAATTTATGATTTGACAACAAAACTTGATATTTTATTTATAATATTATGATTTTATTATTAAAACAAATATGTTGTTTAAAATATTTTGTTACACTATTTCAATATTTGACTTATTCATTGACTGATTAGAGCTATGATTAGTTATTTACAGTATTATTGTAATAATGTAGACATTAGATAATATACAGTATATTTATATACACAAAAAAACAAATTTAATTTAAGCGATAAAATTAATGCATTTGTTGTGTTTAAATATTGATTACTAGATATTATTTAGATATTAATTAAATAAATATTTTAATTGAACTTTTAATTAATTAGTAAAATTAGTTTAAAAAAAATTAATTAGCATGTTAACTATTAGAGTAATAATAATAATGATAAATGGGAAAATAATTTAATTAACAAATCAGGTTAAACAAAACATTGAACTAGCTAATTAATATAAATTAATAATTTTAATGTATTATATTTAAAAACATTTATATTTCACAACATTCAATAAAAAAAATTATGCTAAATAAAAGTAATATAAATAATTTTAAAATAAAAACTTCGAATACTAAATAATTTTTTTCATCTGGAAATACATAATTATATATATATATTAGAAATAATGTTATTTTACTAATTAATTATTATATCTCTATGTATGGAACAGGTGTCTTGTGGGCAGTTGGCTACCGAATTCATTTCTGTTTTACAACACGTTTTTTATGATATGCCTGCTGTGGTCAATGCACGCGCGTGATAATCACGAGCCGCTACTATTGGCCATTTTGATTAATATATTGTCTATTGTTATCGATGCCATCTCTATCGGTATCTACTACGAGCCCAACCATGCACCGTGGTTTGGCTTTAGTCTATTGTGAGCACATACATACATACAATACCAACCCCTAATCATCAATATATTTTATTTTAATATTAAGCTAACTTTTTATTATCTACCCATTTGTTATCTACACAGTATGGCCATAACTAATCTATTATTACGACCGATCACATCACTGGTTATGTTGCGCGTGTTTAACGAGCGTAGTGGCCGATACTCGACGTTTGGCTTTCCCGGTTTGGGTAGTGTTAATCCCAGTGCCGCCAATGCCGGCAGCGGTGTGTTTGGAAGCACTGGTGGTATCGGTGGCGGCGGACCCGGTCGGGGATCATACGAAAATATTGATGGCCAAAATCGTGTGCCCCACCAATCTGTGCCGAGTCCTATACATGATGTGGAGGCTAATAATCAATATAAGTGAACCACTTTATGTAGCACCAGGGTTCATTAATATATAGAATTTATTATTAATTAATCTCTATAACCACAACCACTACCCCATATGGTTAACCCACTCTTTAATAAATTAAATTAAGAGAGTGTTTGAAACTTTATGTACGAAAAAATAAGTGATCTTCCAATTGATGCTTAAAACTAAAATAATTTTATTTAAATACTATTTTGTAAATTATATTTTTATTATATTAATTAACTATATTATTATTATTACTTTATTGTATGATTATTATGAATAATACAACATTTTAGTATATATTTCTATATTATAACATTATTAAATAATATATATATCTGATATTAAACAATAACCTAAAATTGCATATTTGAAATTTTACAACATTTTTAATTCTGAGCACTTTATACAAATATATTTTTTTCTATAATTGTTTAATTAATATTATTAGTTTAACCATATATGTTTTAAATTTTATTTTCAATTACAAAATAATATAAAAGTTCTAGTCTATATAACATTTAATGTTCAAAAATATACTTGATGCCAATAAATATTGTATTATACTTATTAAAGTCTAAAAAATACTAACTTATATAATTTTCAATAAAGATTTTAAAATAATTTATTGATAATTTCTATTTTGTAAAACATACAATTATATTTGTTTATTGATTATTTTTAAAAAATATATATTTTTAAAAAATTTATTAGAATAAACTAATGATATTTAGAAAATGTTTGTTAAGTTCTAATAATTATAAAAAAATATTATATAATGATATAAATTAAAAATAATTTTAGATACTCATAATATTTCATTAATTAAATTAAAAGTAAAATTTTAATAAATTATATAAATAAAATTATTTAAAAAAATAATTTTTTAAATAAAATTTTGATACGTGTATCATAATAATTTTAGTAAATATGCTATTATTTAGTATGATTAAACCGTAAATTTTTAGCTTTAAATTTTATGATTTTTATATTAATAATAAGCATTATTGTTTTTACTACTCAACATGTTTATTATTTGAGATTAATTAATTAATAAATCGCAAATATTTTTGTAAATTGATGATTCATTTATTAATTAACTTATACCAGTAAACTACCAGGCTTAATTTAAAATAATCAATTAAATTTTATCGTTAATAAGACCTTATTTTTATTTGATTTTTGGGACAATTTTAATTATTGTTTAATAAGTTAATCATTATTAATAAAATGATAAACTATAAATTTATATTATTTAACATTATTGCACAGTACATTTTGTATTATTATAGATTTATTAGTTATTGATATTATTTTAGCAATTATTACAAACAATGCAGGCAATTTTAGTACAGTGATTATACAGTATATATACATATTTTATATACCTTTTAAATTATGTATTTTGCAAATAAAAATATGTAAATATTTTAACTTAAAAATCTAAAAATCTACAATAAAAAATTTAGAATTTATTATGAAAATTTTATATAATTATATAACTAAGTTGAACAATATTAAATTTTTAAAATATATATTTAATTTAATTTAAAGTTTACTGTATAATAATATGCAACTATGTGTGTGTTAATAAGTTTTACTTATTTTTTTATCATATCTATACTATAAATTGTATTTATTGTATTAATAATTAATCAATTATTTTATGACTAATACAGTAATAATAATAATATACTGTATATACAGTATATATAAAGTACTTTACTTTAAAATAGTCTTAAAAATTGTAACTTTATATAAATACATTTAGTAGTATAAAAAAATAATTATTATAAGTTATAAAAACGGAGATTTAATTAATCTCAATATCATTTTTTTACAGTATATCATATACAGTAGTTTTTTTTAAAAATTTTGTTTATATTAAATATTATTAATAACAACAACAATAAAATAGAAAAAAATGTACAAGTTTCTAATTATTGTTTTAGTATGTTTATTTTATTTTATTACAAATGTTCAATGCAAAGATGAACTAAACTTATCGCCAAAATGTAAACTAGTATATGACCATGCTAAAAAATCGTGTTTCGATTGGTCAAAATTAGCATGGAACATTAACAATGTACATAACGATGTTCGACATTATTGTTGCGCTCATTGGGACTGGGTCGATTGTATTATTAATATAGCCGGGGTAATTTTTTGTTTATTGATTTACTGTATATAAATATTAACAATATTTTTAGAGTTTTTGTTTTAAAAAAATATATTTATTAATTAACTTATAATTATTATTAATTTAATTTAATTATTAATTTATCATATTTTTATATAGAATTCAACGTTAAATTGTACTGAAACTGAAAATACGGGCATAAAAATGGATCTATTTTTTAATGATATTATACCTAATTGTTATTACTATCCGTTTAAATCGTGTGATTGTCGTCAAACACCCGATTGTGATAAAAGTCATGGAGGAGGTGGTAGTCAAACAAGTTATTTGAATTACGTTTTGTACATGCTAGTTGGCTATGTACTCATTGATTATGGCTCAAAATATGTGTAATTTATATATATATATAAATACCGCATTGTATAGAATAAAATTACACAAATGTAAAAATTTAATTGTATATATTTATAAAGTTTTTATTAACGTAATAACCAAATATAAATAATATTGATAATATTAAATAATTTATTTGTATTTAATAAAAATTATAATATTAAAATATTCATTTGACTATTTTTTATGTTCTTACTATAATATTCTATTAAAATATTATTTATGAATATAATAAAAATAATAATTTAATATTACTTTTTTCATAATGTTAGATAAATTGAAATAATTTTTACTTTATAGTTAATTTAAAGTAAAATTTATTTAAATTTATCTAACATTATAAATAAAGTAATATTAAATAATTATTGTGTTTTATTAATAATATAAATCATTTTACTGTATATATATTATTGTAAATTATTTTTAAAAAATATTATTCTAAATGACATTAATTTTATATAAATAAATACTACAATTTTAAATTAAAATATTGATATACTGTAGTACATAATACAAACTAATAAATGTTTTTGTTAAAATAAAATGCAAACATATTTTCTCTTTGTTTTTTAGAAGTAATGTTAGTTTTATTATGATTTTGTAATAATTTATGAAAAATTTGTCAAAATATGTAATATTTTTTTTAAAAAAATTATAATTTAAAAGCTCAATATTTAGAAAACAGAGAGAGAGAGAGAGAGAGAGAGAGAGAGAGAGAGAGAGAGAGAGAGAGAGAGAGAGAGAGAGAGAGAGAGAGAGAGAGAGAGAGAGAGAGAGAGAGAGAGAATTACTTTTTGTTTTAGCAATACTTTAGTTAACTAAAAACAATTATTAATTAATTTTAGTTATTTATCAATTATAGTGCATTTGATAAAATTTTAAGGTTAAAATTTTTATCATGCTTAATTTACAATAAATTATTCTTTTAGTCGCGTAAATAGTTTATCAATTAAACTAAATATTATGATTAATTAAAAAAATAAATACTCTTGTACATTTTAGATTTAATACAATAGTTATTATTGATTAGAAATAATCAGTAAGTTAATGACTATGACTAATACAATTTTTTCGTTTACTTAAAAACTTAGAAATCGCATTATTGTTTATACTATAAATTGAAAAGCCATTTATTTATAACACATAATTTTAACGCTGGTAGTCATCGATTAAAGTTATTATAAAATAATAATAATAATAATTTACTTTTTAATTTTTTATTACAATAGTTACAAAATTTTATATTGCAATATTAACTATTAAAAAATGTATACAATAATCACATCACTAATAATAGTAGTAGTATTTTGTTTAAGTAATTTTAATTGTGTTCATAGTAATTTAATACACGGTAAATTACTATTTTTTAAATTAATTAAATTTTTAAAATAATAACTTGATAATTTTATTTTATATTCTAGAAAATACAAATAAAACCGATCTGTCACCAAAATGTAGACAATCATTTGATGATGCTACAAGTCAATGTTTTGATTTTGCCCAATCATCATGGAACATTACTATTGGACACAATGAACCACTAAATTATTGTTGTTCCCATTGGGACTGGGTCAATTGTACAGTCTATAATGTTCAAGTATGTTAATTAGTAATAATTATATTTTTGAAATATATATACTATATATATACTGCATATAATTGATAATTGGTTATTTTTGGTAATATAAAATAATTATTTATTGTTATTGTTTTATAAACTTAATTAAATTACAATAGAAATCACATAGCTGCAATGATGATGAATTTGTACAAGTAAATAAATTAGCAGATAATGGTACTGCTCAAGGTTTTATCAAACCGTGTTGGGATTATCCTAAAAACTCTTGTAGCTGTCATAATGTAACCAATTGTAACCCAAATACCGGTGACGGTTGTGGACAGTTAAACGGCAATTATTTATTGGCCATATTTGCATTGATTGGTTATACATTGTTTAGTAATGTTTACTAAAATCTATAGTTTACTAAATTTATAATATGTTAAGTTTTTATGTAATTATATACTGTATTATTTTATAATTTATATTAAATCAAGTTGTAAATAAACTAGTGATGTACATATGTTAGTTTAATTTATAAATAAATTAGTTAAAATTAAAAACATTTTGCTATAAATTTATTGATAATTATAAATAAAATGTATGTAAATTTAGTATTATACTAAAATTTTCGGTTATATTACAAATATCATAAAGTGTATTATGAGAAGTAGTTTCAGTATAGTTTTAAACTATTTATACATTACTTTAGATTAAAATGAATGTTTTAATAGTTTATTAATTAATCACTTTTTTAATTTTTTTAATTTTAATACTATTAGTTATTTACAACTATTAAATAATATTATAATAATTTTAGTAGTAATAAGCTAATAGTTTAATTTATGATTATATATAAATTATATTATAAAGAGACCATGACAACACATCTAATATAATCTAATATACTGTAATATTATAACTTTGCATTTATCTTTTAATATATAGTTATATATTATTACCGGTAATGTACTACCTGTACAACTATTAATAATAATACTAATAATAAAAAACATGAATAACAATTGTGTGGTATAACTGATAACAAGAAACCAAACAGAAAAAAATTATATAAAATATTATTAATAATCCTAAGTGTTATAATAATAATAATAATAAAAACAATGTAACGAATATTTTGTTGGCCATAAAAAGTGCAACTTTTCTAATATGATATAAAAACTAAACAGTAGAAAGTTATTAATATTATTAAAAAAAGTACATTACTATTAATAATCACAAAATTATTAAACATTAATAATATTCAGTAGTAATAATATTTTCATAATAAACATATTTTTTCCGAAACAAATCTAATTTATTACTGTTATATTTATTTGCGCACATTGTGTAAAAAACTTTACCACGTTGATAATAATAATAATAATATAAATAAATATTGTTATAATGATGATTATGCTTAATTATCTAACATATTGTTTAGTTTGTTTAACATGTATTTTGAGTACTCTATACTTAACTAGTGTACAGGGTGGTCTAATTAGTGACTGGGTAATGCCCGGTCCACCGATTGGACGCGATTGTGACCAACAATACGATTATGCATCGCTTGAATGCGACCAAAAACATGGTCAACAATGGCGCCGACGGTTAACTGCCGATGAACTACGAGATCCGTTGAACAGTAAACGTGTGTTTTGTTGTCTCAAATGGGATGTCTCTGACTGTATGGACGAGTATATAAAAGTAAGCATTTATTTAATAAAAATTTTTAATAAAATTAATAAAATTACTTAATTAATATCATATAATAAAAATATAATGAGATTTCATGGCCAATCTAGTTAATTAAATAATAATTTTGATATAATTAGTAATAAGTAAATTACAGTTTTTTATATTATGTGGTGTATATTCTGTAAAATAAATTAAGAAAAATACTGTAATTACTTTTTTTTATTTACATAAATATTAATAAATGTTATATTATATAACATATACAGACTTTTATTAAAATATCTGGTATTTTTTTATTAAAATTAATTATCTTTTATTAATTAATTATTTATTTGCAGAACCATTGCAATGATGAAGATTATCAAACAATTCATGAAATGTTTCAAAAACGAGAAAATTATTTATCAAACGGAAATTGTAGTGAATTTGTTTATAAATCGCCAAAATGTCGTGAATTTCCCGAAACCGAACCGCAAAAATTTGGAAATCAATCTAATCTGGCAATTGCTATAAAAATTAATAATTTATTTATTATTCTAATAATAACAATAATTTTATTATTTAACTACATTTTTTAATTAATAAATGTTAAAATATGTATAATTAATTATTTTATTTTTAATTGAAAATAAAAAATATCAAAATTTTATATACAGTATATTTAAACAAAAATTTTTATAAACATTTAGTAATTATCTATTAATAGTTGCTTATAAAATGTAATCTAAATGCAAAGTAAATTTTTATTGTTATTTAAATTGAATTTACTATTGAAAAATATTGTGTAAAATTATATTTATAATAAATATATTTTTACTTAATAAATATTTATCATTTATATTATATACTCATAATAATGAGATAATAATAAAAATAATATATATTTTTCTGTCTATTTTTACAATAAAAATCCATTTAATAAATACATTTAATATGAGTTTTAGTAAGAAATTCTATATCACTTATAGACTTATTTAGTCAATATTTATTTAAGACGTTATAATCGGAAAGTTTTGTGTATTTTATATGTGTTTATGTTTTGTTGAATATTAATATAAATGAAAATGTAATCTAAATATTCAGTTTGTATGTATGTATGTATGTATGTATGTATGTATGTATGTATGTATGTATGTATGTATGTATGTATGTATGTATGTATGTATGTATGTATGTATGTATGTATGTATGTATGTATGTATGTATGTATGTATGTGTGTGTGTATGTATGTGTGTGTGTATGTTTGTGTGTGTGTGTATGTGTGTGTGTGTGTGTGTGTGTGTGTGTGTGTGTGTGTGTATGTGTGTGTGTGTGTGTGTGACAAACACAGTCATAAAATGTATTGGCATTCCTGTTTTTGGCATTATTAGATTAAAACTTGCGCTAATAAACGTAACAGTGCTATTAATGCTCAATGCTATAAAACTGTATAATACAAGTAAACTGTTTATTATATTGAAAATTTTGTATATACTGTAAATATATAGTATATGTTAGGAGACAAACCCATATTTTTGATGAATAAATACCATTTAGTTGCAAACTTATTGACTGAACGTATGCTTAAATATTTTCAAGAATATTCTGTGTTTATTAAAGCATAAAGTTTGTTGAAATATTTTAATATATAATATTAATTTGTATTTTTGTTTATTTTATATATATCTAGACGTGTTTATTGGCTGTGTTTGCCTTAATAATTAAAACTAAAATGTTAATTTAAATGTCAATATATTATTAAAGTTTGTTAATATATTATACAATAGAAAAATTACTGATAAAAAGTAAAAGTGAAGTATCTTCAAAAAAACATATAAATATAAAGTCAATATAATTTTTAATAAATAGATTAACAAAATTTATTATAATATTAAGTTAGTAAATATATATAAATTATTATTTATATATTATATTTATATCCTAACCACACTTAATAATTTGTATTTATAGTAATCCTGTAAAAGCTAAAAAGCTATTGTGATTAATGTATAATAAATATTTTATTAATTTATTAGTTTTGTAAGCTATATAATGTTTAATTAAGGTCAAATATTTATAAATTATAATAATATAATAATAATATAGATTATTTAAATATACTATAATTTAGTTTTCATATCAATTTTGGAAACTTAATAAAATAATAATAATACTAATAAAAAGTTAATTTGCCAAAATATTATGTCAATAAAATTATATTTAGTATTGTTTATTAATTTGAAATTAGTATACTCATCAATTAATAATAATAACGATAATACTTATGATTTAATAAATTATATTGATAATTATATATCAATTGAGTGCTACAATAAAATTAATTATACAGCAGAAACATGTAAACTAATTATAAATTCTGATAATTTAACAAAATACTTAAATCTAACACAAAATACATATAATATATCATCAAATTGTTGTCATAATTTAGCATATGTTAAATGTTTATCATCTCATATAAATGTAAGTACATGTAGTTGAAAATATATTATTTAACTGTACTAACTTTATAATGGTTATAATTAATAATTTAAACAGCATTCAATTAATTTTTAAAAAATTAATGTTTTGTTTTTATATTATCAATTATAATAAAAGAAAACAAAAATAAAATAATAATTTATAAATATTTTATATATATATAAATGTATATAAAATTTAGACTAAAAATATTAATATTATAAATAAATATTAAATTATTCTTTTGGTTAGATTTATATATATATAAATATTAGCATACATTTTATGTCAAAATTAATATACTATATATTTAAATCTAAATTATATCAATTTATTACAGATATGTAATCAAAGTGATGTTGATAATTTAGATAAAGTATCAGTGAACATTCAACAAAATTGTCAACTAGATTGTCATAATTTTCTAGCAGCACACGATTTTCATATAAAAAATCATAATATAAATGTTAATAATTTTAATTTCAATGACTCGGAAATATGTATTAGTAAACTAAAACAACAATCGGATATTTGTGGCCAACAATCGGCACTGGAGTCGGGTTTCAATAAAAAAGATCTTGCTAAATCATCAAATAAAGTTCATTGTTGTCTTACATGGAGATCCATGGACTGTGTTGTCCAATTTGTCAAGGTACATTTATAAAAATAAAATTAAAAAATTAATTAATATTGTTTGTATTTATTTAATTTTAACAAAAATATAGAAATGTAAAACATAATTTATATTTAAAATATCAAATTAAATTAGTGATTAAAATTGCCGGTAATTTTATTTTAACAAAAATATTTAAAAAAAATTTGTTTCCTGAACGACAAGTATAGTAACAACAAAATATAAAGAAAATTGTAATTTTTTCTGAATAATTTGTTATAATTAATATTAAATAAATAATATAATATTAACTGTTTTTAAAATTAACATTACAATAGTAATAGAAAAATATATTACTTTTTATTTATTTATTTTTTGTATATTTTTAGGAAAATTGTTCGCCAATTGAATATCAATGGACTCGTCATGTATTTGAAGAGCAGATACACGAATTGAATCGCGAAAAATGTGTTAAATATATGTATGATTCATATTATTGTAGCGGATGTCCGTTGAAAATAATATTTTATCAAATATTTATTAATACTTTAGTTATTGTTATTACAAATATTTTATATAATAGTATTTATTTGCCTAATTAGGTAAGAATTATTTTTTAAAATTATAATTAATTATGATTTATGCTATGCATGGTTTGGATCTCAAAATTAAAACTAATCTACAAATATTTAATATAAAGCTATTTAATATTATAAATTAATAATTGAAATAAAATTGATACTAAGTGTTTTTTACATAAATAAAAGTTTTTATTTTAAAATTCAACTTATTTATTAATTAAAAATAAATAAAAATAACTAAATACTCTTAATTGTTTTATTATATCACTTGAAAATAGCGGTAATATTTTATATTATTTTATTATACTGTATTCATATGTACATTAATAACGTTTTAAAAGTAATAATTTAGTTTTTTTATATTAAAACTTTTATGTTAATTGTTTATTATGTTTATTATACCTGTACGTTGATATTGCAATACAGGTATGCAATAAAAACAGGTATTACTACTATCAATAATACTGTATTAATCGCTTAAAAATAAATAAAAATAACTAACGCCTACAAAATATTTGATAATAATAATAAATACTATTAATAATAACAATTATTAGTTCTTCTAGTTTAATTAATTAAAAATAATAATAACAACAAAAATTATGATTAAAATTTATTTACGCGGTGATCAATTGATCCAGGACATTAGTCATAGTAATTATCAAGATAGTGATGTCATACTATATGCGCCAAAATGGTGTGAAACAGCATTAGCTAAACTAAGAGAGCATTTACCTAATACTGGACACCCTATCGAATGTCAACTAATCGATAGCACCGGTAGACATATTCAAGAGTCTATTGATCCCAACCGACTAGACATCAAACATGCTGTCCAATTAGCTAGAAACGAACCGGTCAATTGTACCGGGGTGATCAAGTTTTCCAATTATGCACCAGTTATTAAAAGTCGCCAGGTTATCTTATCGCTCAAGGATCTAATTAGACAAACAATTATTATAGGTATTGACGAAACAGTAGCCTACGGGGGATACGGTAGTCCCAGATGTGTTGGGCAACAGTGTCCAGTGATTCTCGTCGATCTAATTGGCCTACAATTTCAACAACCATACAATACGGGTAGACTAGTACTATATGGTGATCAACTGCCCAGTGGTGTAATTGACAATTTTATTTATGAACAAGTAGTTGGTGAGCCTAGAAAACAATTGGACCAGGTCAAATGTGATAAATCATCAAGATACATTAAGCATAGTAACTGTTATTTTGATTTATATGCCTACAAAATGTTTGTAGCCCGTGATTTTCATCTAGTTTGTTTAGCATTAAACGAAATTGATCTAGGCAATAATAATAAAAACAAAAATATATTATTAAAATTTCTAAAATACGGGACAGGATTTTTTGCCGGACAATTTCGGGATCTATTAGACAGATATATCTACGATGGTATTGTTCAGGGCTTACAACTAGTATTTGATAGTAATATAAATAAACGGATCAAATGTTTTGAGTTTCCCTACTATTTGAGCGATAAACGTATTGAACAGTTATGTAAAGCTAACGGTGTTGACTGTGTGTTCAGTAGGGATGATGCGCTTCGGCAGACACGCAATACTGTGAGTTGGATTATGGCAGTGACCAACTGTGCCGATCCTCACTCGGTTACCGGCAACGAAATGGGCTTTTCAAGTGTCGATGCGGCCATTGCCGAGAATCTGAGGTCAAAAGCCAACAAATTTTCGCCAATTATTAATAAGCAAATGTCTGTAAAGTTTGTCGACATTTAATATAAATAAAAAAAAATAACTATATTTTTTGTTATATTTAATACTGTTTCTTAAGTACACTCTGTAATGAACAAACATTTAGTATTATTTAATTAAAAAAACTATGAGTTTTTTTATGTAATATCAAATCATAATTATAAAATAATTATTTGTTGTATTGAGTGTTTTGTACTAAATAATAATAATAATAATTTTTTTTGAGTTTATTTTAAGTTTGAAATTTTTTTTAGAAATATCTAATATTAAAGATAAATTCTAGTCAATAATTTTCTAAAACAAGTGTTATTATATTTTTTCGCTAATGAATTAAAATTACATATTTTATTTATATACACATCTGTTTAATGTCTAAATGTCTAAAATTATTATTTTTTAATTGTCAAGGTTTTATATACAGATTAATTGCATAACTTATAAAATTACTTTATTATAAATAAATACTTTACTAATATTTCAATAGAAACATTGAATGTTATAAATGGGTATTTAAAATAAATTATAATATTTTATTTACTTTTATTGTATAAAGTATTATTTATTAAAAAAATTAATTTAATTTATAATATTAAATAAATGTGCAAAAACTAAAATTTAAAAAATTAAATTCAAATACAATATTTTATATGTAAATAAATAAAAAATTAATTATTATAAGTATTAAAAATTTAATAAACTTAAATCTTAGAAAAAGTTGTTTAAAAAAATCACATTAAAAAAATAAAATTTAACTTTAAATTAAACACAAATAAATTTGATAAAATGTAATTAATTTAATTAAAACATTTAATAATTTCTATAATATAATAATAATATACAAAAATTATTATAACAGTTAATAATCAATAGTATATAATATTTTACTAACTATTAAAGTTGATTAGCACTTAACAATTATATTGCAATATCTTATTGAAATATTGCTTAATACAATTGTGTACCGCAACGCATATAAGTTAAACAAAAATAATTTTTGTATTGAAAAATCCTATAAATTTTTATATATCAATAATACTGTTTGTTATCAATTGTCAGTTTAAGTTTGTTTCTATTTTTTTTTTGATAAAAAATCAATTTAGAAAATTAGTACATCTAAGTAACAAAATATATTAATAACTTTTGACTAAAATATATATTATTTATTATTTCTATACAATAAATAATATTTACTGTAAGCAATTATTATTAAAAATATTAAAAGATCACTTGTGCCAAACATGATTAGCTTTATTTATCGCATATACAATTAGTTATCAATTGTTATTGTTTATTTTACTGTTTAGGCTATTTTCAATATAAATTTATATTAAGTTTATTTATTTTGGTATTTATTTAGTGAATTTACAAAAAATATTAATTTGTCAGTTATATATTTTATTCATATATAGTAATATAAAAAGCATTTCATCAAAAGTCTACTTAAAATGATTGAGTACTTGGATTTATATCTAATGGTGTGCTTCTCTATCTATCTCTCTCTCTCTCTCTCTCTCTCTCTCTCTCTCTCTCTCTCTCTCTCTCTCTCTCTCTCTCTCTCTCTCTCTCTGAAAAACTGTACTCAAAAAATATCCGGACATTCAATAATCACCTGATAGATAAAGTGCAGTTTAGTAAAGCAAAACTAATAGTGCACTGATATTACATACATGAGCTATACCCATATACTGTAATGTACTATACAGTATATAAACTTGCATAATATTTGTCTGTAATTTTCCCATGTTATATACCGGTTCCCAATAAAAACTAACTGTTTGTCTCAAGTGATATATACTTAACTAACAAATTATAGTAAATGGGATGTTATATATCTCGTCATACGACACGTCAAAAATCAATAATTATTATCAATAGTTTTTGAGAAACAAAAATTGTTTAATAAATCGTATAAAAGTCAATAGGTTTGAGAATTTAAAATCCATTTATAATATTTTACAATAATAATAATAAAATTATTATTAATTAAAAATTAATTAATATTATTAATCGATAAAGTAAGTTTGTTGAAAAAAAAAATTATTGATAGTATTTAATAAATAGTTTATATAACTTTTTTTAAAAAAAAACTACAAATTAGATAAATAAATTTTATAAAATAATAATTATTTGTTAATAATTATATATTTTTTCATTTATTCAATAGTATGCGTGAATACGACATAAATGTTAACGGAGTTGTCAACGGCAACCACTTGTCCGATGGCGAAGAAGCCGAAACTTTTCTGTTTAGTTCAGAATCGGTAGGAGAAGGACATCCGGGTATTTATTATCTATTTATTATAATATCTTACAATATCCTATATTAACAATATGTTTAGACAATATATAACTAATCTTATGGTAATTATTAGATAAATTATGCGACCAATTAAGTGACGCTATACTGGACGCTCACTTGAAACAGGACCCGAACTCACGGGTTGCCTGCGAAACGGCCACCAAATCGGGACAGATTGTAATTTTGGGTGAAATTACGTCAAACGCTGAAGTGGACATCGAAACAGTGGTCAGAGACACTGTCAAACAAATTGGTTACGACAATGAAAGTAAAGGTAAAGTATAAATTATTTTATTAAATTTTTAAATAAAAATTTAACTATTTTTTACAAACATATTAATGTAAATTACTTCAAATAGATTAATGATTAATATCTTATAGAAATACTATATTATGTTGATATAATAATTAATACTAATGATTATTATTACTATTATATAGGTTTGGATTACCGTACGTGCGGTATAACAATCCTATTGGACAAACAGGCAGAGGAGATAGCCTCAGGCGTACACATTAATCGGTCGATTGAGAACATCGGCGCCGGTGACCAGGGCTTGATGTTTGGTTATGCCACCGATGAGACCGATGAGTCTATGCCATTGACAGTCGAGTTATCGCATAAACTAAACGAAAAACTTAGCGAACTTCGTCGTAACGGTACGTTTCCGTGGGCCCGACCCGACTGCAAGACACAGGTGACCTGCGAGTACTATTTCGACAATGGCCGGGCAGTGCCCACCCGGGTTCACACAGTTGTGGTCAGTACACAACACTCGGAGGACATAGCTTTGGAAAAACTAAGACAAGAGATACTCGAGAAAGTAATCCTTGAAGTGATTCCCAGTCAATATTTGGACGCAAAAACTGTTTTCCATATCAATCCGTGCGGCAGTTTTATTGTCGGCGGCCCGGGAGCCGATGCCGGACTAACTGGTCGTAAAATAATTGTCGATACCTATGGCGGATGGGGCGGTCACGGAGGCGGAGCTTTTTCCGGTAAAGATGCGACAAAAGTTGACCGATCGGCGGCCTATGCGGCCCGTTGGGTGGCCAAGTCGTTGGTATACTCGGGTCTATGCAAACGATGTCTCGTACAGGTATGTCATATAATATTTATATATTTTTTTATAAAAATGTAACATTAAAAAAATTAATATATATAACTTATATAATAGTTTATCATTGAATTATATTTAGACTTTTAAGGCCAAAGTTTTTCAAATTTATATTATAACCTTGATGTTTTTTTAAAATCTATAGGTTTCATATGCTATCGGTATTGCCGAACCCATATCGATAACTGTGTTTGATTTTGGTACATCCACCAAATCGCAACGTCAATTAGTTGAAATTGTCAAAAATAATTTTGATTTACGACCAGGGTTTATTATTAGGTAAACATATATACAATATATCTAGTGTAAAATACACACATAAATGTTAATTAAATAACTTAACTAATATCTAAATTTTGTTTTTTGTTTGTTTGAATGACAGGGATCTGGAGCTGAATAAACCTATTTACCAGAGCACCAGTCGTTACGGCCATTTTGGTCGCAAAGGTTTTACTTGGGAAGTACCGAAACGATTGGTTTTTTGACAAATTATGTTACGACACATGTATTTCATTCAACTAATAATAATAGTAGAAAATAATGTGTCAAATATTATAAGCAAATGTTATGAAAAATTATTATACGATTTGTTTGATTTCAAAAATATCAATTACGATCTATTATTAGTTAGATTTTCCAATTTTTGTATCAATTTTTGTTTTATGTCTTTATTAATAAATAATAAATATTTTAATTTGAAAAATTTAATAAATAATTGTTATCTCAAACTTATTTTACTTGTTATCTAAAAAAACTTAAAGAAAAAGAGATAACTTAAAACACTTAAAGTATTTATTGAGTAATTTTATTACTTAATAGTAAAATAGATAATAATATAAATTACAGTTTTAATAATATTTAATTTATATAAATATTATCTATTTACAGTAATATCCTTCAACTATCAATATTATTATATTTTTCTAATATTTATTTCAAAAAAATAATAATAGCAATTAATTAGGCAAATTAATTTATTTGCATTATTTATACATTTTATTGTAAATATATTGATAATTATAGTATAAAATATTAATTTTGTCACATTATTTATGATTTAATTTTATTTACAATTATGTTTAGTACTGTATTTGATTTACAAAATTTATATTATATAATTGTATTGTCAAAACAATTAATATAGATTTTTTTGTGCATTTATGGTTAAAATACTGATATTAAATATTTTGAACAATATATGTATGAATATATTGAAGTATGTATTCAACTTAGACTTGCGATGAAATAATAGATACTCTGGGCGTCGGTATGTTATTTTTGATGGTGTTGTTCCCACCCATCCATCCCAGTATCAGATCTCTGGACTGTTTGCGAAATTCGTGGCTCAACCAGAAAAATATGAAACTATTCAACGAAGTGGTAAACCGAAAGGTTTCCGTAAATATAAAATGTATGTAATGCGGCGATTTAGGGCACGGGTAGTTTGATTCGGCCAGTATGATGTCGAACTGGGTGACCACAGCGTAGGCCGTATTTTTCAATATAAATATTAACAATACGGTAACTAACCTCTTGGTCACGTGACAGCGTCGAGTATTATTGACGCGCGAAACTTCTGTTATCGATATACCCGATCCGCACCGGGATCGGCCACGTCTGAACTCACTTATCATAACAAATATCAATTTACCCGAATACCAACTGACCAGTAGGCCCGGTATGACAAACTGGGCAAACATGTAGACTATACTGCGGAAAAGTATGTATTTTTTGATAATACTGGCCATACCCAACATCATATAGCTTTTGGCGGCAATACAGCTAACATTGTTACTCTGATAATCGTATAGATCAATGTATGTGGTCACCAATGATGGCACCGATAGTACTAAACTGACAAACCATATGACATATAGTAGAAAACGAGTACTTTTTGCATTAAATGGATTAAAAAAAACTTTTGCCAATTTATAGTAACTATCCATTGATATTATTATAAATGTTATGGATGTTATATAGAGAGACACATTTTCCAGATAATTGTGCACAGATTGCATAATGTTAGCACCAATAGGATTAGTATTGTTTATTAGAGATAACGGTATAAATATATAGCGAAATATACACGAGTTTAGTGACAGTATAGTATCTGATAGGCAAATGTTGGCCATCAATGATCTGGGTCGGTTACGGGATATACCCAAACAGCTTGTTTTACGTACAACCAAAATGCATACTATGTTTGATATACAGCTTACGAGTTGACATATTATGAAAATTAATGTAAATATTTGTTCAATTGTTGTCAAACTTATGCTATTAATTAAAATATTGATAAAAAATTAATTTATAATAATAATAATTATTATTAATGCAATATTAAATTAGTAACTTACATTGTTTCCATTTTTTAATAAAATAAAATATAATATAATTTTTTATTGTTGTCTATAATAATAAAAACGACTACATCTTTATAATAAATATTATGATTTTTTGTTTGTTTGATATATTATATACTTTAATTTTGAAATATTTACAAATAATTAGGTAGATAAAAATATATTATGAACAATATTAAATTGTTTTTATTTATTTATGTTGCTATCATTATATTTAATAATACTTGATAAGTCAATTATTATTGCATTTTTATAACCTTGGTATTTTAACGTCCAATTAATAATATTAATTATTACATATAAAATTGAAATTAAAATTACATAAACATACAAAGATAGCCTATATTATAAACTATTAATACAGCATATAATATACCTCATAATATACTGTTTATATTATATTAATTAATACAAATTAATATATAATTATTGATAGTATACAGCAATTTAACTAATTAAACAGTTATAATCAAAATTTAAAACTTAAAAAATAAATAAAGATATTAACAATTGGCATGAAATTGTTATATAATTTGATAATTTGTTGAAATGCATTATATGAAATCAGTTTATTTTATAACAATTTAATGTAATACAAAGCAATTTACTAATAATAAGTATAATAACTTTTGAAAAATTATAATTAAAAACGTTAAGATATAAACTTTTTATCTAAACAATAACTGAATATACTGTATAAACAAATAATATTTATTATCTAATAAAAATAAAGTAAGTGTTAAGGCTATACAAAATAAATGTTATATAATAATACAATACTTTAATACAATAATTTACATGTAAAACGTGCAGTTAATGAATTGTAGAAAATTTACATAATTTTTGATAGTTATGTATAATTAAAAATAATTATTTAATATTTTAAATAATATTTTAAAAATAATTAAAAATATTTAATAATAAAAATTATTACATTAATTTATATGCACATAATGTATATTATTATTACTAAAAATAAATTAATAAAGTTGTTTATTTATTATTATTAATATTTAAAAGTAGTCTAGCAGATTTTAATTGTTGAAATGTTTACAATAAATGTCAAAAATAATTATAAAAAATGAATAAAGTGTTATTGTATTTTACTATATGACAAAAATCGCATATATTTTGTAAAAATATTAAAATATTAATAAAATTTATAAAAAATAAATTAAATAATTTTATAAAAACTTGTATTCATTTATCAGAAAATTTATTTATAATATAAAACTTGAAAACAATAACCAAAAAAATGACTTTACGTTTGTTTCCGATACCGGAGTTTAAGTCACGATTCAGTGTAAAACAAAATCCATTACATCGACACTCAAAAATAATTGAATGGGTCGACCATATGCTAGAGTGCAGTCATCTGACTCGTAATAACTGGCCAATGGTCAAAGTGACGGCACTGTTTGCCTCATACCTGCATCCAATGTGTACCGATTTGGACAGATATGAGGTGCTGTTCAAGACATATGTCCAGAACTTTATATTCAATGAATACTGTGCCGACCCGTGGGATGATAGTGGCAAACAAAACGACAGGGAGTTAACGATATTGAGACAGTATTATGAAATATTTGATAAACTTGAGGACAGAGATGATGACGAATACATATCAATGATCGGATGGAAAGCTTATACATTGAGTTCGTATGCTTTACTGTCGGAGATATGGCACGACTATAATCCAGTACAACGGATACGTATGACCCGACTCTGGAGGGATTACATCACCGGCTGTTTAATGGAAAGAGAGGGTTGTTATCGGATAAGCGATAGAAAGTGGGTTTCAATCGATGAGATGCTTAATGTTAGTATAGACAAGTCGTTTAGTTTTTAATATATTGATATAACTGTTTCATTTATATACTCTATTATTAGCTACGGTTGACTTCATCGGCCTGTAAGACAAATATCCAGTTAATTGAATACTCTGATCGGCTGTACGTATCGGACACTGTATGGAACAGTCAACTCTTTCAACATTTTATATCCCTGAGCTCTAGGCTAGTCATCGCTACTAACGATTTGTATTCATTTGAAAAAGAGTTTCAACAAAAAGACCAACAAATTGATAACATGTTTAATGTAATTGCACTGACAATGTATTTGGACGACTGCTCAGTGGTCAGGGCTATGGAGAGAACAGTCGATAGGATTGCACACATGGAGACTGAGGCCAAGTTTGTAATGACAGAACTACTGGCCGATGAAGATATGAGTAGTGATGCAAAACAATTTGTAAAAAGTGTTGACCACTTGATTGGTGGTAATCATAGGATTTCATCAATTTTGGACAGATATCACAGTAGTTTAAGTTTACTTTAAAAAAACAGTTTTTACTAAATTTATAATTATATTTTTGTAATATAAAAGTAATATTATAGATATTGCAAAAAATTACTATAATATTTCAAATATAATATTAAAATACTGTTATATTATTATTATTTATTTGTAATATGTACAGTGTATTACAATAAATTATAAACTAGATAACTTTTTAAAAAAGCTTTAAAAAATAATTTTAATCATATATTTTAACAATAAAATTAATATTAATAATAAGAATATGTTTTTTAGTTTTTTTAAAACCAATACTTTATCTATAATCACTATAACTAAACATTTTAAAAATTATTTGATATATAAATTTAAAATTGTATATCATATTAGTTATACTGTAACTTATATATTTTTTAAGGTTAAAAAAATATAATAATGCTTTATTGCATTATTAACCAATAATACTAATAAATCAATCATAACCTTTATCAAAAAATAATAACATATATAACAAAAAGTTTTTTTTATAAATTATTTTATTTCATTAACAATTGATTTGTATCAAAATAATAACACAATTCACAAAACAATCAACAGTTTTTCTAATCAATAATTTTACAACAATTGATTTCATATATAAACTACAAATTACATACAATTTTGTTTATGACAATGCTTATTGTTGATACAAATATATTTACAATTGATTTTCAATTATTTAGATCTGGGAGTAGATTGAGTGGGTTGGGGTCTCAACCTTGTAGGCAGCGCGGGCACCGTGAGTAGCTGGGACAGCCCAGGGAGCAACTGGTTGGGCCAAGTGAGCGGCCAATGGGGCAGCGGGAGCCCATTGGTTCCATTGGTTCCATGCGGGGGCCGGTTGTTGCCATGAGCTGTAGTGGACGGGTGCGGCGGCTACTGGTGCAGCGGGAATGGGAGCCTTGGGTGCGATGGCGGCCAACTGAGCGGCGGCGGCAGCGGTACGCTTGTCGACACTGACATCACCTTCGGCTCTGTATCCGTTGGCGTCGGCAACGTATCTCACCTAAAAAATATGACAATCCAGTTAGGATAACGGTGCTGAACATATAGATGATTGGGTCGAAACACAACTTACTTGTCTCAGATCACCATTGGCATCGACATAGCTGTACGATCCCTGTACGGCACCACCATGGCCAGATTCTTGACGGGACTGTCCATCAGCAGTCTGGTAGCCGAAACTGTAGGGACCGCTGGCACCGAACTGAGCCACTGATAGGGCGATACAAGCGGAGAGAACAATGAACTATATATTTGAATGAAAAAAAAAAATATTTTTTTTTAATTATGTTTACAAAAATAATATTTATAAATTAAAAATATTATTATTAAATAATTATATTTATTTCCATCTTAATTAAAATTGACTATTTTTAATTTTATTTAAAATAATAACTATTAATAATTTAGAATTAATTTTTCTATTTTTTTAAATCATTAAAAAACTAAACACTAGAAATTTTTTTAAATAAAATTTTTATCAAAAATACTAATATACTAATAGTATAATACGATACAATACATACAGATTTCATGTTTAATGCACAACAAAAACACAAACTTTACAAAACAAAACTAAATTAAAACAACAAAATACACAAATAGTTTGATAGAGAAACACAAAAAGTTTCACCGCTTTTATATACCGATTCTGTCAATCATTTTTTGGTTATTAGTAGACAGATAACTGAGAGGTTAGCCGTTTTAAAAGATTATATGTATGACGCAAACATCTAACGTCTCTCTCTCTCTCTCTCTCTCTCTCTCTCTCTCTCTCTCTCTCTCTCTCTCTCTAACTTTCACTCCCAGTCAGTCATCAAATAGTTTTGGGGCAAATAATTTTGCAAATAACAATTTTTTTCACTCATTTTACTATATTATTGTTGTTATAACTAATTTATACTAGTACTAATTTATATATATATATATATATATATTAATCTTATATATATATGAATTTATATGTATATAATATACAGTATATATATATTTAATATATATATAAAGACATTTTTAATTTCAATGTACAACTAGTTTTACACAATATTACTGTACTGTGTCTATGTGTGTGTGTAGTGTACTATAATATCAATACATATACAGTTTTATTAGCCGATATAAGATTATTATCGTTAGTAATATATCAATAATAAATTCTATAGAAAAAAATCGAGAGCAAAATATATAAAAATATGTTATACAACTTAAATATCTATAAATTATTAAACTTTCAATACATACTGTATATCATTTAATATGTATTTGAGTGAGAGAGAGAAAAAAGGAAAAATGACGCCTATATATCAATAGTTACCTGTGCTCTCTCTCTCTCTCTCTCTCTCTCTCTCTCTCTCTCTCTCTCTCTCTCTCTCTCTCTCTCTCTCTCTCTCTCTCTCTCTCTCTCTCTCTCTCTGTATGTGTGTGTGTGTGTGTGTGTTTGCCATTGAGGACAGGGTGTGGGGACATACATGTGTATGCTTACATGTGCACACATAACCACAAATTATTATATACATATTAATATTGATATATTAGTATGAGTGAGTGAGTGAGTGAGTGAGAGAGAGAGAGAGAGAGAGAGAAAGAGAGAGAGAGAGAGAGAGAGAGAAAGATCAGGGAGTTGTGTATTTTTAATTATAATCACAGTTTTATGTAAATAAGATTTAAGACAACATTGTAACGACTGGTGGCGTCGGGATGGGAGCAAACCGGCTGATAATTTTTGACTGACTTACTGACTGACTGTTTCTGGAGGGACAGTGATGTAAATATAAGGAATCTCATCCTTGGGATTAGCACTTAAACTAGAGATGTTAAATGTCCAGTATTAGCCGGGACAGTCCAGTATATTAGTGCTGTGTCCAGTGTCCCGTTCATTGGTAAGCCGGGACAATACTATGTCCAGTATTTATTAAAAATATTCAAAAATAGTTTTATTTATATATTAACGATATTTATGTAGAAAAAATTGTACTGTATTTTTATTTATAAAATATTGTAGAAAAATAGCATATATATAATAAAGGTTTTTCTAGATATTTTAATACACACTATAAGGTTATCATAAATATTATGTTTTTGCACATGTAGTTTGATTTAAATAACATTTTGTTTTTAATGGTTTTTTAATATTAGTTATCTAATAAAAATGTCAAAACGCAAAGCAAGTGACAGTGATATTAAATCAAAACGATTGACTAAATTTAATAATAATTGGTTAGACATCGATGACAACAATCAATGGCTTACAAAACGTGACGATCATACGGCTATGTGTAAGTTGTGTAGCCGTGAGTTTACCATCAAATATGAAGGATTGGGAGCTATTTCGCAACACAAATCAACTGTTTTACACAAATCAAAGTTACAATCAATGAAAATGTGTCAAACCTTAGATGCATTTGTGGTAAAAACAACAGCCAAAGATACCGAAAACACGTCTATAGCTGAACTATCACTAACGTATCATACAGTTAAACATCATTTAAGTTATACATCAAGTGATTGTTCTGTTAGATTAACAAAACTAATATTTCCCGATTCAAAAATTGCTTCAAATGTTACGTGTGGACGAAATAAAATGGAAGCAATAGCCGAAAATATTTTATGTCCATTTTCAATAAAACAACATTTGGATATAATTGATAACAAAAAATTTTCAATTGCGAGTGACGCTTCAAATAAAGGAAATATAAAATTGTTTCCAATTGGTATTCAATATTTTTCGGTTGAAAAAGGGATAGTGAATTTTGTACTTGATTTTTATAATGATCCCAATGAAACATCAAATGCTATACATTTAAAAATCACTGAAGTTTTAAAAAATAATAATTTAAACACTAATAATATAATAGCATATTCAGGCGATAACGCATCAGTAAACTATGGAAAACATCACTCAGTATTTACCAAGTTTAAAGATTTTAATAATAACATTATAAAATCTAATTGTAATTGTCATATATTACATAATACAAGTAAATATGCTATGATTAAACTTGAGTTTGATGTTGAAAATTTAATAATTAAATTGTACACCCATTTTTCTATGTCTGCTAAACGTATTGAATCACTAAAATCGTGTTATGAGTTTACAGACATTTCATTTAATAATCTAAAAAAACATGTAACTACACGTTGGTTGACATTATTACCTGCAATTGAACGTATCATACAAAATATCCAACAATTAAAAACTTATTTTATTGGCATTGGATCAGATGTTTCTCATCGCATTATATGTGATTTTGTTTGGGCCGATACAGTGAATAATATATCAATACCTGATTTATGGTTACATTTTTGTTATCATTTTATGTCATTATTTCATAATAATATTTTACTAATTGAAAAGTCAACAACAAATGCGACTAATATTTATGATATTATGGTTAAATTGAAACAACAATTACAAAATCGATTGAAATATAAATTTTTTAGTGCTTTTGTTAACGAAAATTTACAAAAATTTGACGACAAAATTATTAATAATTTTAATAGTAACGCAACTAATTGTTATCAAAGAGCATTAGATTATTTATGTACACATTTTGACTTTGATAACACACCATTTAAATTATTTAAAGCACTGAATCTCGACAATGATCTTATTTATAGTGATATTTTAAATATCTCAATTTTATTAAATATAAGTATTGATAAAGACTCTCTATTTGATGAATTACTAACCTTCAATAATTATCTCAATTTACCTGAAATTAAAACCTCTGAAATATCGTCAATTGATAAATATTGTAAAATATTTGCTAAAAATAGTTTATCAAACTTATTGAAAATCATTGAATCGGTTTTTGCTATTCCTATAGGAAATCATTTTGTTGAACGAGTTTTTAGTCATTTAAAGAAAATATGGACCGATGAACGCAATAGATTGTCAATAAACATAATTAAAGCCGAAATTTGTATAACAAATAATTTTGATATGAATTGTAGTGAATTTGTTTCATTTGTTAAAGCAAATGATGATATACTTAAATTCGTTAAATCTTCTAAAAAATATAATTTTCTTAAAAAATAACGTTATTTTTATATTTAATAAAATAAATAATTTGTCCAGTATTTGTCCCGGATTTTATCGTTATTTTTTTGATAAATCAAGTATTTATTAAAAAACATTTAACATCTCTAACTTAAACTACTAAACCTTCCAAACAGTTATTATATTATATGAAAAAAACTTGATATTTGCAGACAAAACTGCCTATAATTAGTGGTTATTAATAAAAATAGTATCTTTTTTGTTTCAATTTTGTTTTAATTATTTTTATTGTCTGCTAAATCAAAAAAAAATATTTTACACTATTTATTATAATAATTGTTCACTTAATAAACTAATAAAACTAATAATTGATAAAAATATACATTAATTATAATTTATTTAGATACTATGTATAAAGTTATACAGTAGTACTTTACATTAAATACAGTAAAATTTAAAATAATTTAAAGTTTATATTAATATTAAATTAAATTAACATTTTAAAACTTTAACAAATAAAGTCAATATTAAATAAATCATTTTTAATTAGCTTAAGTATTTTAATTAACATATAATTTTTAATTAACAAAAACTTTAAATGATTATTTTAATCTTTATTTTAATACATATTAATTTTAATTATTAATTTAGCTTTAATATTCATATTAATTAAATTGTTAAGTTAAAACACAATAGAATTATAGATAAAATTTATTAAATAATGTAAAATTTTACAAATAAGAAATTTATTTGTTATTTTTTAAATTAAATAAAAAAGTCAACAAAAAAGTTAACATTTTATTTTCAATTATATATATATAATTTATTTAAATGATACAAACTATTTTTTGTTAAATAAGATTTCAATTGACTAATTAGTGCATACATTATTATTTGCTAATATGATTAATTATGTAATAAAATATATTAAAAATTATTAAAATCAACTAGTGCATGCATAACTTATTTATTATTATGATTTAATATGATTATAATATTCAAAAAAATTGATAGTTGACATCATTTTATTTTTTATATTTTTATAAATTGTTAAAATTATTTTATACAGACATTTTTTAATTAATCAATCAAACATTATTTAAACAATTGTTAACACTATTATTATTATTATTATTATTTGCCAAAATGATCGACATTAATATAATTGAAATCAAGTTAAATGTGTTAATAGATTCAAATAAAAGTTTAGTAAATTTCAAAAAATCTATATCTCCTACAAGTATTTCAAAGTCAATGTAAAACAGCTATTAATTAAATTTTTCTTATATAGTAATTTAATTTTTTTAAATGTTTTTGTAAATCAGTCAATATATTGAATATTGAAATGAAAATTTTCTTTTTTTTTGGAAAATCAAAAATCATTTAAAAATTGATATCATTTGTCATATTATGTACAGTATATACTGTACCATACTATACATTACAGTGACCTAATAGTGACTGTGAAATATATTATAAATAAGGTTTGAAATAATAATAAAAAAATGGTTATACCGTTTAAAATAGGATTGCAATAAATTTTATTATTTAATTAATTAAGTCAATAAAATAATTTTTAAAACAAAACTATTTAACTATATTGCAAATATATAGATTGAATGAGTGATAAATCAATTTTAGGAAAATTCAGAGATAACTAAAAACATTTTTTTTATGAAATTTAAAATATTTTATGTTATTAGTAGTATTTATTGGGTGTTATCCACTATTTCTATAAGTTTACTATAAATTATTCTATAA